AACTAGTAGTGGCGGAGCAAGCATGCAAAGCAGTAGCAAGAGTGCGAGTTCAAAGAAATCTGAAGCGAGTTCTTCATCATCATCAAGCCATGCTGCAACTACTAGTGGCGGTGGTGGAGCAAGTATGAAAAGCAGCAGCCAGAGCGCGAGTTCAAAGAAATCTGAAGCAAGTTCATCATCAAGCAAAACATCTGCGACTACTAGTGGCGGAGCAAGCATGAAAAGCAGCAGCCAGAGTGCAAGTTCAAAGAAATCAGAAGCGAGTTCTTCATCAAGCAAAACAGCCACAACTAGTGGTGGTGGTAGCGGGGCAAGTATGCAAAGCAGTAGCCACCATTCAAGCTCAAGTAAATCTGCAATGAGCTCTTCATCTTCATCAAGCCACGCTGCTACAACTAGTGGCGGAGCAAGTATGCAAAGCAGTAGCCACCATTCAAGCTCAAGCAAATCTGAAATGAGCTCATCATCTTCATCATCTAGCTCAACTACAAATATGCATGGCCAAGCCCCTAGTTCAGCAGGTACTCCAGAAACAAATATCAATCACAATAGCCACAAAAAGATAGATAATATGAATACTTCTCACAATGCAACTCATACTTCTAATAACTCGAACTCAATGAGCACTAATGTTTCAAACAGATCCAATGTCAACCAAACAGGTACAGCTGCAGGCTCTGGCACATTTAGTGCCTCTAGTACAAAAACCACTAGCAATCCAAATACAGGGGTGCAAACTGTTCATTCACACCAAAATGGGGTGGTAAATAATGCAAACCCACATGCGCATGCAAACCCTGTGAATAAAACAAATAACGAGGTGATTGTAACCAAAAATAAGCATCAATCTACAAGTATAACTGAGGCACTTAAAAATAGAAGTAACTTCCTGCTGAAAGTAGAGGAGTTTGAAGTCGAAAGAGATGGAAACATTTTATATAAAGTTGCAGAAAAAATCTCCACTATTACAAAGGATGACGTTAACCAGGGACTTGATATTATTGGCACCGACTTAGTAATGAAAGCAGTTATTATAGACTTTACAACTCTAGTTGATGGCACAACCAGAGAACTTCTGCAGCCATATATTATTGTTGCAATTAGTGGAGCGCCTGTTACTGTAAGCATCGCATTTGTTGAAATGAATTAATTTTCTTTAAGAGTTGCTTGAATGCAATGAGGCTTTTGTATATGACATATAGAAAATAAAGTATTTATATCTAAAGCTTTTTAGTTTTCTGTATAAATTTAGAAATTTTACAAATTACTTGCTTATTGAACGCTTGCAGTCTTGCAAAGTCATTAAAACCATCAATAAAAAACTCGAAAGATATAGATGCCTGCATTGAAAAGAAGATTTAGCAGGATCACTCAATAGGTTTAGAGCTATAAATATAGCAAATTTAGAAAGCAGCCAACTCTACTGCAATTAGGAGAGTGAAGGCATCTCCTTTGTATAGATAAGTTTTTTATTCAAATGTCAACTTCTTTGCAAGAATATAAATACTGTCAATAACAATGCGCTTTATTCAGAGTATTCTTTATTAATCCATGGAGTCATATGAGAAGATAGAACCATTGGTTATATTTAAGCATATGTTTTTTATGATGTTGTTTGTTTAAAAACGTATAGTAGACGGTTTGTTCGTATTTATTGGTTTTTACTAGTTTACTGTATGCTAATAAAAAAGTCTATAAATATAGCAAACTAAAATCTATATAAGAAGAGGTTCTAAACTAAAAAAATAAAATAAAAATGGATCTAAATATATAGAAGGATAAGATGACATAAAGACAGCAAAATAAACACTGTATGAAAATGTAATGGAACAGACAAGAAACAGAATAAACCTTTTGAAATAAACTACTTATAGAAAAAGGACCATATATCCTAAGGTATACTATTTATAGGTTATATTTATATGCTAATAATCTATTCTAGCATAGCCGGAATAAGCTTGATATATATAAGCACTATATAAAACAAATAACTTTAGTTTAAAGACAAGCGCATGCAGAAATTCCTAAAGAATACATTTTACTTGCTTGAGAATAGTATGAAATATAAGAATAGTAAGAATAGTGGTAGTTTACTCTTATTTAGTTAAATAGATGGGTATTTCTTGCTACAAAAATAGCCTATCCAATATGTCTCTTCTATTAACCATTGAGGGAATGTATAAATTATCGGAGAACTTGTTTAGTGGGAACTTACTAATATCAATTGTTAGATAGCTTGAGAGAGCTAGAAGGTCTGTGATGTACTTTTTATAAGGCGTGCAGTAAAAAATATTCTGTAGCTTATATAAAAACTCATGGAAGTGCTCTGTGTTAGAAGCATCCCACTCTATTGGAAGATGACACCGCAGGCAAATAGGACTGTATTCCTCAGATTGATTGCACTTAAAACAGGTTTTCTTGACTTTGTGGAGCTTTGCGCTTTGTTTATATAGAACCCTTCTTATCAGCTTTTTCATGTGCATTGGCGCAAAAGGCTGAGCACACGCTGTGCAGTGCATGCCAATGTCTTGGCTTTGGCTGCAGCAAGGAGACACCACAGCAAGGGCCTCTTTGATATCTGCAGGCATGTCACTAGGCTCAGACTTCTGTGCTGGCCTGCTGTGTGAGACGTAAAGGCCCAGTAGCTTTTGGATGCTCTCAATAGAGATAGAGGGGAAATATTCAAGCATTCTCTGGATAGGAGGGAACACCTGCATTTTCATATAATAGTCATAGTGGATTTCCCCGCACTCTGAGACTAGCTCTGCGCGAGAAACCCCATTGTGCAGCGCCATAACAAAAGAAATAATATCACCAGCCTGGAATGTAAAATTCCGCTCCTTCTGCAAACGAAGCGCAAGAGAAACCTGCTGAAGAGAAGTTCCTTGGACCGCATTGTAGCTTTCAGGCGCCTTTTGTATTTTTTTACGGATCAAAAAGCTTTCTTTGTTGTGGGTTTGAATTTTCTCTTTAAGCTTAGCTAGCAGCAAAAGTATTTCTTCTTCTGGCGCAGTGGAGTACAGAAGAACCCGGATAACAGCAGAAATCCCCTCCTGTGCCATCTCACACCAGTCTCGCCGCCCAGTCTCAAGCCCTTTTTCCTCAATCTCATTGGCGCCATTGGAGTGTACTACTCCAAAGTATTTCTTCTTTGCCATCATAACAAGCTTCAAGAAGGTCTTTTCAAACCCAAGCTTTATGGTTCGGTACTTGCAGCTAATTGAGTCAGAAATCTCATCAAGGAGCTTATTAGACGGAGGGGCGCTAGAAGTGCCTATGCCAGTGTCAACCATAACAGAGTCTGTATCCCCGTATATCACGCGATATCCATTTGACTCAAGCGTGGTTTTTGTGTCTTTCAAAATGGATCTGCCGCACTCAGTAATAAACGCAGCCATTGCTTTATTATAGAACCTAAACCCCTTAAACCCAAGACACCCATATATGCAGTTAGCAACTAGCTTTACAGCCCTTTGTTCAATCTCCAGAAGAAGAACGTCCCCCTTGCCTGCCTTCATCTGCTTTTTAATTTCAGTTCTCTGCGCCACAAGGTCTCTAAGCGCGCCAGGAAGAAGAGACGGCCTGGATACATTCTTGCTGTCCATTGAAAGATCATGCGAAGTGCTGAAACACACATTGTACTCCTGGATAATCGAAGGATACAGAGAGTTAAAGTCAAAAAGAGAGATGTATGTATCAGAGTACATCCCAGGCTTTTCAAGAAAGACATACCCTCCTTCATAGGTGTCCTTTGAGTCAACTTTGCCAGCAAGCAGTTTTTTAGGAATAAGATACTGGTTGTCTCGCATTCGGTGAAGAAGTAGGTACTCAACTCTGTCTGATTTAAACCCATGGAAGATCGAGTTAAGAAGTGCTCCTGTGATATAGGATAATTTCTCTGCTAGAGGCAGCAGACTTCCTTTTTTAAAGATCATGTGCATTTCTGCGGCTGAAATTCGGGCTATGTCCAAAAGAACGCGGGCACTGTCCGATAGGTATCCATTCTGGATAGATGCATATGCCTCAGAAAGGGAGGATGCGCTGCCAAGAACAGGAATATCTGCATGTACAAGGCCATAGCTTTTACTCATCTCTTCTAGATTATACTCAGTAAGCCGGCACACAGACTCCATGTATCGGGGAAGATCGCATATAAGGCTGACAGTGCTGCTGCTGGTATGTGCAGCAGACAAAGCATCATGCATGCTAGTTTGGCCAGTCAGCTTCTCTCTGACAACATCTGTGTCTGCGTTGTAGCAAACTACTACGCTTGCCTGCATGTCGTTAAGATAGCTGCTAACCCTGGAAATAACAGAATCTGCATCATTGAGCTTAGATATATTTCCCAACAAAAACTCACTCGGCGAGTGTGGACTCTCTAGTGTAGTAAAGGTCCAGTATCCATGCAAGCCAGGAGAGTCCGCACAGGAGACAAACATGCTGTTTTCAGTAGTTTCAATCTTCTGCTTCTTCACACACGGGGGCTCATCTGCATTATCATAGGCACCTGCGTCAGACTGAGTGCTAGACTTCTCCTCTGCAGAGTTGCATACATAAATAGAGACAGTCTCAAAGAGATTCCTTTGCAGGAAGTAAAGATAGGCTATGCGGACAGAAGGCATGCCATAGGAAACTATGTTGATATCACACATTCGCACAGCTCCATTTTCAACCTTATCAATTTGCACTAAGGAAGGCCCCTTTATCTTTTTAAGAAGGATAAGAGCCTCTATTGGGCTTCCAAATTCTCTTGAAACATCTGCAGAGTACTCCAGGCTGTTGACACTTCGGGCCTTCTCATAGGGAAGATGGAATATAAGCCGAGCTCCCTCCTTCCCGTTGTTTTCTGGATGTCTGCTGTCATAGCACACTGTACGCTTTTCCCACTGGCACAGCTTGTCGCCATTTATTGGAACCAGACTGTCCTTATACGTGTGCAAAACCTTCTCCTCAAGCCTGTTCATTACAACGGCGCGCTCTGATGTTGGGGTGGCCACCAGCTCATTCACAATCTCTACAACCTGCAGATTCACAGAGGCATTTGTTTTTTCATCCACGCACTGAATTACTGCAGAATAGTTCTCACCATAGAGTATATTTAGCACATGCACTCGCATAAAATAATTTTGCAATGGGAAAAAGAAAACCATCTAAGACAACAAACAATAAACGGTCAACACACAGAACCACCAGCATAGGATGCAAGCTGCGCAACAGAGAAAAGGATTACGACGAAATAAGAAAAAGGCTAGAGTACAATATCAGTGAGCCAATAGAGAACCCAAAGCACGCCCGGTGCATAGAGTGCGACAGAGTGATGGAGGCTTCCACAATAGACAAGCACAGAAAGTCAAGAGAGCACAGAAAAAGGCTTAAAGACTTGGCCGAAGATGCACTTTTGGAACAGGATAGAAAGAATGGCTTATGTTAGAAATGAAACATTTAACCGCAAATAATGCAAAACAAATATGGCTGAGGAAAGACAGGCTGAGCAGCACACAATAAACTCTTTGTCGTACAAGGAGCTAGAGGAATACAAGGAAAACATGAAAATGCAAAACCAGCAAATATGCATAGAGGTATTTACCGTGCAGATCTTCAATGAGATGGTAAGTGAGGTAGAGCCAGAAAGCATAAGCGTAGTAAAAAAGGTGAGCAGCGCACTGTATAGAGTTATTCAAATAGCAGTGAAGCTCATCCAGGGAATCAAGCCCAGCAGGAAGTCTTCAATGGATCTAGTAAACACGCAGTACAAGTTTTGCAGCCAGAATCTTCAGGTTACTGCAGATATAGAGGCCCTTATGCAGGTGATTGGAGTGATCGATATAGCTCGGTATCCAGAGCTGTTCAGGCAGAGTGCCTCAGCAAGGGAAGTAAAGGTGCTGTGCCGCAACCTATCGAGCATAACATTTCCGAAGATGTCTCCCAGCTCTGAAAAGTGCCCAGAGGAGAAAGAAAAAAAGAACTTAGAAATGATACGAATCATTGCATACAACTTTAAGGAGTTTGACATAGAGGCAATTGCATCGGTGTACAAGATGCTTTTGAAAACAAAAAATCCGCTCTTCCCCACCAAGTACATCTGCGAGTACATCAAAATAGGAAAGCTATCGTGCAAAAAAACAAAGATTGTTCTGTGCCAGTTCATACTAGCATTCGTCATTTGCAAACAAAAACAAGAGTTATTTGAGTCTACATGTTCTTTTCTTTATTCATTGATCACGAAGGAAAACAGTAAGCTGCGGTTTGCAAACATATCAGTTGTTTTTACGCCAATATTTTTTATAGATGAAGATTGCCAAATTGTGGACTCAAACTTTAAGGAAATAATGGAAAATCTAAAGAACTTCTTAGAGTTTTTTTTGGAAAACAGCCCGCAAATATTTATACTGGCACTAAAGCCCAAGAGAGAGTAGAATGCTCTGTGCTTTCTTGGGACCAAGCTGCCTATTTCTTTTGGACCCAGGAATAGCCGCCAGCTCTTCAAGAAGGCTGGATCTATCTTGGCTCTTTTTAATTAAATCAGATAATTTTCCTATTTTAAGCACAATATTAATGGCTGCACTTTGAGAAACACCTTTAATCGCCTGCAGCACAATGAGAGACTGCTCTGTTTCTGTGTAGTCTGTGAGTTTTTTTCTATGCAGGCGTGCCAATAAATTATCAAGCAAAAAAAGACCATCTTCTTTCTTGTCACTTCTTTCTGTTTCTTTCTCCTGCAGGCAAGCAGTGTTTACTTCATTTGCCACATGCCCGTGGATCTTCTCTATGGTGAAAAGAGTTTCCTCCACTCTTCGTGGATTAATCACCATAAACCTGCTTGCAATAAGACTGTATGTTACCGTATATATCATTTTTGTAATCGACTTTTCCAAAGAGTGTGTGCCTTCTATACAGTATATCTTGCGCCCTGGGAGGCTTACCAGTCGCTCTTTTTGCTCTCTGTATCTGCCATCTCTTACAGACTGCAGCAGATCTCTAATTGTTTTCCTTTCTATTAGCACTTTGCAGTAAAGCTCCTGCGAGTTCTTTATGTGTGCCCAAAGAAAGTCTCCAATCGAAAGAACTCTTGTCTCTGCCTTGACTCCCGCGTGTGATAGAAAGGTGTGGAAGAAGTACGGGTCCTCTCTTGACCGCTTTTCTCGTATGTCAATTAGTAGAAGAGGCTCGCTTGTCTGTGCAGGCTCCTTATCAGTTGGACGCACTGGGTTCTTTCTTAGTGCAGTTTTCTGTGCACAGACTGAGGGCTTTTTAGTAAACTGCTCTATCTTTTTTATACTGCTTGACAGCAGCGTAGCAGCACACATTCCTGGATTGGTGATAAAAACACCAGCAGGGCTTTCTTCTATAAGTGCATGCCTTAGGAGAATCTTTGCAAAGTGTTTTACTTTTTTCTCTGTGGACTCAAAAAGCACCCCAGAGCCATACAGAGCTGTATGCTTCCTTGCTCTTTCTAAGCACAGGTATCGAAGCGAGCTTGTGTCTACTGGCTTGCACTCTAGAGCATCATATGCGAGAGTATCCAGAATAAGATGACCGAGTGCGTATGGAATGGGCACTTTAGTGCGTGCATGGGATGTTTTAACTGTAAATACATTTCCTGTTTGTTTTGCTTTTATTTGGATCTCAACTTCGCTCTGTGCATATCTCGCAGTGAATCCATCAGCTTTAGTCTCTATTTTTTTAAATTTATTTAGGCCGCTTTTATCCTGTAGGATGAGCTCTTCTTTATTGCTTTCAATAGAAATTTGAGGCTTTTCTTGAGGGAAGGGCGTATCGCATGGATTCTCCAGGATACTTGAGTGGTCTGAGATAACAATAGGCTCGTCCTCATTATTACCATGGAAAGACTGCTTGGCAGGCGGGATAGAGAAATCCTCCAATTCTTTCGCAATTTTATCTGCTATGCTTTTTCCAATATGTTTTACATTACAGAGATCTGCAGCACTCTCCATTCTTCCATCATAGAGAAGAAGCTCTTTGGCAGCGCGCTTGTACCTAATGAATCCAAATGTCACGCCTGATACCTTGGAGTAGACTCTCTCCTTTTCTATCAGTTTGCTGAGTGTGGCTGCCACTCTATCCTTATAGTTTGGTGTTTCTTTTCCTGCTGCCATTTAAAATGAAGACGCCAGAAGATTTACTAAAAATATATCGTGCCAACTGTGCAAAGGCATTCTTTACTGCATGTGCAAGTGACTGTGCACAGAGACAATACTCAATGGAGGAGGCTGCGCACGTAACATACTTTAAGCTGCAGGAGGAGTACAAGAAGGAAGAACAACTGCAACTCCTTCTGCTATACACACGGATAATTGGCCCAGTAACCCACATAGAGAAGAAAAGTATAATAGAAAGTCTGCAGAAGAACCTGCCAGAGATATCATCAATTACAGAGCACAGACATTTACTTAGTACATACATCATTGTAGAGTCATGTCCCTGGATATCATCTGTAATAGACACCTTCCCGCAGGACATTCTTCTCCTGAGCACCAGTCAGATACACCGGCTGGCTCTGGAGGAGAGACCAAGCTACTTTCCATGCGAGCTGTTTCTATCTGTGCATGCAACACACACGGTGTGCATCATAAACATAGAAGAGACAGAAGAGGCCCTTCTAAAACACTTCCACATGCATGAGGTTGAGAAAGTTGTAGCACATAAAAGTCGTGCATACATTAAGACAGCACATATAGAAGGAGCGCAGTGCATATATCATGCGCTAAGTGGAAAGCTAATTAACAAAAAGCCAGTGTTCACTTATTATTACCCAGATTCACTATCAAATATAAACTTATTCCTGTAAAAAATAAATGAATAGAAAAGGAAGGAAGAGAGCCGATCTATACGAAAAGCTGTATAAAAATATAAGAAGAAACGTAAAAGCATATTACAAAAAGGAAACGGTGGATCTGATAAAGCTAAGGTACTCTGACATGTGGACAGAGAAGAGAAGCAATAAGGATAAAGAGATAGTGGTGGGAGAAACACCCACAGATGTAGGAAAAGAAGTGTATTACATTGCAACAGACAATAAATAGAGTAGAAGAAGGAAGAAGATCATTAGGAGGAAAGGACCAAAGTATGCAACAACCATAGATCTACACTATGTGCATAATGAATATGCAGAACGTAATAATTGCATGCACGCAGATGAATAAAGGTCTCCTTGTGTGGGGCTAGACTTCTATGTTTGTCTATATAAATACATAAATAAATGGATTTGGTAGAAGAAAGATGTTTAAATTATATTTGTCGGTGGGCAGCAGGGCATAAAGAAATATACACTAATATATGGTTGTTGTATGTATTTTATAGATGAGAATTGTTTAATATACGCTTATAATTTATTCGAAGAAATAACAGACATACATACAAAGTACTACTTGCAGAGTATTAGCATACTGCATATCAGAGATGCTCTTTTTCTGTTGCAATTTTATTCTCTGTCAAGAACTGTCTCTGTAACTGTCTGTGCTCTGTGAGTTTTTATTTTACCTACTATGTACTAAGCACATACTGCATAGAGTAGTTATAAAGATATTTATATTTTAGACACTGCTAAGTAAGACAGAAATATAATGGCGCTGTAGTATAGTACTAATCAGCCTAAAAGAGCAGATATTTCTTGCAATATAAGAAGCGGCTGCAGTGGTGCTGGTTCTTGGAAGATAAATATATATATAGCGGGTTTGGAAAAATTTGAATATGCAAATTATAAGTATAGCAGAGGAGAAGAAGATGTATAACACTGTAGAAGACGTGCAGGACTTAGTAGAAAGAATAAAGGAGTCAGCTGCCACACTCAAGGGAATAGACCTAAGCGAGAACTCTTTCTCACCGGAGGCACTGGAGCAAGTGCTTATTGAGCTGTCAAAGATAGAAGAGATTGAAACAGTTATTTTCAAAGGAATATTTACGCAGAGAGTGAAGGAACAAGTGTATCCCAGCCTGCAGAGCATTGTAAAATATATCACACCGCTAAAAAAGATAGTCTACTTTGACATTTCAGACAATGCGCTCTCCTTTAATGGAATGGAAATACTTGCACCAATGATAGAGAAGATGCACGTGCTGAAGCATTTAGTAATGAACAACAATGGAATAGGAATTGACGGAGGAGTATTTCTGGCAAAGGCGCTAGAAAATCTTTCAAAGGAAAGCACTGCACTGGAGTCTTTGGAGGTGGGAAGAAACCGGCTTGAGGAGTCAGCCACTAAGCTGGGGAAGGCACTGGAGCTCTTTCCATGCCTAGACTCTCTGAAAATATACCAGAACAGCATCAACACCATTAACATAGGGAATCTTCTGACATCCTTAGGATGCTTAAGTATGCGGATTCTAGACATATCGGACAACTTCCTGCTGGAGTACGGGTCAAAGGTCCTTTCCGAGTCGATGAAAAACTGGCCAATTGAGTACATGAACATTGCAGACTGCATTATGTCAGACAAAGGGCTTGCAGTATTTGAAAGCGCACTGGTAGAGCATATATCTGTGCAGGGAGAGCTGATCTCAGAGAAGGAGATAGACATGTCTTACAACGATATAACAGAAGAGTCCGTCGATATTCTGCGCGCAATTGTAAGAAAGTCAAATGACACCAAGCTAGTTCTAACAGGAAATGAAATAGGAAAACAGGAGATGCAGCTAATAATGAAGGATGCAGAAAATACCACATGCGAGATAGAATTTGAAGAGGAAGAGGATGACTTGATGTTCTCGTCAGAAGAAAAGGAAAAGACTATCTCTGATGAGGAGGATGTAATGCGAAAGCTAGAAGAGCAAATATCTGAAATAACTCTAAAGAAAAGTGAAGAGAACACAAGCTTCTCTCAATGAATGCGGTCTAAAAGGGCAATCATTCCTCTTGCTAAAATAAACATTTAATTCAAATTCAAACCTACCAATTTCTACGCACACAGGGCTGCTTGCAGAGCCGCCTATATTTATCATCTGCACGCGCTATAATAATACTCATACAAACTTATATAAAATATACATATTTGGCAAGATGCATGAAGTAGAAAAATAATCTTAAATATGCATGTTTTATTTAAGCATGCACATATAAATTAAAATTATTAAGGTTTGCACGCACATATCTTTAAAAAACACCTTCTTTTAAAAGAAATATCCTGAAAAGGCATATATTAAGTGCAATTCTGTCTCTTCTTCTACTGTAGTATGCTTTGTTTTCTATAGTATAGATGAATCCTTCATACCACACAAAACTAAACTAGGTAATCCACGGTATATGCGAGAGAACCTTTTAATATCTATTTTCCCTGCGTATAGGAATGTTTCATGTGCTAGTATGCAGAATCATTATTTATAAATTCATCTCTGTCTATGCTGATTTTATTTATTTACATGCATAGGAATACATCCAGTTTAGTACATAGAGCCTGAGACCTGTGGCTAAAGGGCACTAAAACACATATTATGATAGCGTACAAGACTGTGTAGCAGTAGACAAATAGATTTACATTCAGTTTCTGCCACTTTTTGGACCACTCAGCTGCAGATTCTGTTTATATGTGGTTAAATCATAAAACACAAAAGGCATTCGAAAAGTTTATTTTTGCAAAATGCCGTACAGAGCAACAACAGAAAAAGAAATGACCAAAGGAGAAGAGCCTCAACGAGGGGCAGAGGCAGAAATGCCTAAAAGTAGTGAAAGATGGATAAAGGGAAGCAAAGTGAGAAGTGTAAAAACCACCCATATATATAGTGGGATAGACGTGCAAACTCTAAAAAAGGTAGATTACATAGAAATGCCCATACAGAAGGACAGTGCTGAGAGGCTTGAACAGAACAGATGTATCATAGACAAAGAGTACTTGCCCACAGTGCTATACTTCTGGGTGGAAAAGGGCATTCTAACCATCATATCCAAGCCAAGGGGGCAGCAGCTTCTTCCCATGCTGCTTTCAGGACGGGATCAGCGCATTTTCCCCGGTTCTATTCTGTGCAATATCTCCAGAAAGATTCTGGAAACAGCTGCACAATTAGAGAGGGACCAGACAAAAAACAAAGTTACAATGGATAGCATCACTATTTCAGAAAAAGGTGAGATATACATACACAATGACGGCATCTGGAAGGATATTGTTGAAGCATGCCCGTCCGAAACGCAGAACGAAGAGGAAAGACTGCGCGAGCTGGGCATGGCTCTTCTCTCACTGGGAACCGGAGAGATGCTAGAGGGGGTTTCTATGTTCTCTGATATAGACATAGACAACGAAGAGATGCAGTGCAAAGTGCTTGAGCAGGTCATAAGGATCAGCATTCCCTGTTTTAAAGAGGTAGTGCTTTCTCTGCTTGGAAATAAATATACCCCACAGCTTCTTGAAGAGACACTTGCACTCCACTTTTTCTACCCAGAAGAGGAGCAGGAGATAGAGCCGTGCCGGTGCGAGGCCGAGGACTATCTGAATGGAGGGGACATGGAGGAGATGTACTACAATGAAAAAGAGTTTGGGCAGAGCCAGAAGAAAACCGAAGAGATATACGACTCTGCGGCAGGCGTGTCCGTAAAGGCATCAACTCTTGATAAAACAAAGTTTGCATTCCAGATGCACTTTTTTAAGAGCAGCAAAAAAGTCTCTTTCTTCTTTAACAAAAATGCAGACACAGTTGCTAGTGTGGTGAAAGAGATGGAGGATGAAGGCCTTGCAGAGGAAAGTGAGATAGAGCTAATAAAGGCCCACATGGAAAATCTAATGATTAAAATAGGCGAGAGCACTGCAGATGAGACAAACGAAGAGAAAGAGCCAGAGACAAGCGGACCAGCCGCCACACCAGTGTCTTTGACAGCTGGGGAGGAGAGCGACGCATTGAAAAAAGAAAAAGATGGAAGTGAAGCAGGCCCTGCGAGCACTACTACACAGGTAGAAGGCTCGGAAGACAGCAGTGACTATTCCATGAAGGAGTTCAAGGATACGCAGCCTATCAGCGAGTTTGTTTCTGAGGTCGCCCTAGTTGCAAAGCGTGCAAAGAGCATAGCTGATGGATGGGCTGGGCTTCTGAGAAAACAGGACATCAAAACAGTGGGAGACCTGCGCATGCTTACAGAGGAGGACTGGGAAATGCTTAAGCTTCCTGTCTTCGCCTCGCGGGCCATGAAGAACATTCTGTATGGAGAAGCATACACTCTCTTCCGGGAAAAGATGCTTGGAATTGACGAGCGCCTGAAAGAGTACGTGAATGAAAGCACAGTAGAAGATCTTCTATCAGAAACAGCCCAGAACCACGGAAGGCCTGAGATGTTTAATGTGTGGCTCCAGAAAGTCAAGTGCCAGGACATACGAACAGTTGGAGAGCTAAAGCTTCTAACAGAGGAAGACTGGGAGCAGCTGGATCTGTCGGTTTTCTCGTACCGGGCAATACGAAATGCAATATTTAGGCACTGCAAATGCTAAACACAGTAAAAAAAGCGTATAGTTGCTAGTTTGAGCAAGGAATAAAGTTAGATATATATTTAAGCGATCCGCACACATTCTATTATCTTTTTGTAATGCCTGGAAAGCTATTCAGTTTATCTGTTTTGTAGAGCACTATCCTTCCACTCTGAATCCTCTAGACAGTGCCTGCACTAACTCGGTACATTAATTGCTTTGCAGGCAGAAGGAGTTTTATAGAATGCGCTGTATACACAGAAGAGCAGGATCTCGTATAATAGCATTACTTTATAAGTGATATATCTCAGAGTTACCTAGGCTAGAGTCCATTGCACTGAAGCAAAAAGCCATCAAAAGGACCCGTTGGACAACTACAATCCTGCAAAGAAGACTAGGCCAGCTAGGGGTTTGGTTCCAAGACATCTCTATAACTTCAATATGTGTAGTTAAATAAATTCTATCTTGAATGAATATTAGTTAGCAGCAGTTGGAACTTTGAGCATAGCAGAGCCTTGCTACTATTTAAAGACACGTAATTTAAATGTGCGCCAGAGCAAAATATCTTCTGAGCAAGAACTTGTAGAAGATAGGCTGGAACCTTGCTATGTTTAGTTCCTTTGGATACAATCTATGGATACAGAGATTGTTTTATAGCAAGCCTTGCAATTGGCTCATGTGTGTCAGGCCACACTGCACAGAGCAAAAAAATCCAGCTCAGAAGTCAATTGGTGCAATATAAAACCCTAATGATAGAAGTTTTCTATAAATAAGGGCGCACTTTCAAAAAGCATGAGAGAAATAAAAACTCTATTTGAGGACACAGAAAGAATAAGGAAGCTAATGAAGGTTATAGAAGGAAAAGGAGAGAGTATTCTCATTGACTACACAAAAACCCATATTGATGCGGATGACATGCAGAAGTGGCATGACAAGCTTGAGAAAATGGACATTGCAGGGAAAGTCAAGGAAATGTTCTCAGGGAAAAAAATAAACTACACAGAAGACAGGCAAGTTCTCCATGTGAAGCTGCGCTCTTTAAGCGTAATACAGGCCATGCACACAGGAAAAGTAGACGGCCTGGACAAGGAGGAGCAGGAGATAGTCAAGGAGCTGGAGAAGATGCGAACCATCTGCAACGGGTTTGAGAGCGGATCCATGAAAGGCGCATCTGGGAAGCCCATCAGGAATGTAATTGGAATAGGCATTGGAGGAAGTGATCTGGGCCCTCGCCTTCTCACATCTTCTCTTCCGCCTGCATCTGCAAACGTAGGAAAGGAGTTCAGGTATGTCTCAAATGTGGACTCTCAGGAGATCCATGCAGCCCTTACCAACATAAATCTTGAGGAGACTGTATTTGTAGTTGTGTCAAAAACATTTACAACACAGGAGACCCTGGAGAATGCAAAAATTGCTGTCTCCACTCTCCTATACAACTATCCAAAGGAGTGCAGTGAGAAAGAGATCATAAAAGCACACTTTTTGGCAGTATCAGCTGCTAAGGATAAGGCTGCTGCATTTGGGATTGAGGAGTGCAATATTCTGGACATGTGGGACTATGTTGGAGGGCGGTATTCACTGTGGAGCTGTGTTGGTCTTACCTCTGCAATGAGCATAGGGTTTGATGCATTCCTGGAGCTTCTTTCCGGGGCCTCTGAGATAGACACACACTTCCTAAATACGCCTGTCTTAGACAACATTCCAATGCTTCACGCTATGGTTGAGTGCAAGTATATAAATGAGTACGGATACAATAACAAGTGCATTGTGCCATATGACTATTATATGAAGCTGTTCCCAGCATACTTGCAGCAGTGCGAGATGGAGAGCAATGGAAAGTCTGCCACACGCGCAGGACAGCAGCTTATTTCAGGGGAGTTCACAGAGAAAGGCGCTGAGCAGCAGACAGCTCCTATTGTTTGGGGGACACAGGGAACAGATGCGCAGCACTCCTACTTCCAGCTGCTTCATCAGGGGACAGTCCGGACTCTCTTAGAGTTCCTGATTCCAATTAACCCTCGGGTGGAAACTGAGAGGAGCAATACAGAGGGCCAGAGTGGCGTCTCCACATCACACGATGTGCTAGTCTCTAACTGCCTTGCGCAGTCAAGAGCACTTATGCTGGGGAAGGATGCAGAGGGAGACCGGTACTTTAGCGGTAATCGCCCATCTGTCACAATCATGTATAGCAACCTCTCTGCCTACACGCTGGGCATGCTAATTGCAATATACGAGCATAAGATATTCATCCAAGGAAAGGTGTGGGACATCAACTCGTATGATCAGTTTGGTGTGGAGCTAGGCAAGGTGCTTGCAAAGGAAATCTTGTCTAAGGTTGAAGAGAAAGGGTCTGCTCTAGGATTCGACCCTTCAACAGATACTCTCCTTGGATACTATCAGCAAAAAAGAAAATAAATCATTTGAGAGTGTTTTATTCTTTAATTTATGTTTCCAGTAGACACCTCTTTTATATTAGTGCAATGTAGTAATTTTAAAATACAGTTATTTTAGATGGTTACACTAGATATACATGAAATATATGATCAGCATGTATATTTGGCGTGCTAAAAGGAAGTTTACAATGACTTCTATACAAGAGAATGCATTCTTAAGTTTTGAATGAATCTTCCGTGTTTTCTATGCGAAGTTATTTAGCCTATTAAGACCAATAGCTTGCTAAAAAACAATAGAGGGAGAGAATGCAAAGATGTTTTAGACAGAAATTCTTTGGACACATTTATGTTTAAGTCTGCTGTTGCATGCAGCTAGCTTTAATCCAAAAACACAGCTTAAGAGCAGTAGAGCACTAGATAATAGAAGAGAAGCTAGGGTGTTCTTGCTGCATTTTCAATATGCATGCAGTGCAAATTATAAATGCAATGGAGTGCTCGATGGAGAGTATGGCAGCACACACTGCCGCAGAAACTCACTTCAGAGGCACACCGCCGGTGAATACTCTCTATTTCTTCTGAATGTGCGTGCAAATATGTTAGTTGCCCGATTTCCTCTGTTCGTTGAAAATATTATTTCTTTTATTTTTTTGGTCCCTGTATGAAACTTAGCATTGCAAATCCAGAAAGAACCACACAAAAGGTTATAGAGATCGAGCATAACGTAGAATCCGCTTTATACGAGAAGAGAATTATGGACGTCATTGAGGGCGAAATAATTGCTCCAGAGTGGAAAGGATTCCTCTTGCAGTTAACAGGAGGAACCGACAAACAAGGATTCCCAATGAAGCCCGGAGTTATGACACCAGACAGAGTAAGACTTCTGCTTAAGAAGAACGACGTTGGGTTCAGATGCACTGAGAGAGGCCTTAGAAGAAGAAAGAGCGTCAGAGGAGATGTGGTCTCTGAGCACATTGGTGTGCTGAACTTGAAAGTAGTCAAGGAGGGCGAGCACGTCTTTGAGGGATTCAACGATGTAATCAACCCACTGACCAGAGGGCCAAAGAGAGCTTCAAAGATCAGAAAGCTCTTTGGACTTAGCAGCGATGTAATGAACTTGGAAGATTACGTCATTCCTCACGTAAAGACCACAAAGAGCGGTGAAACAAAGATCGTAAAGCCAAAGATCCAGAGACTAATCACTGAGCAGCGCGTGCAGAGATGGCAAAACAGAATTGCTGAGAGAATTGAGAGACAGAAGCTTGCAAGAGAGAAGAAGGCTAAGTACTTCGCCATGATGAAGGAAAGAGGACTACTCACCAGCAGAAGTGAGGGATTCAAGACCAGGAGAACATCCGCATAATAAACCCAAGTTATCTTACTTTTGCCTTTCTTCTATGTACTGCAGTGTTTTCAATAAAGGCATAGCATGCTGTCACTTCTATTTATTTTTACCAATAGACAGTATATTATTATATTCTGCGCAGTTTGGCTTGGATACCCGGCATAACGATTCTTTCAAGCTTTATTTTATTTCTCCCTCTTCTGTCTCGCTCAGCAGCCTCCTCTCCTCTTTTAGCCGGCAATACTCCGCCTCTAAGCACACTCCCAAATACGCTGCCTCTTCCCTTGCAGATGCACACTCTTTAAATGCCTCGCTGTAGAACTCGTGGATGCTGCTGCAAAGACCAGTGTCTGATGCCGTGCTATTGATTATTTCTATGATCTCCTGCGCTCTTCTTGCTCTGCTCTTTTTAAAAACAGCTTCTACAACAGGAGCAGGAAGTTCAACTATGCAGTCCTTTAGAGGCCCTGTGAATCTATTCTCTCTAATGCTCTGCTCTACTTCTGGCTCTTTAATGCAGCACTCCAGCATGGAGATATTAATTGGTACCTTCAGGCTTTTTTCTACACTGCAGTATATTCTCAGCGGATGGCTCTTTATATGCCTCTTTAGCTTCTGGTATTCTGCACATAGTACTATGTGACCAGAGTGCATCATATAGTTGCATTCTGATAGATACTCTGCAATCCCCAGGAATATCACTGTCTTAGGCGCGTACTCTTCGTCTTCTATTAGTCTTCCAATCTCTAGAGCCTTTTCAATTATTACTTTGCACACCTCGCTTTTTGTCTTTCCTTCTTTTTTTCCTCTATTGGTGCACACTTCTATGATTGAAGGAGCCCCTATTTCATTAGCGTATTCCAGAACAGCATCTTTGGATAAATATTGCAATATTTTGTGACTGGGTACATATGCATTTTCCTTCAGTAGAATGTTTATCACGCAAATAGATGCCTCCTTATCCAAGTCAGCCATGACAGCCAATGAGTTTGTTTTGTTTAGAGCAACAATTGGTACATTCTGCCTCATGCAAAAACTATAGTTGCAGAATGATTTTCTATCTGTTATATACTGCTTCTCAGATAAAAAATGCTCTTGCGGGATTTCCACCCACCGACCCAGAGCATTGTCCTTTCTATAAATATTTCCTAGCGGGTCTACGTACTGCATTCGCTATTTTAGAATAATTGGTTAACAAAAGACAAAAATACAAGTAAGAATGGTGGATTGATTTTTCAAATCTGTAGATAATAGAGTGGAGGAAAGTCAGGGGAAAGAAATGGAGAGAACACAAAATAGTGAGGATTACAGGCAAGAGATTGAAAACACAACAAATATAAGAAAAAGAAAGGGAAGGAATCAGTCGGACGACCCAAACTCTATAGAATACTCAGATAGATACGATGAGTGGAGGAAAGAAGATCCAAATATGCTGCCATTCAATATCCTAGCTAAATGTGCAGCAAAAGAGCTCAAATACTTAGTGGGAAAATCTCCTAGAAGAGAGCACAGTTCTGAAAGCCTGGTAACAACCTCTGACGACGAAAGCGATATTGGGGACATAGAGTTTCCGTATTCTTTCTCTGGTGACAGAAAGGTCTACAAGTGTACCTTCGATGGGTGCAAAAAAGAGTTTCCTTCTCTCAGCAGAATGCGAAGACATTATATAATACATACTGGCGCAAAGCCTTTTAAATGTTTGAATGCAAAGTGCACGAAATCGTTCTCTAGGAGAGACAATATGATACAGCACTATAAGGGTCACTGTGTACATACAAAGATATAGCCCAAATGGTATTTTTGTATAATAAATTGCCAAACTTTCTATATAGTTTTAAATTTTTCACACCCTAGCCAAATTTTTAATGGGAAGAGTCAGTTCAAAGCTTATAAAAAATGCATCCAAGCAGTTTGTTGAGAAACATTACGGAAACCTCACAGTTGACTTCTACGAGAACAGAGATGTTCTGGAAGGTGTGTCCATCATTAAGGGAAAGAGAGTAAGAAACAAGATCGCAGGGTACTCCACCAGACTCATGAAGAGAATAAGATACGAGAAGGTAAAGGGTGTGTCTATTAGAGCCCAGGAAGAGGAGAGAGAAAGGAACGACAACTACGTCCCATCTGAGAGTATCATTGACGTCGAGAGAATCGAAGTTGACAACGTAACAATGGAAATGATAAAGGCAGTTGGACTAACAGGCAGCTTCTTTGTTCCATCCAACGAGGCATAAATAATCTAACAATAAAGAGTTCGCGAATATACGCCGTCTTTAGTTTTCTGTACGCGTTTTGAACACTGCTATTCATGCAAACCTTTTTCTATGCATTTCTTTTTGCTTCTTCCTTTCATGCTGTGTCTCTGCATATACATGCATCTTCTTACTTACTCGCGCATTGTAAGAAAATTAAAGAACAAATATGCAAAGAACAACTCTGCATTTTACATGCCTATTTGAAAAACCCCATAATATCAGAAGCATCGGTTCCAAACCCAATGAAACAATCAATATAACCTGAATGCTGCCCGTATAAAGAAGCATAAAGATGCTTTATCAAAGTGTATTCTGCTAATACACCTTCGCATTAGAAGAATAAATAAAAGTGTTTTATAGAATATTATGCATTAGAGGAATACACTTGCATATTGAAAAATGACCATTTATTCAAGTAATGGCGAAGACTTAAGAGGAACAACCATTCTAAAACGAAGGTTATCCTTGTCCTCTATCCGAATAAAGAATCCTATTCTTATAAACTGCCAGTAAACACCCACAGGTGATTTGGCTATCTCTGGCGAGACACGCGCAGTCTTATATTCTGCAATTTCTTTATCGTGCACGATTTCAAGAATGGCAGTAGGCGCATCAGTTGGCAGCCAAGGCACCACTGCATTGTGTGTGTCCTTAGACTTTCCAAGAATACGCTTCTCCTCATCCACAAGCTTCAACGGGCCTATATCCTTTAGGAAGACAGTAGTATCTCTTTGTATTCTGTAGAAGGATGGGTCAGGCTCACCTGCTCTAAAGTCCTTTCTATCTACAAGAATTGTTCCAGTGGGCACCTCAATTGTGAGTGGATCAAGAATAGCAGTAGACTTAGAAGACAGGAAAAGGTCCTCTCGAATGATATTTTCAAGAACGTGCTGTGGGGTCTCGCTTGCCACTGTTGTAATTCCAAGTGACTCCACAAATCTGCGAATACTGTGGGCAGGCACTCCCTTGCTTCGAAGGCCCTCTAGAGTGCTAAGTCTTGGATCGTCCCATCCGGTGAATTTCTTCTCATTGATTGACTTGGTTATGTACCGCTTGCTTAGAAGGGCTCCTGTGATGTTGAGCCTTGAGTACTCCCACTGCACAGGCCTATAGAGATCCAGCGCATCGCACAGCCAGTTGTAGCTTGCCCGCGAGTTGATGAACTCGGTCGTGCAGAACGAGTGTGTTATGTCCTCGAACGAATCAGTCAAACAGTGTGTAAAGTCATACGATGGATAGATGACCCACTTGTCTCCCGTGCGCACATGCGGGTGCTTCACCACCCGGTATGCAATCAGATCCCACAGCTGTGGATTGTCGCTTGTCATGTCCATCTTCATTCTTAGAACAGCCTCCCCTTCTTCATAGTGCCCATCCTTCATCTTCTGGAAGAGCTCAAGGTTTTCCTCAATTGGCCTGTCTCTCCATGGGCTGATAACTCTTTCGCCTGCATCCTCTCCTGCAGCTTCCTTTTCTTTGCATTCATCAATCTTTGTTGCCATGGTCTCTTTCCTCTTTTCTGCAACCTCTTTTCGCGACAGATGGCATATATACGCCTTTCCTCGCTTGATCAGCTCAACTGCGCATTCGTACAGCCTATCAAAATAATCAGACGCATTTGTGATTTCATCTGGCTTGAAACCCATCCACTCAACCATCTCTTTTATTTTTTCATAGTACTTCGTCTTCTCTGCCTTTGGATTTGTGTCGTCGTATCGCAGAGATATCCATCCATCATAGAACTCCTTATACCCGAAGTTTATACTCATAGCCTTTGCATGGCCAACGTGCAAGTGGCCATTTGGCTCTGGTGGAAACCGCACGCGCACCTGCCCCCGTGTTCTCTTGATGTGCTCTCGAAGAATCTCGTTGTTTTTTTGGTAGTTCGTAAAGGGCGTGTGCATTGTTTGCATTTCTCCCTCAAGATACCGCGTCCATTTTCTGTCTTTGCTGTTGTACAGCTCATCTGAAATTGTCAATTGTTGGAATTTTTTATTTATTGTTCGAGTCGGCGGGTGTGCTTGTGTTGCCATTTCAAGCAGCTCATTAATCATTTCATCTGTCAGGCCACCCACACTCTTTTCTAGCTTTTTTCCCTTCCCCTCAGCCACGCTTTTTATTTCCAGCCTGCCCATCAGCTCAAGAATCGTTTTTGGCGCCACAAACTGCAGCCTTGGATGGTGCTTCAGCTCTCTCAGCACTTTTGCCTTTGGCTCGCCTGCATTCTCCTGCATGATAGCAGCCGCAACATTTTCCATCTCTGGCAGAGACGGTATGTTTCGATGCATCTGCTCTACAATCTCATCAACACTCATCTCGCGTGTACTGTGTTTTATAATACTCTCTGCATTTCTAATATCGATTTCTGTTTTTATTTCTGTCTTTTTAATCAGCTCAACACATATTTTTGCAGTACTTGCGCTATTTGCTAATTCAATTACCTTATACAGGAGCTTTTTCTGCTCAGAATCTAGATTCTCTGGGGTTTCTATCTCTGCTTCAATAGCTTCAAGCACATTTCTCACCCTTTTGTTCTCCAGCAGCTCTTGCGCTTTAGCTTCTTTTATTCCGACTTTGGCTAAATAGTCTAGGCCCTTTTTCTTTTCGCTTTGCAAGCTCATTACAAAAATAAAATTTCAAATTTATTTATGCTTGTTGAAGTCGATAAAGTTTCAATCCAGAGAAGAGGATATCGTCCTTTTTGGATGGGATCACAGCCTCTTTTTTCAGTAAAGGTTAAATGCAACCAGACAGAATCCCCTGTGGTCTCTGTGAATAACAGAAGAAGTTGTAGAATAGGGCTTGTGTTTGAAACAAATGCATCTGAAGATCAACTTGCTCTTGTGTTAACACTTAACAATGAAATTGTAAACATTCCTCTTGTATTAGACACATTTGTGATTCCTGTTTTGTTTAAAAACTACAAAGTGACTATCTTTGTGAGAGTCATAGACCGGCCTTACTTTTCTCTTTACGAAATGAACTCGCTGCAGATGTCTTTGACAGATCCATCCGATTTGGTTCCAAATATCCAGTCCTTTTCAACCTACTACAGCACGAAAAATGGCCTGATCAAGCGCTATTTATACGACGGAAACAGCTACAAAGTCAACCCAAAGACATTTGAGGTCACTGACTACTTCCCAATCCTGCAAAACCCCATTATCGCAGAAGCCCACAGATACACGCTTTCTCTTCTGAAAGTCGGCATCACTAAGAGCTCAAAAGAAGACGAGGCATTTTTACGGAACCTTCGAAGGCTTAGAAGCTCGCCCAAAATGTTTATTTCCATATTTTTCCACATCTCGCTAGAGGCTTCCCGAGAGTCGATTCTGCATTCTCTCTATAGACTATATGCAAATCCGTGCTATAAAAAGGATCTATATAAAAGAATAACAGTCAAGTTCGTTGGGGAAATGGGGGAGGACCACGGTGCTCTTCGCAAGGAGTTCTTTGAGCTTGCAGGAAACGAGATTGTGCAGGACAGCCGGTTCTCCCTTGTAAAGGGGCTTTTCGATCTGGCAACATCTTCCGAGCTGGCAGATGAAGCCCGCCCTAAGAAATATGTTCTTGATGTTACTGACACACAGTTCTATTCTTTTGTGGGCTTCTTTATTGGGCATGTCATCTTCCAGCAGGTGCAGATAAGCGTGCGCTTCACCAAGAGATTCTACATGGCTCTTCTGAAAAAAGAAAGCACGTACAATGATATTACAGATGAAACCCTGAAAAACAGTATAGATTGGATTAAAAATAACTCAGTTAGCTCAATGGACTTTGTGTTTAAGTCCAATAAGTTAGTAAATAACAGCAACAAAAACGAGTTTATTAAAGAGCTTATATACGAAGAAACATTTGGAAAATTTCCAGGATATTCTTCTATGGCGCAGGGCTTTGCTAAAGCCGTCTCAGATGTCATATTTAGCTTTGAGCCACACCACCTGGAGCGGCTGCTTTCTGGTGTCGCGCAAATTTCTGTTAGCCATCTGAAATCACTTGCAGTCTATCGGGACTGCACTGTGAACACGGAAGAAGTTGTAAATTTCTGGCGCATTCTAGAGTCCTCAAACGAGCAGTTCAAGCGGGATCTTCTTCGATTTGTTACGGGATCTTCTTCTCTTCAGAATATACCTGGCTCTGTTTCAGAGTGCATCATTATTACACAGATAAAGATACAAGGGTCTCTTCCAACGGCAAATACGTGCTTTAGAAGGCTAGTATTATACAAGTATTCTTCGTACTCTGAGTTGAAAAATAAGCTAGAGAGATCTATAAAAGAAAACGGAGGCTTTCACTTTATATAAACACATCTTTCTTTTCTATAAACAGACTATTTTTCAGTGTATCTTATTTACTTCTGCTCTTCTCTAGTGTCAATCCAACTTTTGTTTTTTAGCCATGCGAATTCTTTTGTGCTGTCACAGCTTCTAGCCATCATATGTCTATATTTTATGCTGTTTATATTCTTTCTTCTGTTTGCCTGCTTATTGAACTTAGCCATGCTAATTCAAATATTTGCTTTTCGCTCTTAATTCTGCTCTGTGCTCTACATACTAGGGTGCATATATTACAAGATACTTTTTTTATAGTCTACACATCTGCAAAAAGATATTTTAGTGAATAATACATTTTTTTCTTTTCTATCTAGCCATACTTATTCTTTCTCTACATAACACTGCCTGAGCCATCTTAAATAAATAAATTAGCTAATTGTAAGAAAAGCTAATGAAAATTGCTTAATAGAAAATAACTCTAGGCTAAACCATACAGATCTTTCTATATTCTCAAAAGAACATTTTAGACCGTCTTCTGTGTTAATGTACACTGAAATGCATTATTTTATGCTGCTGTCATAGCTTTTTATGTGTGCAGTTTTCCAGGATATAAGGAGCATACTCAAAATGTAAAAAACCGCAGAATTGCTATTTCTGCAAGCTGCTGTGTTGTTCTTCTTCATATATCCAGGAGTTCTGCTCTTTGCAAACTTCTTATAAAGACATGCAAATTGAAGGCTCTTATTTACCTGCTTGTTTATATTTATATGGATTTTGCAAAGAAAGAAGAGACCATTCCGGCCACCATGCGATATTTGATTGTGCTTGCCTCCTTTCTCAGCCTTCCTGTTTTTGTTGCAGAGCAAAGGTTACTGGAGAAGAAATACATACTTTGCTCTTTTGCAGGGTACACCGTAGGGCCCTTTCTTGCACTGATTCCTCTTGGATATAAGGCGCGCTGCATGCTTGGCAGTGCGTGCAGTGCTCTTCCTTTGTTTTTTTCGTTTGCTCCTTATCTGCATGCCTTTTTACTTGGCCTTATCTCTTCATACTATCGCCTTGTTATTGATTTGTTCTGCCAGGCGCTGTGTGTTAAAACAAAAAAGAAACAGGTTGTTATCATGACTAACCTGATCGGTGCATGGATTTCTTTTTTTACGTTCTTTTCTCTTCGGTTCTATCCTGTGATTTCCTTTTTTATTTGCACTCGCTTCTGCACTGTTCTTTTCGCATGCGCAGGCACTGTTTTGTCGTACATTTTTATTATTGAAACCCCCGAGGAGATATTCAAGCGGTATAGAGCAGCAGAGAAAAAAAGCGCTGCATACGAAGATCTATATAAGTGCATTATGTATATCAATAGCTCGCAACAGATAAATATGGAGGACTTCCAGAAGGACTACAGAGAATATCTGAACGAGAAAACACAACCCAACGATAACTCTACGCTGCGCGAAAGAGCAACTGCTATTCTTGCTGCTGTCAATATTTCCTTTATATACATAGCCTTTCAGCGGGCTGCAGGCGTGCAGAACAAATATTCACTCTATCGAATATTTTTAGGCTGCATGCAGCTGTTTACGTGGGCTATTAACTATATGTCTGGAATGGGAACCATATACTCTTTTTTAATACCTCCTGCTTCTCTTTATTTTGTGTGTGTTAGCACAAACAATCCTGAAGATATTGCGCTTGTTTTTGTCATGCTGTTTGGCATAGGGCTTGTCTCTCACAGAGCATCCGCGCACTCTCTTACTCCCGCAGAAATGGCGCTTTCTCGCAGCCTCCAGTATATTTTTGTAACTCCCATTTTCCTTATTCTTGTTCTTAATTTTCTGGACTAGAGCCCTTCATGTACATAATAAACTAAGTTATCCACACATACTTATTATTTATGCAGATATAGTGTGTTTATGCCTTCTAAGATACTATAATTCATCTTTTCTAGATAAAATATTCTATATACTATTGAATCGGCCTCTCTGTTTGGAAGCTCTAATCTTGAAAATATGTGCTCTTTTATGTATGCAATATGCTGTTGCTTTTTCTGGCTACTTCTAGTTTTCACCTGCACATGCTTTTCTGAATTTTATACATGCTATTTTATTCACTAAAATGAAAGTCTTTTTTATTTTCTTTTCTATAGAGGGTTTCTTTTATTTTAGTAAATGAAGAAATCGCATAATTACTCTATTATTTGTTGTTTTGGCATAAATATCTCTCAGTCAATTTGCCAAAAACAAACATATGGGGTCAATTATAGACATGAGGCACATATGCAGTCACGTTTCTCTCCCAGCATGCTCTATTCTCTTCAGGAATACAGTACATGCACAGTACCCAACAAGAGCAGTTTCCGTATTTGGAATTAATCTGTACTCTATATATACTATCATAGCAATAATACTTAATATTATCCTTACAGTGATTCTTATTAACAGAACCAAGATAAAGTACTCTTTTCCTGCAAGAAAGGAAACTCTTATATTTCTGAAGGTCTATCTTGGGGCGCTGTTATTCGATCTGGTGCTCTGCTCAGGCCTTGTAAAGTCTTCCTGGCATGCAGCGTATTCTGCAGTCATAAGCTTTCAGATAGCATGCACCATGACATGCTTTATTTCTGCCATGTGCACTGGGCTTGTGTGGATGCTTCCAAACAGAGTGGCAAACTCCTGCTCCAAAATAGCTGCCTTTCTGACAATGTGCTCGCTTGCAGTGGGGTTCTTTGGGTCGCTCATTTCTATAACCTCGGGCTTGGGCGTAGGCCTATTTTTCCTTCTTTATCTTGTGCCCTTCTTTTTTGGAACACTGTTCATATTTACACAGCTGTCTAAGCTCAAGATTCTCAATGCAGAAATATGGAGCTATGCATCCTTGCTTCTCATCATCGGTCTTTCAGCAGTGATTGCAATAACACCAATGATATTGGGCAGAGTTATTGTTCTACTATCTGATCGATACCTAGATGGAATATTTCTCATACATGCAACTGCCATGTGTGTTGTTATCAAAGTATATGATCTGTGGGCTCTTGACAACGAGCAGGAAATTGAATGCGTTAATACTGTAAAGCTAGTTAATAAATAAATTTTTGTATGGAAGAAAAGACCACCCGCGTTCCCTCACGGGCATTTACCTCACTTCTTCGCTTTTCCAGCTCTATAGGCCTGCTAGGCTCAAAGTACCACTATGGGTTTATTTCGGATCTTGGGTCCACGCAGCAAGACAGAGAGCAGATAACAGGATTTGTAAAAGCGCTTGAGCAGGAACACGCCCCATATGTGATAGTAAAAAAGTGCATAGTATATCTAGACAGAGAAAGACTGCGGGAGATAAGAAGAATGGGCAGAAAGCATCCAGAACATGCACTTCGCGTCTGCAGGGCTGCACTTGAACACTTAATTCCGAGATGGAGTGTGTCTCTTAAGACGCTGTTTCTCTCTGCTTTGCATCGCATGGAAGATAAAGTAGAACACATACAGCTTGCAGTAGAAGTAAGTGAGGCCTTAGAGCATGCTCTTGATACGCCCACGCAAGAATATCTAGACAGATATATTGCTTCTAGATGCACACACGGCATAATATTGCAGGCTATTAGGTTCATGCTGGAACACACAAAATATACAAAGTATCTATCAAGCCTGCTGTCTATATGCTATTCATCAAGCGAAGGAAAGGAGTATTTTCTCTCTCTTCTGCAGGTGCGCACTGCCAGTAGCACTCTTCTCTATATTCATACTGTGCACGCTCTTTTTAAAAAGAATGTATTTCATCGCCTAAATGCACAGAGCGCATTGCAGAGCCGTATTACAGATATCATTGCTTGCGAGATGCATTGGCTCACAGAGAAAAGGAAGTATAGAGATGATTCATCCACAAAAAAGATCAAAATAGAAAGTACAGGTATGTACAGCAATTCCCACAGTAGAGTGCTTGCAAGTGCTCTGCATTTCTTAGAGGTAGCTTTTAGATGTAGCTGGTTATCTTCTGCCCAGATAAAAGCCACAATTCCACTTCTATTTGCTTTATTTAAGAAAAGCCAAAAGATTAAAGCACTTAGAACGCTCTCATATACAGCACAGCACATGAATAAGGAAGATGCTGCAGTTCTATCTAGTGCAGGTATGTCTTACATCTCTTCTACTTTGGAAAAGGAGGAGAAAGAAAACATACAAAAAGATATATCATCAGTAGTGGTGCTGTATAACATTTCCACGCCTGAAAATATTCAGCTGCTAGGAATGTCTGGCATATATAGGCTATTGGAAATGAAGGAAATAAGCAACCAAAAACTCACTGCTATTATTGGAAGGGCATGCCAGAACAAGTATATGTGCCTGCAACTCTTTGAAGAGCTTATAAACAAGCACGAAAGCTCGCTTGCTATTATTAAAGCATTTGCACATGCAAAGATACAGCTTTCAGACGAGATGCTTTCTAGCTATGTGGATATGGTTCAGAGTCAAGGTGGGCCTGGATGGATAGTTACTGAGCACAGCTCTAAATACATTATAGAGATTCTGCCAGAAGATCAGAAGGAAGAACTTACCTGCCATATGCTTCAATGGGCAAGTGCTCTTCTTTCTCGATCTGAAAACAGCATATACTTATGCCACATTATTTCTGAGTGCGCTGCACATGTATCAAGCTCCTCTGCGCTGCATGCTGCATTAACATCTCTTTATGCCCAATTTGGAGAGAAATCCGACAGTGCAGCCTTCTTTCGAGCATGCCATGCTATCTTTTGTCGTCTCATAGCGCTAGGCCAGCTATCTACAGATAGCTCCATGATTTCCGTGTTTGTGTTCAAGCTTCCCTGCTGGATCCGTGAAGTAGAGACCGCTCTTTTGCCAAGAATATACAAACTTGCACGCTGCCTGCATGCACACACGCGCGGGTGGATAGAGTGGGACAATACTTTTTTTTCGGTGCTGGAGAGACTTCCAGCATACGCGCCTGGCAAGAAAACTGCAGAGTTTTATTTGATGGAGTCTCTCTGCTATTATAGAAATATAGACAGGGCCACAAAGATAATAGACCGCTACACAGCTAGCCCAAATGCAGCACGCTGTGCATACAGGGCCCTCCAGGCTTTTAGCGCGGGCGGCTTCATGAAAGAGGTTCTTAGCTATCTTATAAAACGATACACCGAAGAGAAGACAGAAAAGAAAGCTGCAATAGTTAAACTTATTGTCTCAAGTGTGAAAGGAACAACCGAGAAAACAGATCACTCTGTGAATAGCCTCTTAGTTGCAGTCCCTGTTCTTGAAGATGCGCTAAAATCAGGCAATACATCAGGAAAAAAGAACGCACTAGTTTTATCTGCTCTTCTCATCCAGAAATCTGCTGGCTCTGTGATTGGGTATAAAATGGCAGTGCATATACTCAACTGTGTTTTTCCATTAATTCTCAACAAAAAAACACAAAAAGAGTTCTTGGCTGTTCTAGCAGCTGCTACAAAGAGTCTGTCTGTTGAATTTGTTGCGTCATATCTCACGCCAGGCCTGGCACATCCCGACAAACGGGTTAGAAGCATGTACCAAAAGTCCTATATCCATGTAAAGAATAGTATATTATATGTCTCTCTGTTAGGGCTTCCTGACCCTATGGAGATTCCTGACTTTCTATCTACATGCATAATTTCGCATAGAGAGTTTACAAAAAATTTCTAGTGTCTGCATATTTTTATTGCTGGATATAAAGACAGACAGTATAGCTTAAAATATTTTGCATATAGAAAGAAAAGTCTACAGTAAAATCAGCATAGCAATAAATTTATTTTATTATGCTTTTCTATCCAGCAAGTGAAGATACATATCTTATGGAGGATGCAATTAGAGCAAGGCCCGAAAGAAATGTCCAGTTTATTGTTGAGGTTGGATGCGGCTCTGGGTATATAAGCAAGGTTCTGGCAGAGGTCTACCCATCTTCGCAAATAATAAGCACGGATATAAACCCCCATGCTATAGAAGAGACTTCTCGTGTCTGCAAGGGGCTAAATGTCACTGTTGTTCAGACGTCCATAATAGATGGTATAAAAGAAAGCATAGACATGGCCGTTTTCAACCCACCATATCTTCCGAGTGAAAAGGAATACCTAACAGGCGAGTGGATGGATAGAGCCTGGGCAGGCGGTGAGAAGGGCATGGAAATAACTAATAAATTCCTTGATGAAACTGCGCATATTCGTATACGATATGTTCTTCTTTGCCAGTACAACAATCCAGCGGATGTAATAGAGAAGCTTGTATCTAAAGGATACTGTGTAGAAGTTATTAAGCAGCAGAAAATACTTAATGAAAACCTTCAGATTGTTAGAATAGAGCGCAATGAGGCAAGCACTGAGTAGATATATGCACTTTATTCGGCCTTTAAAGCAGAATAAAGAGGCTTGGCATCACTGCATTATAGAATTTCACAGTAGCCAGTGCATCATATTAAAGGGTCCATATTTGCATATTCTAAAAGAAAAAGGTTTGTGTGCCACTAGCGCAGTATATAGACAGGTAATTAAAATAAAGAGTATTTAAAACAGACTTGCCTTCGAATAAAGCAGTCTCCAATAAGAAGACTTCCTGTCTGCCAGAAAATTGAAGTCAAAGCGATATGATAGGGCAATATATGTCTAGAGTTTTTATTGCTCTTTCTGAGCTTCTATAATAAAGATCTACTTCTATTACTCTGCAATTGTTATGTGTCTATAAGGGCATTTTCGCAGCCTGCTCACAGATACATACACATGTACATAGTCTTTTGTATCATTGTACAGACACTTAGCAGAGTCCTCTGGCAGCTTAGATAGTTCCATAAAAGTTTCGGGCTTATGTTTCATTATATTGTTTTAAGTAAAAAACTGGCCAATACCCTGCATGCCCACAGGGAAAAATTTCTGGCATTGGAAGACACCAACTGCATATTGCGCTCAGACTTCAATTTATATTAAACCATAGAGAATAAGAATAGAGCTCTTCTAATAAAGACCGATAAGACCTCGGGCTTTCAATTTAGAGACATAGTCTACTTTCATCTGAATGCACTTCATATAGAGTGGAAATATTGTGCAGTGGTATGAATCTTTTGGCAGGCCGTATTTAAGAATACACAAATGAGCATGCGCTAATTTCAACCTCAAGTTGAGCGTGGTTAAAAAGAACTAGCGCACATCTTTGGTACAGCTCAAAGATATAGAGAGTAAGCATAGAGGCATTTACTGTGGCATTAATCTATATTTATTTAGTTGGACATGGAGGATGAATTGTCATCTGACTCATCATTTTCTTCATCAAATTGTGGTTTTGGCCCAAATACAGCGGGCTCTAATACAAGCTTGAACTCGCTCTGGTCCTGTATAACTCTTGTCTCAAGCTTTACCAAAAGATCCTTCAGAACTTTAATGCCCACCTCGCCATCCTCACACATAAGCGAAAAAGAAAAGACTGGAGAGGATATCAAAGATACATCAACCTCTGGGTATTCCTTTTCAATCTTCATAAGAATAGCCTTGATAACCAGCACCCCATTTCCTTTGTTGCACTTTGTTTCGGCATCTGCCCGCACCTTTACTTTGGGCACCACAAACTTCTGCTTCACCAGCTCCTCAATGTCCTTCAGAAGGTCGTCTGTAATAAAGTCAGTTCTTTCTAGCTTGTTCTGCAGGACGCTTTCTCCAAAGAGCACCTCTCTAAAACACTTGTACAACGAGCCAAACTCCTTCTCTGCCTCCCAGGCAAACTTTGTGTATAGAGTCTCCAGCGTGCAGTTGCATTTAACTGATATACTCTGCATGAAGTTGTGTGCTATTTTCCCCTTATAGTACTTCTCAAAGGCCTCCACTTTGTCCTCGTACTGTGCTCTTTTTTTACTTAGATCAATGTACCCCTTCTCTCTATCCACTTTCAAAACAAGAAAGCCTTCAAGAGTTCCAACCTTTATTAATTTTTGTATATTTCTTGTTCTTTTCTTTGTTAGCTCGCTGTAGATAATCAGGCCCTCGATATCGTTGTATTCTGGCAGTGTGATATATGCTCCAATGTCGGAAAAGCTTTTTATTCTCCCGATAACAACCTTTCCCTCTTTTGGGTACTTTTCAAAGTAATATCTATGTGTTTGGTTAATTTCCATGGGGTATTAATATAAAATTTATTTATACAATATGCCACTTTCAAATAATAGGATAAAAGAGTTACTGAACTATAAATTTGTTGGCGTAGACGAGTCTTTTCTATACTATCACTGCCAGATCAAATACTGGGACAGGATATTAAACTACATTCCAATGTGGGTGGCTCCAAATGCAATTACGCTTACTGGATTTATTGCAATGGTGATTCAGACAGGTATTGTCTGGTACTTGGACTCCGGTCTGACAGGCAGTATAAAGTGTCTTCCTGCGGTTTCTGCAGCTTTTATGTGGTTCTACTCGACTCTGGACTGCCTGGATGGAATGCAAGCGCGGAGAACTGGCGCAAAGTCGCCTCTGGGGCAGTTGTTTGACCATGGTGTTGACTCAATTGTGTGTACCTTGATTATTTATTGCGCATCCTCAGCAATCGGTCTGCAAAAAAAAAGAAGCGTGTTTTTCTTGCTTCTGTGTGCGCAGGCTGTTTTCTACTGGGTGACAACAAAAGAGTATTACACCGGTGTCTTTTATCTTGGCTTCATTGGGCCAACTGAGTCAATTGCTCTTGGATGCATCTTTTTCCTTCTATTAAGTACTGTTGGAAAAGATAGACTTCTTCACTTCCATCCATGGATCAAGAAGAATTTTTCCTTGATTATTGAATGTATATGTACTTTTTTCTGGCTGGTTGTCACTATGTACTATCTTGTTTATATAGAGCTAAAAACCGAGTTCAAAACACAGGCAACACTGATTCTCCCAGAAGGCATCAGAACCTTCCCACATATACTTTTTATTGGGTCACAGATTCTCACAGCTATTTCATTGCTAAACACTAGCTTTATAGAGAACAATATAGTGTTCTACTTTTATCTAGCAATTACTACAATGGAGTTTTCTCTATTTAGCATCTGGACCATATTTTCGCATCAGCTGTCAATGCCTATTTATATCCCTGCTCGGTTTATGATGCTTCCCCTGATAGCGAACTTGGTTCTGGTCTTTGCGACCTCTAAAAGAGCTTCAATTCTTATCTCTATGATTGGCACGCTTGCCTTTATTGAGTATTTCTTAACAACAAGAGATATTATTGGTAAATGTCTTAAAGTTCTAGGAATTCCCTTTTTCTTTAATAATTATAAAGCCTCTTAATCATTAAATGTCTGAGTTATTCAATATTGTAAACACTATACTTTTTATCCATTTTTAAAGGCTATGCACTGTGCAGCCTGCATTTTATTTTTCTGCATGCACGTTTTCTATGGGGGCGGTGCGGTGTAAGTACACTCTATTCTATATGCAGACTTGCACTAGTGTTTTTATTCCAAAGGAGCTCTAAATTTTTTATGCTGAAAGCGCGGATTAAAATATTTACTGCAGCGGATAGAAAGAATGAGATATCCCGGTTCGTATACGTGTCACAAGGGCCTGTGCACTCTGTGCGAGATGCAAAAGAGGAAATAGAGGCGATCTTTTTCAGAGCGTTGAATATAAAAAAACACATATTGAGCATTGCAGATTCTGAAGGCTATATATTCAGCGAGTGGCTGCCTATTGATAAAGTGTTTAGTGATAAAGTAAGTTTGTATCTGTGTGATGAATCATGCAATAAGTGCAAAAATAACGAGGTGGAAGAGTACACCTATGAAACAGAGGAAGAGTCAAAGGAGAAACAAGAACAGGTGGAAATAAAAATAGAAGTTCCTCCTCCAGTAGAAAGTAAGCAGAAAGCTCTACTAATACCAAAGAAAACAAGCATGCTTTCATCTATTGCATTTAAAAGAGACTTTAAACGCCCACCATTCACCGTGCACTCGGGAAAACCCATAGAAAAAGGAACCAGCCCACAGAAAGAAAGTACAGCCACACCCACTAAAAGTGAAGGGGTTGGCAGTATTTCAGAGAAGAAAGTTTCCTCAGTAAATATTAATGAAAGCACATATGAAGTGAACAACATTGTAAAGGCAAGCACTCTAAAAGGCGCCTCAAGCCACACAAAAGAAAATGAATGCGATGAAGCCACAGACGACGCAAGCAGCACAAATATACCTTCTACTTGCTACAGCACATCTGCAGACGAAGGCGCGTCTGACAGCAGCACTGGGAGGAAATACATTCTGAAAAGATCCTTGCAAATGCAGCCAGTTCGAAAAATGCAGGTGCCTACAAGCCGATATGGAAAGAGAAAATAAGAACTGTCTTTTATATTTAAAATGTTAAACAGAATTGAAGAAAAGCTTCTTTCCCACCACAAGCCCTCCAAAAGAGAGCTAAGAACCATCTGCTCGAAGGCAATGGATATCCTGCTTCTAGAACCAAACATTGTGCGGATGGAGCCTCCTGTGGTTGTGTGCGGGGACATCCATGGGCAGTACGACGATCTTCTTACAATATTCAAGATAAACGGAACGCCAAAGAAAACCAAGTTTATATTTATGGGGGACTATGTGGATCGAGGCTTTAACTCTGTGGAGACAATTTCTCTTCTTCTCTTGTACAAAGTTATGTATCCCCAGAACATTGTGCTTCTACGGGGAAACCACGAGTCAAGAGAGCTTACAGAGACATACGGACTTTACAAAGAAGTGTGCACAAAGTACACCTCCCAAGACGTTTGGAAGCTTCTGTGCGAGACATTCACGTTTCTGCCTCTTGCGGCACTTGTGGGAAGCAGGGTGTTCTGCGTGCATGCAGGAGTGTCTCCATACGCCCTTACTTTTGACAAAATACTAAGGATAAATAGGTTTATGGAGATTCCAACATCTGGCCCCATGACAGACATGCTCTGGAGCGACCCAGGCATCTACCCCGGGCACTACCCAAGCGAGAGAGGCGCGGGCTACATTATTGGCCCAGATGTTGTGCAGAAGTTTCTTGTGCTCAACGATGTGCACATTATATGCCGATCGCACCAGCTTGTTAATGAAGGATATAAATTTGCATACAGCAATCGAGAGCTTGTGACTGTATGGAGTGCGCCAAACTACTGCAACCGAATGGGGAACAAAGCGACTTTTCTCAAGATCGGAAAGAATTTGAGAGTTGACGACGACTCGTTTGTTTTCTTTGAGCAAGTACAGAAACCAGCGAAAGAGATAAGAAAGCTTCCATATTTTCATTAATTTTTATATGAGGATAAGGGAAAACAAAAGAGTGCAAGGTAAAAAGAATAAGAGTAAGTCTACTCGCAGATTATTTGTAACTGCAGCAATTTCTATCACCGCACTAGTGCTTTTATTCATGTGGAACTCTGGGGACAGAGAAGTTGACTTTAACAAGCTTGAATATATTGTCTCTCTCCCAAGTGATGACGCAAAGCCCAAGCTTTTTTTAAAAGAACCTATAAGAGCCTTTAACACATCAGCTACTGAGGAGGATATAGATTATTTGCGAAATAGATACGTCATTGTCCAAAGCACGTATAAAGGAAAGCTTGTAGCAAGCGTGTTCATCAATCCTTACCACTATAGAAGCAGCAACAGCTCTCCAAGCGGCCTGGTGCTAGGATTTGAGGTGTATAATATGTATGTGTCTCCCAAATATCAAGGAAAGCAGCTGTCGATTAATCACTTATATAGAACGCTTAAGCTGGTGAAAAGTATATACAGTGTGAAAAAAGGCGAAAGCGCGTATGTAATTCTCCATGTTTCTCCACTTGACAGAGATATGAGCAAGGCGTATGCACTGTATCGAACACATGGGTTTGTGCATGGATTATTTACCGAGCACGGCCCATACTCGCTGCGCAAAAGATCCGAGATTTTCTTTAGGCCTGCCTCTTTGGATTTTATTATAGAAAACCACCCATATTATACTAAAGACTACACAGGCACCCGCAGTACTAAAGGGCCGAAGTTTTTGACGCTGTTTGCTAAAGTTGACGATGTTCTGCAAGCGGCAGAGATAAATGCATATAGCAAAAATGAATACACAAAGCACAAAGAAAAAGTTGAGCACTTGCGAAAGCCTTTATTGGCGCAGTATACTTATGAAACCCATACTTAATAAAGTACTAAGGCTTTTATATATTTAATTTTGTATGCAAAATGGATGTAGTGCCCACATGGAAAGAATCTATATAATAGTACTAAATATTTATTAGCTGTTTAAATGGTAAATCCCAAAGGTTTCCAGTATTATTTTTTCAATTTTCTATATATTATTAATATATGCAGTTTAGGTTATTTAAAGGACTACAATATGATACCACAAACACTTGCCTTTCCTTATCTACTGAAAAGCTGCTGCATAAATGGTACATTTCCAGACCTATGAGGCTATCCAACTACACCGCCGAATGACTCGGGGAGACTTCAAAAGAAGCCTGGGCACAAGCGACTTATGCACCACTTCATACACATGATGTGTATCTGTCTCAAGCCCCGATAAAACAGCCCTTCCTCGTGGAACTATGACATACCGCTCTGTTCTGATGTCTTTTATTCTATTATACATGGTATGAGTGATTAGAGTCTCTCCACCGCTTGCCATTGAGCAAAGGCGGGCCGCTTCAATAACAGATTTCCCATAGAAGTCCAGGCGCTTTGTTATGGGATCATTTTCAACAATGCATGCCCCCTTACTTATCCCCACCCTTATTTGCAGCCCGCGGTACACAGCCTTTGCGCGCGAGTAGATCAGCGGGTTGTACTCAATTCCCATTTCAGGCCAGTTTTTTCCTAGCAGTATCCGGTGAATTTCCGACCCAAACTCCATAGCGCACTGCTCGTCATAGAAAATCATCATAAACGAGTCTCCTTCAGTTTTAACCTCATATCCGCCAAGCCTCTGCATCAGAGTCCGCACTGTTGTGTTGTGGATCTTGGACATCTGCATCATGCGAATTGAGTCCTTTGACCATAGCTTTGTGCTGTTCACAATGTCAGTGAATATAACTATGGGCACGCGGATAAACTGCGACGCGATATTATACGCAGACAGCTCTTCAAGTATCTTCAGCCCTGCTGCATCCGGGCTGTTTTTTAGTGGATGGTCCACCTTTGAAATAATTGGCACAATAAACACAGAAACATCTCTCACCTCGTGCGAAAAAAGAAAACGCTTGATTTCCGAAATTGATCGGGTTCTTTTGTATGCAATGATAAGGTCTGTCACAGAGATTTTATGCAGGAGTGAAGTGGGAAATGCTATAATGCATTCGTCTGAGCTGTGCTTCTCAAATCCTACCGTGCTAAGTTGCGCGGTATTACACAGATACACGCCTATTTCATCGCGGAAGAGAACCAGATTGATGTCATTGCTGCCAATTGTTCCTATGTATTTGTCTGCAATTACTACAAACGTAAGAATGTCCACCTTGTGCGGAAACATTTTGTGTTTTATGTTTATGCACATTTCCTGCAGCCTCTTTCTGTGCTTTGAAAATCCTTTGTAGAGATCATTTCCTGTTTCAGACTGAATATGCATCATTATCTCTGCGACTGCTCTTTCAACAAGAGCTTTGATTTGTTTGTTTTTTGATGAAAAGTATGCGAAGATTTTAATTCTTGCTGGCTTGCTTTCATCCTCTGTTCTATGCGGTTTTGTCACAAACTCTCGAATCAGGTACTGCCCTCTTCTTGTTGCTCTGACCTGCTTTTTTTCTTCTTCTTTTCTGTGCTTCTCATATGGAATGTATGATCCGCACTCCAGGCATCTATTGTGGGTCCCAATAATTCCCGGAACGTTTATAAGATTCTCCTCCGGCTCGCTTAGAACTATATTTATCCCCAGCTCCGCAAGCCTCTTTTGCTTAACTTCTGTGCAGGGCATGTGCACGTTTCCCAGTGCATAGCAGGTAATCGAATCTGAGACCTCTTTTGTAGGAAGCCTAGGAAGTGACATAAGCATATTGTACGAGAGATCTGCAAGCTTGAGCCCTGGGATGCACTCCAGCCCGCGCATGGTCTCAAGCATGTTAAAGCTTGCCACAAAGCATATAAGGCCTGCCAGCCGCGAGATGTTGTCTATTTCTTTTATTTGGTTCCCAGAAATGTTTAGATGAAGCAGAGAGGTCTGTCTAATCGCTGGGTCAATTCTCACAATCTGGTTGTGCGAAACGTTCAAATACTCTATAGGAAGAGTCCACACTCTGTTTGGAATCAGATTGATTGAGTTGTATGGGAGAGAAATCGAGACAAGATTGTTGCACTCCGCACCATTTCTCTTTTGCTCTATATATGGAAACTGCAGAAGACAGTTTTTAACGCACAGGAGAGTTTTAAGATTCGGCGCGCTGATGGATAACTCCTCAAGCGTGTTATTTACCAGCTGCAGATCCACTAGAAACGGGAACTTCCCCACAAACCGCTTCATTTCCACATCTATAATCGAAACCTTCTTGAGAAGACTGAGTGCTCCATATATTCTGCGAGTTGAAAAGACCGTCCGTATGTACAGTTTCTCCGCATACCCTTTAAATTTCTCAAGTGGGTTCCCCAGCAAGTTCAGCTCTACATAGTTGTACACACTCTCAAACTCCGTTATGTGGTTGTTTTCCAGATTAAGATGCGGAATTTGAAGAAGCCTTGGAATTGTCTGGATGTTGTTGTTTGATGCGTTGATCGACTTAAGCCCCACACGATTCAGATTCTCTGGAAGGCTTTTCAGCGCGTTGTTTGATATATTTAGATGCGCCACGTTGGTTATAGTGAACACAACATCTGGTATTTCCTGCAGCCCCATATTCGATAGATTAAGCGTTATGTCTTTTTGAGGCTCTGCCTTCTGGTCTTCTATGAGCGCAGCCACCTCCTCCACAGGCGCGCGCACTAACGAAATTGCATAGCCTGCCCCCTTGCTATTCAAAAGCTCAACACCCCAACGCGGCAGAAGAATATACACCATAGACATGATGTAGAAAGCTGCCAAAACCCACTCCTCCCTGCTCCTTAGTATCTCCAGCAAATCTGCTGCTGCTCTTTTGTCTCTTACCAGCAGCGCAACGATGGTTAGCCCCAAGAAAATAGCATCTGCAGTGTGAATCATAGCGAATGAGCCGTCTGAGGTGTCTGCTATTAGTCTGATAACATCAAATTTTGCCCTTGGTGGGCCTGCAGCGGGCATTTCAGCTGCATACATCAGATGATACGCCTTCTCTGAGTACACTGCATCCTGGTCGTCTTTTTTCTCTTTTGTATTTACAATAATCTGCATTTCAAACCCACAGTTTCTAAATATTTTACTCTCTGGTATGAGTGTCTGGTTCTTTATGCTTAGCAGTGAATTATTTAGCTTCCACTGTATGATCTCCAGCAAGGGCCTGTCCTCCACTGAAAGGATTTTTTCGCCTTGGCTTGCTCCAAGCTTTAGAAGAAGCTCATTTTCTCCAAACCCTTGCAGAATGCCCATGTTCCTCCATACCGCATGCAGAATATCGCCCGCTGTTGTTTCGTAGTTAAGATTCATTTCTACCTTTTTGCCAAAGATATCAAACTGCATGCTTACTTCGTCGGTTGGCACCATAACAGTCATAAATTTCGAATGGTTTGCACTTTCGGATATCTTTATCATTGGATGCCACAGCACCTCATGCTTCTGGACCACGAATCTTTTAAAAACGTGCATTGGTACTGTTTCCTTGGTTTCCCTTATGTGCAAAATGCGCTCTTCTTCTTTTTTCATATGTAGCTTTTTCTGCATTGTGCTTTCGAGTGCTTCTTGAATTCTCATATATATTTTTTTGGATCTTTCTTTTTTATACTATATCTTTGTGCAGTCTAGCTTTCTTACCTCTAGGCCTGCTTTTCTTGAGTGCTTTTCTTTCCTAAAAAGCGCTCTACCCCATCTTATATCTTCTATTCTACTGCACTGTGCTTTTCTTAGTTGCTTTCTGTTAGTCTATACAAAATGTGATCTATTGTTTTTTTGTGATCAAGTTGATGCGTTATTGCTTAGTAACCCTGTAAATAAATATATATTGTTGGGACATAGACTCAGTATATACACAATAAAATAAACAGATATTTTGGTAAATTTCAGTATGGGTTATCGGTGCTTTGTATTTTTCATACTCTTGAATTTTTGACTACTATAACCCTGGTAATAACATCACCTGTGTCCAATTCAGTAAATATAATATATTATACAAAAAGGATTATTATGGATATTTTGCTAGATAGAACAGAAGATATTCTACATTTAAGCATAGCACACATACACACTCTCTTTCAAAGCATATGCATGTGGTTTTCTATTACAATATAAATAGATATTATATAATCTTTGGTTGCAATGTTATTTGCATGTATAAAGTCTTTGCATTATTATGCTTTTCTTGTTTGATCCGCTGTATAATCCAGATACAAGATAAATGTGAGCACGACTTGTCAATACTAATAGGCATGGATGCTATGTAAGACTTTCAAAAATATTTTTGTGCCGAAGTATTCTAGTTCTTTAAAAATCCTATATATAGGAAGTATATACTTTATTTAAGAAAGTATTTGTGTGGTATTAATAAAGAAGCAAAAGTATACTATTGCACATAGAATATAGGGCTATCTAAGGTCTCCGCTTCATTATGCTAATATATTCTGCTTTGGCATATCATATTGTCTATTTTCTTGTATTTTGATGTGCTCTCTTTCTAAAGTCATTTGATGTAGTGTATGCCAAGAGTATTGTAGAGCTTTATATTATTTTTCTGCACTGGGCCCTTTTTCGGAAAAATAAACTCTTCTACACTACACACACAAATATTTAGCAGAAGGCTTTATTTCTTGTAAAAAAAAGCGAAAGCACAGGAAAATCAAACAAGTGACACATTTCAAAGACCCATCTGATTGTCAATTACACAAGGAGAAAAACAAGACATAAAACAAATGCTTTGCAAGAAGCACCCAACGAACGCAGAATAAAATGTAGCATAATATTAGAATGCTATTGGGATATTTACTAATATGCACACTGCGATAGAGCAATAGTATCAAAATACTCTGGCTAGATATGAATAATCATGGCGGACCCACTTTGTTACCAGTATTTATGTTAATATACCATAATTCACTAGTAATTCAAGAAAAGACCTCTTTATGATTGTAATGCATGTGTACATTCCATTTTATGGCTTATGCGTGCTTGAAAAATAGAAAGTTCTGAAAACACCAAGGTATAGTATCTAAATTTTATTTTAAGGATGTGCATGCTCCATCTAAATAACATGAATAGCCAGAATCGCTAGGATTCACCATTTCATATCCATGCTAGATTTCGACTATATTTCCATATAAGCCTTCATCATTTTCCGTTCTAAAATATGACACCAATGTATCATAGTTTTCTATACTTCTTCTGTCATTCTTTGAGCAGAAAAGAGTTTTATTTTCTTGTAAAAAACTTACACAATTTTTGAACTCTTCATCAGATATCTCAAGAGTTTTAAACCCATTCACATTCAGCATATGATCAAATAATATAAAGCTGTAGACTGTCTTAATAAACTTTGGCGGGAAGTCACGGCCAGTTCTGCACATGTGGATAAACCATAATATGTATACAAAGTTAATATTTTTCTCTTCGTTAGGGCTTTTAGTTTCTTCAAGAGTCGATTGAATTTTCACTAAGTTATTTGCTACCCTAGCAGGCGCCAAATGATCAAATGCAGGCTTTGAGGCTATGAAATATATCAGTAGATAATGCATTTCACTGCTAGTATGCATAGTTGCTTTAAGATAGTTGCATATAGCTTTAGTTGTAGTGGATGCTGGCCACGATAGTAGTGTATTATAAAAATTAAGACTTGCCATGTTAATGCAATTAATTTCTTTTTTAGAAAGATGCTCATAAGGCTTAAATCCAAGTTTTGGATAGTATTTCTGCCATTTTGCATGAACAGGGAAGTATCGCATCATATTATACCGAGTCGTAGCGTCATTGAGCGGAACACTTCCCAAAATGTTTGCAGTGAAGAGTATTGCAGGATTGGTTGGGCCTAGCTCGAAGTCTATAGTAAATACTATAAAGCGCTCTATAATATAGGTCTTGAAGTCAGTGCTGGAAAGCTTTCCTAACAAGAATATTTTATGTATGTTGGTAGACTTAGTGCTTAGCATTGTATCTATACTATTCATAAGATCCACTAAAAGGATGTAGCTTTTGGTTTTTAAAGCATTTAATTCAGCAGCAATGTACTGATTTGTAATATACCCTATATAACTGTCCATACTAGCATAAGTATTTCTTACTTCTTCATACACTCTTTCTAGATGCGCGGAATCACCCCGTGAAAGTAGAAGAAGAGCAAGAGTGGTATGCCCGTTTTCTACTTCTAAAGAAATTCCATTTTTGGCATTATTAAAAGTATACGTAATTTTAATTTCGGCCAGAAGATCAGCTTTGTCATTTGACCTCTGCCCAAGAACCATCTGATCGCACTCTACTTCCACATTCTTGTTCTGCGACAAGGATTTAATAATTGATTCTATCTCGTTCATAATATAAAACTCCTGTATAGTATCTAATTTTCCATCCATGCAGGCATTCTCTATATATTCAACTAACTTCAGTATGTCTTTCTTTTGTCCTGTTATTTCTGAAATAGTAAGAAATATATTTACAACCCCAGAGAGAAGTTCATTCCTGTTACACACATAGTCAATCTTGTCATTCTCTAAGCAAGCAACAACCGTACTCCACCTTTTGTGCATTTCAAAGTCCGTGGTTTCTGTTGGCTTAGGATAGTCTTCAAAGAACTTTTTTAGCTCATCACTTATTTCCTTTCCCATGTGGTTGACTTCATATTTTCCCGTCTCTGGATTATATGCCATGCAGCAGAATAATCCAAGAAGAGCTGATTCTACGCAGTTGCTATAGTATAGAGATCGATCCTGCACAAATCCAGATTTGTCCTCCTTACATTGCGGTATTCTAGTAAACTGCGGCAGCTGACTAGAGTTATAAAAAGGAAATCTAGCTTCTTCATTCGTGGCCTTCACAAGGTTACAGAATGATTCAATGTACTTTATATTTTCACTAAGTGCATCTTTCGCTAGGAAAAGCTCATCAAATATTCTGCCCTTTTTACCCTTCTTCTTCGTCTGCTCTGAATTCTCCTTTTCAACTACTTGATCAATCAGTAATTCATGCACTGCATTCACAAAGTCCATGTAGTCCTCTGCTGTGTCAATAAACTCGTATATGTATGTCTGTATAAGAAAACCTGCGCTATTAAGAAACAAACCGTTCTCAAATTCTTCTCTGGTAGTTGGCATTGCAAATTGGCGCCCTCTCTTTAGCAGCGGATTGTCTCTGCACCTTATGTAGAAGTTGACAATTTCAGCAGTCTCGCCTTGGTAGACACTGTTACTTTGCTTATTTGTAGATGAATCAATGCTAGCTGTGTACATTTCCACATTTATAAACTCTTTCTCTTCGCATGCCTTACTTTTTATAACAAGCTTCTTTTTCTTTTCTGTATGGTCTACATTTATTTTAACATCAACGCCCTCTGAAAGAAGCAGCAGACCTGCAAGAATGTACTTAGCATCCTTCTTAACATGATCTGCTCTTAGGAAGTTTGTAAGTGAATTTGGCCTGCCTGTCTCAATGGAAAGACTTCCATCTACTGACGGAAACATCTTTATGAGCTGTGCATGATACGTGCTAAGATACTTTCCTGTAGGACTTTCTGTGTCTAGTTCTTTGTATATCTTATCATTTACTGGTGTTCTTATAAAGCTGTACTCTTGTGTGCTTGTGCTGGGTGTTTCTTTTTTAGACAACTTATAGTCAGTTTCTATCTCAAAGGAATAAAAACGTTTGTTATACATATACCCATTCCGAATGCCAATATATCCATGCAGCAGATTCAAAGGCCCCTCTGGGTTAATAATTACATCCTGCGCTGGACCAAAAAAAGCTTCCTGTGTTTTCTTTATATCTTTCACAGATATTCTTGTAATTATACTCTGTACCATCATTAGATTTAGAATTAACCTGCTGATCATTTTTCGTAAATCAAAAAAATATTTCTTTCTTAACTGTTTTAATTCATTTTTCTTCATTATTCTTTACATCCACTACTTCTGTTTATAAATAGATCATTTTGGCAGTCCTCCTATAGGTCAACTATGTGTATAAGTGTCTAATGGGAAAAGAGCGCTTTGTGTTTTAACTGGCTCAATTGATTTATCCAATATACACAATCAAATAACCAGTGATCATCTTTAAGACACTCTCCTGTATAATATATTGGTGAATAGAAGGCATTGTTGCTAGTACTTGTTGGTTTTACTTGTCTTGATGGCAAAAACCTTCTCTTTGGGCTAGTAATATAGATTTGGGTTGGTTATTGCCTTCCGGATTTTGACTGTAGGCCAACACGCTACAAGGGGCTCTACTTGTTTATGTGTTGTATTTGTGGTAATGGCATGAAGTGTCATATTTAGACTAACTGCCAAAGCTTACGTGTTTGTGTGTAAAATACTGATTGGCGGTTGTCACTAGAAACTATATATAGACTATGAGAAATAAATTATATCCAGGTTTAGTATGACCAAGTCTAATAATTTACATTAGTCAGTATAATGTTCCCAAGAAGGGGAAATATTCTAGCCAGGAAATAGTAGTCTAGAATAGATGGAGCTGTTGTCTAGAAAGTTTTACTCATGCATTGTCATGGATGCTTAGGTTCACAGCGGCAGTTTGCTATTGTACTTGGGTTGTTCTTCTCTTTTAATATTTTCATATAATTATATAGTGCTTTTTTGATCGTTAGATTTTCCCGAATTATTTTTCAGATTATATTAGAGACAGGTGGTCTTGTATTTGAAAGGTCAGAGTCTTACCTCGAGAATATTTGAATTCTATCAAGTTGATTAAATTTTCAATATGAGCATTTTTCAGCTTATTGTTATCCAAAGAGAAAGATATAGACACCCATAGTGTAGTAAAAGACAGCCTGCTCTAGAAATAGTAGCGTAATATAAATAAAATCTTTATTTGTGAGAATATTTCAGCCTATTGTTCTATTTTTAACGCTTTAGGCTTTTTTCTTCTTCTCTCTGCAAAGCATGTATTTTTAGGCATGTATAATGAATATATGTTTAGAATGGCTTCTTGCAGCTGTTCGATTTTATATGTTTTTCTACTTTTGAAAGTTTCAAAAAGAGCGTTGGTTCTGCTGCAATAATTTATTGCATTCAAAGAGTATAAATACCATTTTATGAGGATGGTCCTGCCCCTTTACTTCCTATGCTTGGCCCTGCTTTTGGGAATAGGCTTTCATAGGATGGAGGAACATCAAGTATATCTATCTCACTGTAGGAGGGTACTGGAATAGGTTCTGTGGTTATAGGTGTGCTAAGGGGAGTATCCGTTCTATTATTGAATTCTAGAGATACTTCTGCAGTGCACGTACCCCTTTCTTTAAGATACATATAAATCGCGTACCCAATTAATAGAAACATAATTGCTACATATATATAAATCGCATCCAAACCCGATATCTCCCCATTTGAACTACTAGCACCTATATTATATGGGTTAATCGAAGACATTAGTTATCGATGCAAAAATATTTTTATTTAACATACGTATAATTTCACTGATAAAACTTATGCTGCCCATTCTAATAGAAAAAAGTATGCTATATTTATAGAGACTTGTATTAAATGAACCATGTACACAGGGTAGAGAAGTATTTGGCAGTAAAATGCTGCAATAATATCCCAGATTGTTTAAAGAATATTATATTTCTTTATATGCTTTTTACTCTGCTATGTTTAGAAATGCGTTTTCTATGTATAATAAGTCTAGAAATCAAATAGATTAAAATTTTGGCACCAATACTTTGCAGCATAATATTAACCACAAAGAAAAATATAGGAATACATGCAGTGCTAGAGGATTTCTTGGCGGGACTTTGCTTGTTTTGCGCATCTACAATCAAGTGATCCGACAAATGGAATATACTGTTACTTCCTCAAGTTATCCAATATGATTTTACTTATATGGCATTACTTTGGTAGAACTCTCTCTGAAGACTATAATAGATGGCAAGAAATAAATTATATCTAGTTTAGTATGAAGGATTCTAACCCTTCAGAAGAGAAAATATGCTAGAATAAATAATTTTCTTAAACAAAATACTATATTGTAGACCAGTTTCTTTATGTTAAAACACTGACTACTATACACACATCAAGCAAGCCATTTTTGGAGTTATTCTCCATAATTCTATTTATTTAAATATTTAGACTGCAGCAGAATATGTATACGCATACTATGCTATGAAAATGCAAGTTACCCTCTTATATGGGCAGATTGTGCCCTTTGGATAGTTTTCGCACCGAAATTTCTAAGCGCCGACTTTAGTATCTGTTCTTGTAGAAGCAAAATTATCTGCCGCACGAAAGAAATGTCTCCATGCTGTTTTCAATAGCATTATAGCTTTGTATGCCTGCCTAAGTCCATATGCATGCAGAGATGGAATGGGCAGAGCTTTTCTTTTTTGCATGTCTTGCAAAATATAAAGAAGAGAACAGCGCATGCTTTCACATTGGCATACACAGCTGTCTATTGGAAGAAGCCTTTGCTAGTTTATGTCTTGCTAGTGTGTAATGTAGGCTTTATTATATGTTTATGATATACAAATAACTGCGCACTACTCTATGCCCTTCTTTGAAATGTAGTCTTCAACTGCTGCTTTGATTGCCTCTTCTGCTAAAAGCGAACAGTGCAGCTTAACAGGCGGCAGAGAGAGCTCCTTTGCTATTTCTGTATTCTTAATATTCATTGCGTCATATATTGATTTCCCCTTTATCATCTCAGAGGCTAAACTACTTGATGCAATTGCAGACCCACAGCCAAACGTTTTAATCTTCACATCTTCAATTATGTCGTCCTTCACTTTAATCTGAAGCCTCATTACATCCCCGCACGCAGGAGCGCCCACCAGACCGGTACCCACACCAGCCACGGTTTTTGCGAATGTTCCAACATTTCTTGGGTTTGCGTAGTGCTCTAAAACCTTCTCGTGGTAGCTTCTAGTAATCTCGTTAATAAGTGCTAGCATTCACCAAGTAATAAAAATAATTCTGTTTTTTCTTGCAGAGCTTGCAGAGCAGTCTGCTGGAAGGACCCAGAAAAATGTCTTCCCTTGCAGCATATTAGAAGAGAATTTCTTTCACTTTTTTATTTTCTTAGTGATGGCAATTAATGCACCAAGCATCGATAAAATTATAGAACAGCTACTTAAGGTGCGCAGTTCTAAAGCATCTGCGCCAAGGGTAAATCTCTCAGAGTCGGAAATCAAGTTTCTGTGCAGTAAAGCAAGAGAAGTTTTCATGTCGCAGCCTATGCTTCTGGAGATAGAGGCGCCCATTAAGATATGCGGTGATATACACGGGCAGTATTCAGACCTGCTGAGGATATTTGAGTGCGGAGGCCCTCCCCCAGAGAGCAACTATCTTTTTCTTGGGGACTATGTGGACAGAGGAAGGCAGAGCCTGGAAACAATCTGCCTTCTCCTTGCATACAAGGTCAAGTATCCAGACAACTTCTTTTTGCTCCGAGGGAACCACGAGTGTGCCAGCATAAACAGAATATATGGGTTCTACGAAGAGTGCAAGGACAGGTACACATACAAAATATGGAAAAAATTCACTGAAACATTTAACTGCATGCCTGTAGCAGCTCTTGTAGATGAAAAGATATTTTGCATGCATGGCGGCCTTTCTCCTGACCTCCAGTCCTTCAATCAGATCCGGTCTATACATCGTCCTACAGACATCCCAGACAGCGGGCTGCTCTGTGATCTTCTTTGGAGCGATCCGGACAAAGACACCCACAAGTGGGGAGACAATGACAGAGGGGTGAGCTTTACCTTTGGCACAAGAGTTGTAAAAGAGTTCCTAGACAAGCATAATTTAGACCTCATATGCCGAGCCCACCAGGTTGTAGAGGACGGCTATGAATTTTTTGCAGACAAAAGGCTTGTTACTATATTTTCTGCCCCAAACTACTGTGGGGAGTTTGATAACTCAGGCGCTATTATGGAGGTAGATGAAAACCTAGTCTGCAGCTTTAGAGTTCTTAAACCGCTTGATGGTTAGAAGATAGCTAGCAGCCCACGTTCGTTCATGTTTATTCCAAATAAAATAACTGTGCGCGCGCATCTAGGAATCTTTCTGTTTATGAACATCTTGGCAGCACACGATCTCGCTGAGGGAGAGCACGGGGTACTGATGACTGCACTAGATTTCTTGCACTGCGCGCGTGTTCATATAAGGAGTCAAGCCGATCCTTAAATAAGATGAAAATATCACATAGCCAGGCTGCTGCGTGCAGAGTGTTTATTCAGATGGTCTACCAGGTGTAATAAATAGAAAATTATACAATTAGAAAACTTAGTAGAATATCTCTTTATGAATTCTGCTCTGCCTATCTTTATATCAGCTCTTTTTCAAAGAACTCCTGGATGGCGCAGAGTTGCAGGCTTCTGCAGCCCCAATATTATCGCTTTATTGCGGCACCTGTTTCTTCTTTTTGTTCAGCTTCTTTAAAAGAGCTTCTTTTTTCTGAATTTTCATAATACCGCCTGGAACAACCTGCCCCTTTGACATCTGCTCTTCTATCTTTTCAATTTCCTCAAGCTCCTTCCTAATCGAGGCCATGCGATTTTCCTTTGCCTTGGCAGTATCTTTTATTATATGAGGGGCGGCCCATTCTTTTGCCTCCTTCTGCTCGCTCTTCCGAAGACATGGCGGTACGTACTCATCTGCCTTCTTTATCTGTATTTTGGCAGGAAGGTTTTCAAGTGGGCGGAATGCGAGCATTTTCCCTGCAAACATGCAGCTCTTCAGCTCCTTGAATCGCACCTCTGTGCTTTTCTGCGAGTAGTAGTCATAAAGCGCCACTTTATTATCTATTGACATTTTGTTCGTTATTCCAACTAGATAGTATCTCCCCTCTGGAGACCAATCAATCACCGAACACCCAAGCTCCTCGTTTATGGAAAGCATCGCTTCAGATGGATACTCTGAAATCTCCATGTTTCCAGGAAGATTGTTCATCCCTGCCATGCACACAATGTTCTCTTGCTTGTTGAAAAACATCTTGTTCCTAACCCCTTCCTTCAGGTTCTTTATCTTTTCTGTCTTGGAATTGAATATTCCTATCTTACTAGGGCTGTTGTCATAGCACACTGCAAACTCGCTTTTCTTTAAAAAGGCTAGGTCAGTTATCGGATTGGATATGCTTGATACATTCTTTACAGTCCCCTGGGCTGTATCTATATAGTATAGCGCCTTTGTATCGTAGTACGTTCCGTTTGTAGTGTTGAGTGAGCACAGACAAAGCATCCTCTCCTCTTTATGTTTTATGTCCTGCGTAAGCACTGCAGATATCATATTCAGAACCAGCTGTTTTTTAACCTTCTCTCCATTAGACAGTCTAATTATCTCAATTTCCCCAGCAGATGCCCGATACACACGCACAGTTACTAAGAACTTCTGTGTCATAGAGAAAACAAGCGGTGCCGGTATCTTTATCTCTTGGATTTCTCTCTTCTCAGCGATGGAGTACACTTTCAAGAAGCGTGGCTTAGCCTTGTTTACAATGGCTGTGCGCATTCCCTCTTTCTTCTGTATCTTTAGAGTAACTGGCTCTTTCTTTCCGCTCTGTGCTGGCTTTGCTCCCTTTGTTGGCTTTGCAGGGTCTTTTTCTGCAGATGATTCGCCCGCGGGCTCTGCTGCGCTCGCTTTATTGTGCGAGGCCTGATCTGTAGAGAGAGGAGCATTCTGCTTATCTAAGGCCTTTGCTAGCTCAGCGCCTTCTAATCTAGCCTCCTTCTCATGGGATGCTGCAGTATTTGACGGGTTTGCATTGGAACCTATGCTTTTTTTACCTGCTGTCTCTTCCTCTGTTGGCAGAAGCACTTCCTTTTTCTCTGGCATCTCTTCTACTTCCTGCGAATATACAAGAAACTCTTCTCCATGCATGGCAGACTTTACTCTTTCTGCCGAGTAAAGGACTTTATCCTTTCGGACAAAATACATCTTGTCTTCCTTGGTTATCACGCTTGCAGTACTGCCAACAAGGCTCTCTATACTTCTAATATTGGGTATGGAGTGTCTGTGCTGTTCTTTTGTGGTGGCGCTCTGTATAACTAGCTCAGACGCTGTGGTGTAAGCAACCCACTCCTGCCCAAGCTTGCAGTGCACGCACGGCACAGTCTCTGCCTTCTCGTTAAAAGTATCCAAACATATTCCTTTGTCACTAAAGGACAAAACTTGGCTAGTTGTTTTGGACATATAAAAAAATATTTGAGCTGGTTTTATCCGTATCCTGGCGTATGGGCAGAAAATTAAATACAGCGAAAAGACAGCAGACACTGTCTACCTGGCAGTGCCTGTTATGCGCGCGCAGAAGACATATCATAATATAAGCACAATAAGTTGATAGAGCATTCACCGTTAAATATGATTTTATTAGCAACAACGTAAGATCATGACAAGTAGCAATGCACCACTTCACTGTCTACCTAGTATGATCTACCAAAAAGACCAACGCAGGTGGCCTCTGATGGGCAGACGCTGCACGCACCAGATGGCTTGTTCTCGGAGAAGGGAATGCACAGGGACTTTGCACCTGCTGCTGCAACAACATTGTTCTTATCTCTCTCTTCTGTCATCTTCTTGATTGCGTCTTCGCACTCTACTGACCCACACCACACCATGGTGCACATCTTTCCGCCACGGAGTGCTGCATTTAGATCCTCCATTGTAGACCCCTTTAGCATGGAAGTCTCTTGAAGAAGCTTTGCGTTGTGGTACATTGTCTCGTGGATTGCATCCAGCTCCTCCTGCACTGCCTTCTCAATGTTTTCAAGTGGCACGCTCTTCTTTGTCTTATCCATGCGCCATGCGAAGCACACTTGATTGTTTGCCAGGTCCTTGGGCCCGATCTCAATACGAAGAGGAACTCCTCTTACCTCCCAGTGGTTAAACTTGTGTCCTGGCGTGACATTTAGAGCCAAGTCTGCCTGAGCACGCACGCCCTGTGCGTTAAGTGCTTTTTCAATTCTGGATGCCTCATCAAGGATCTTTTGCTTTTCCTCCTCTGGCGTGTTCTTAGACAGCCCGCAGGGAACGATAACGACCTGTGTAGATGCAACCTTTGGGGGAAGCACAAGGCCTCGGTTGTCTGAGTGCACTAGAATGGCCACACCAATGCTTCTGGTGCTAAGCCCCCATGAGTTCTGGAAAACAGGCATAAAGCATCCTGGAGCCTTTGGATCTTCCACTGTTACATTAAACATGGTGGAGAAGTTTGTTCCAAGAGAATGCGACGTGGCTGCCTGGATTCCCTTTCCTGTGTGTGGAATAAAGACCTCTACAGTTGTGGTGAAGTCAGCGCCAGCGAAGGTTTCTTTCTTACTCTTCATTCCCTTTATGACAGGAACTGCAAGAAGCTCTCTGTACACACTCTCATAGAAGCCAAGAATCTCAAACACCTCTTTGTCCGCCTCCTCACGAGTCAGATGGGCTGTGTGCCCCTCCTGCCATAGAAACTCTCTTCCCCGGATAAAAGGCATGGTCTGTGTGGTTTCCCATCGCAGCACATTGCACCACTGGTTGAGCTTGAGGGGCAGGTCTCTGTAGCTCTGTATCCACTTGGAGAAGTATGGATACATAATTGTCTCTGACGTGGGTCTGATTGCCACTGGGTTCTCCAAAGGCTTTCCACCACATTCTGTGATCCATGCCACTTCAGGCGCAAAGTTTTCCAAATGATCTTTTTCTTTCTCCAGCACTGCTTTTGACACAAGCATGGGGAAGTATGCCTCCTTGACGCCCAGACCATCGATTTTGCCTGTGAAGTAGTTTTTTATTGTGTTCCATATAAAAAACCCATTTGGTCTGAGAACGTAGCATCCGTTTATATCATGATATTCCAGTATTTCGCTTTTTGTCACGGTCTCTTTGTACCACTTTGGAAAGTCGCTTTCGCGCGTTGCCTCAATAGAAAATTTCTGGGTTTTTGACATGGGGAATACAATTTTTTACACTTAATAAGAAAACCCAAGTGCGCATGCCCACAAATATAATTAGTAAAATTTGCTATAATTAACTTAGAGCACGATGGCATCTGAAAGCGGGGCAGTTTTAATAACTCCTTTTGAAGCTGTTATGAACAAAGACACCGGGCATGGCGAGATTGTGCTTAGAAATGTGACGAAAAGCAGCTATGCGTTCAAAATTAAAACAACACATCCGACAAGCTACAAAGTTAGGCCAACCATTGGCATTATAGAGGGAGGGAAATCGCAGATTATCGTGATAGAAATCATTGATCCGCACATTGAGCAGGATCTGAGTACCCACAAGTTTCTCTTCCAGTTTGCAGAAATGGCGCAGGAGCTTAAAACCGAAAGTCTTCGGCAGATCTTTCTACTGAAGGGAGTAAAGATAATAGAGCAGCGCGTAAGCATCAGGTATTCCAGTCCGCTTGTTAACCAAGAGATATCCGATAGCAAGGCACAGGAAGAAAGCCTGTTTGTGGTTGCTGCAAGTGTGTTTATTATATATAGTACGCTTGTGCTTTTTAGAAATCTTCTGTTTGGTATTTAAATTTTGTCTCCATATCCCCAAGAATGAAAAGTCTTCACTAGCTGCTGCAAAAGGTATACTTTATATTAAGCGTATTCAATGAAAATAAAACAAGATATATAAGACATATCCATATTCAAGCGCATGTTCCAATGTATATACTCTATTCATACTAAGAAAGAAAAGCACTTCCTTTTCTAGAATAACTTTCTTCTATGTATTCGAAGTACTGCTGGCTATTAAAGAATCTTGCAGACACATATACTTTAAAATACAAATTCAAGGCATGCAGTGCACAAGCATTCACAGGTTTTGATTTATGGCTCAAAGAATATTAGGCAAGCCAAAATTAAAGAGCGTGCATACTCCACAGCTGCAAACTCAACAAAGCCCGCAGTTCTTCTAAACAGCCAATAGAATGCAGTTTATTTTGACAAGTAAAAATGATTATACTTAAGTACAGAAGTAGGAGTGCAAAATAATGGAAGAAAAAAAAGAACAGGACACAATATATGGAATCCCAGTCAAGGACTACATAAACAGTGAAGTACCAATTTTAGAAGAAAAGACAGAAGAGAAGACAGAAAAAAAGACTGCAATCCAGGAAAGCATAGAAAAGATACAAAAAGAGCAGGCAGCAGTGGAGCACAAGATGCAGGAGATATATGGCACGGTTGTAAAGAAGTTCGCCAGTTTAGGGATAGACGTGCATAGGTGCACTAAGCTAGATATCCAGGGTGCTGATATGGTGCAGGAGGTGGAGAGCTTAAAGGAATTTCATGCTGTAAAAGAAAGCAATGCAAGGGCACTTCTGAGGCTGAAAACCAGCAAAACATCTGAGAAGCTTCTAAAGGTCGCAGAAGGAATAGATGAAGTATGCATCTCTCTAAAGAGCTGGGCTGAGAGAGTTAAAGCATCTGTAGATGACATAGAAAAGGTCATCCAAGCAAGAACAACAATAAGCGAACTGCTTGCTGGTGAATACATTGCAGACCGGTATAGGGCATTTGCAGACAGAACAGAGCCACTTACAGAAATGCTTGAAAGTGCAAAGGCAGTAGTTGAAGCAAATGCAAACATCTACACAGAAAAAGAAAAAGAAGAGATGCTCTTCTCTGAAAGCTTTATAACAATGACAACAAAAGAAGAAAAGGCTTTTATGCATCTGATCCTCCAACTTAAGAATTAATTAAATATATATTTAGCATGTGATGACATCAAAAAAATTTTATGGGTTTAATTATAAAGAACGGTGTGAAAGCCATTTCGGATGGCAGGGTTCTAGAAGCCATTGTATGGCTGATTTTCATGCCTCTGACCATTATTATTGAGGTGCTTATAGTTCAGTTTTCTCTAAATCTGATGCAGGCGTTCAGGAGAATAAGGCAAGTGGCTAGATTTAGAAAAATCACAGTAAAGACCAATGAAACTTTTAATGACCCAAAGAATGCATACAACAATCTGACTAAGGCATTAGAAAAGATAATAAGCAATATTTATGCTGCAGTGAAAGCACATGCTCCAGTTTTAGACATTTTTAGTAACCAAGGAGGAGATAAAGACTCTAACAGAGAAAATAATACTAAAGACTCTAACAAAGAAAATGAAAAAAAGAAGACGGCAAAGTCTTACAGTAGAAAAGAAAAAAAAAGAGGAAGCCGCGTAAAAGCAGTAATCATTGCTGGATTAGAGGTGCTTGAGAGCATATATGGAAAACTAATAGATAAGCTACTGAGCCTAGTAGGCAAAGCAATAATATACTGCATATGTGGAGTTTTGGTCATGCTAGTTATAACAGTAAACGTACTTATGTACTTTATAAAATATGCGTTTAACATAATGCGAAGCATGCTAGAGAAAATTCCTTTTGTAGGCGATTTTATAAAGGAGATTCCTAAGCCTTCATATATGTTTCAAAATATTGCAGATGAATTGTCGAGTATTATTTACCCAGATGAAGACAACTGTATTTATCAAATGCAAAAGAATGTTATAGAATCTCATAAAACTAAAAAGGAATCACTAAGCAAAATAATGACATCATATGTAGACCTGTGCATTCTTATCACAGCAAACATTTTCTGCATTTTAATTCGAACAATTGGGGAGATTGGAACCGTCATATGCGATGGAAACAACTACACCGTCTTCACAGCTGGAATTTTGTCAATTCTAGCAGGAGTGTGTGTACTTGCATCCCCAAGCATTGTAAACCCACAGGATTACTCAATGCTTGCGCAGACAAAGCCGCTGTGGGTCTTCGCAGAAAAAATGTGCCTGTTGCAAGGTTTGTTCTTCGCATCGTGCACAGTGGGCGCTGTACTGTATTGCATATCACTCCTCAAGAACAAGGATATGACTGAGCAGAGTGTAAGAAGAAACGCAAAGAGTGAGAGAGACGAGTTCAAGTTTGTGGTCCTCAACATGCTTGCTGTGGTCTGTGCGTTCTTTGCCTGCGGTGCACTTGGGAACGTCCTCATAGCAGGACCTGCTGATATGTTTAGCACCTTGCCAGGTCTCTTTGTATATGCAATGATCATAGGAGCTGTGATAGACATAAAAAACATACTTTACAAGGTATCTATAAGCCAAGTAAAACAGCTGAAGGGGATTCTTGTATCTGTGCTTGTGGCTGCAATGTACTACGCATCAGTCACATCTTCCATTCAGCTAGTTCCATGCATTCTTCTTGCAGTAGCTTTGTGCGTGTGTGCTCTGCCTGTTCCCAAGAATAAGGATGATATTTTGCCGTTTAACAACAAAAAGATGCGGATACAGCAGGTATCGTACCTTGTTGTGCGCCTAGTTATCATAGGAGCACTGATCATGGTTGCAGAGCCCAGTGTGGCCACTGTTGTATTCAGGCCCTTTTTATACGCAAACCTTTTAGTAAAATGGGCATACAATGGCTTGATTGCCACAGGCGCTTTCTATGTCTTTGAGAAAGTATAGAAAACAGAGATAGAGGCATTAAATCCTGCCATACTCTGCAAGTAATAAAGATCTGTCCATTCATATGTTTATTTTTTCTATGGATAAATATGCAAAGGTCTGCCATAGTAATGCAGGCGTGTACTCCTGCTGCGCGCTATTCAAAAATATGCAGTTGTGTGTAAGGGCATATCTGTGTTATATCTTCTTCCAGGTCTCCAGCCGCATCTGCACAGATATGCACATTGTCATCATTTCCTGCACTAGGAGCTTGAATGCGTACGGCATATAGACCATGCTGACATTTGTTCGGGTTCCGCACAGCTGGCACAGGTAGAGGCCTCGGTCCTTATTCCCTGCGCAGAAAAGCCCGCAGTCATTGCAGATAAACACCTCAAACTTGTCGCTCACATCGCACAGCCGCTCCTTAAGGAACATTGCAGCTCCGTGCGAGATCATGCAGTCCCTCTCCATTTCTCCAAACCGAAGACCTCCATCTCTGCTTCTTCCCTCCACAGGCTGCCGTGTCAGAATCTGCACAGGCCCGTGGGCACGTGCGTGTATCTTGTCTGCCACCATGTGCTTCAGCCTCTGGTAGTATGTGGGCCCAATGAATATCTGGCTGCGCATTTTCCGTCCAGTAAATCCAGAGTACATCACTTCAAATCCTCGCTTTTGGTATCCGTGCTTCTGCAGCTCCTCGCTGATCTCTTCCACGCTCAGACCTGTAAACGGCGTTGCGTCTCCTTCCTTGCCCGTCATGCAGCTCACCTTTCCTAGAAGACACTCCACCAGATGCCCGATCGTCATTCTGCTAGGAATAGCGTGCGGGTTTATGATAATATCTGGAGTGATCCCGTCTGCAGTGAAGGGCATGTCCTCTGGCGAAAGCATAATTCCAATTGTTCCCTTCTGCCCGTGCCTTGATGCAAACTTGTCTCCCATCTGCGGGGTTCGGGCAGACCGCACCCGGATTCTTGCATATCTGTACCCATCCTTTGTGGTGAGAATAACCCTGTCAACCACTCCGCTTTCTGTTCCACGCATCGTAGTGCTTGCATCTTTGTATCCATCTGGCGTGCTTACTGCTTTTCCAATAAGAACATCCTCTCCAGAGACACGTGTTCCAGGAGGAACAAGCCCATCTATATCAAGCTTCTCGTAGTTTGCGTTCTTCATTCTCTGCACAGACCTTCTGTCTGGCTTCATAAAGCACTCTTGCTCCTCTGGCTTGGTTCTGCTCTCCATATCGCTGTATGTTCTATAGAAGAAGCTCCTGAAAAGTCCCCTGTCCACAGCACCGCGGTTCATCACCACACTGTCTTCCTGGTTGTACCCGCTGTAACAGGCAATGGCCACCATTGCATTCTGTCCGGAGGGAAGCTCTCGGAACTGCAGGAAGTTCATGCTCTGCGTTATCACTAGAGGCTTCTGCGGGTAGCACAGCACATTGGACAGAGAGTCCATTCGCATGAGGAAGTTAGTGGCGTACATCCCCATGGCCTGCTTACCCATAGCACTCTGGTAGGTATTTCTAGGCGACTGGTTGTGATCAGGGAAGGGAACCACAGAGGCGCACACACCCAGCATGGTGGCTGGCTGTATCTCACAGTGGGTGTACATGATCTCTGTGTTTCTGAGGTCGCTTGTTTTAACTGCAATCATGGCCGTTTCCTCCTCCTCCACATCAAGAAACTCAACACATCCGTCTGCCATCAGCTCGTCCCATGTGAATGCCCGGTGCCTGTTCGCCTCAAGGAAGTGCTCTATTCTAAGCACCCCTTTCTCAACGATAAAAAGAGGCCTGCATGCTCTTCCTCCGTCTGTGTTGATTCTGATCTCCTTTTCCCGCAGATCTCGCACAATGCCTATTTCAGACGAAAGCTCCCCAGAGCGGCGGAGGTACTTCAGGGTTCCTATCAGATCATCTGGCGAGCGGTGCACACCAACCCACGATCCATTGACAAGAACTTTTGTTGCGCCTGCAATTGCAGTGGGGCTTACTTCCTCAAGCCCTTCAAGCCCGCACTCCTCAAGCAGCTCAACCACAATTGAAGAATTGCTTCCCACTGAGATGTGCGACATGAGCGCAAAGTTCTTCACAAGCCCACAGGCCTGTCCTTCTGGTGTTTCAGCCGGGCAGACCATCCCCCAGTGGCTGGAGTGCAGCTGTCTTGGCTTGGCAAGCTTTCCATCTCTTCCAATTGGCGTGTTGACCCTTCTCAGATGGGACAGCGTGGATATGTAGTTATACCGGTTCAGCACCTGTGCCACTCCAGCCCGCGCCTGCATGCTCTTTGACTGCTCGCCCCAGTTTCCTGTTGCAAGCGAGTATCTTAGGCCGTTTGTGAGAGTTGATGTGCGCAGGCCCACTATAAGGTTGAGGTCTTTGTTCCCATCTATGCATCTCTGCATGTACTTTGCCAGCTCATTGCTCATCTTCTTGAAAAGCATCCGGAACAGTCCTGCCATCAGCGGCCCTGCAAGATCAAGCCTCTTTCTCCCGTAGTGGTCTCTATCCTCCTCAGACCGCCTCCCAAGCGCCACCATCAGCAGCTTATTGATTGTGTATCCGAGCAGATACGCCTTCTTTGTCTCGCAGAACTCCTTGGTTCCTACGTGCGGCAGGAACTCTCTCTGGAACAGATCCTTTGCAAACTTTATTCTCTTCTCCTTGCTGAACCCAGCTGGCGCAACTCTCTTCCCAATGTAGTCCAGCGCAACTCCCTGGTCCTGGATCACAAATGCCTCCTCAATGCTGGGCCGGAGCATGCTGAGCATTTCTGTGTCTGAAAAGTCATAGCATATGTGCTCAAGAATCTCCTTGTCTGACACAAACCCAAGTGCCCGGAAAATAACAACAACCGGCACATCCTGCTTAGCATGCGGCAGCAAAGCACGGAGGAAGTATCCTCCGCCCGAGGCATTATCTGAAGACCGTGCAACAAGCCGAATCGTAAGAGAAGATGGCAGGCGAAGCCCGTGATCAGGCACAGATCGCATCTCTGCAGTGTACAGATATGGTGAAGGAGGGGCCTTCTTAAAGATATACACCAGATTTGACGCCATCCTTTCGTGTGCAATTAGCACCTTCTCAGATCCATTTACAATAAAGTATCCTCCTTGGTCGTACGTGCACTCTTCTATTCTGTTCATGTCCTTGTCGTCCGTGTTGCTGTACACGCAGTACAGAGACCGCAGCATGATTGGGATTGAGCCGATGGGCATTCTTTTGTACGTTCTGCTCTCCACCTCCTCGTCTCCAATGTGCTCCGTCTTCACTATGTCTATGTACAGAGAGGCTGAGTATGTAAGACTTCTGACACGCGCGTCGTTTGGGAACATAGGCGATGTTCTTCCGTCTGGCTCTGTGATAGTGGGCGGCTTGCTCACATATATCTGCTTAAACTCTATAGTGTACTTCCTTGCCTTCTCCTCCTCGCCTGTTGGGCTGTGCGCCATCAGAACAATTTTGGAGTTTTCGTCAACTACCTCCTGCATCGTGCTTTGAATAAACTCGTTGAATGAGTCCAGCTGCTGCCGCACCAACCCCTTATCCTTAAAAAATGCTGAAACCACCTTCCAGCAGTCCTCCTGTGTTAGTTTGCTCATTCTTAAAAATTAATTTGCAATAATCTTACTTATAGACGCGGCATATCAAACAGATGGAAAACAGAAGACGCCCTGGCTTGGCACAGCACAGAAGTGATTTATTGCACTGATATTCCTGCAGTGCTGCCTCTTTGAAATATATAAGCTATTTATGGATGCAAAAAATATTTGTGAAAATGCCCGAGAACACGCTCTTTCATGTGTTCAGCATACCGAGAGAGACATTTACCAATGACCTTCTCAAAAAAAGCTACCACAGCCTTATCAAGCAGGTCCATCCAGACAAGACGGCCACACACAGCACAGCAGCAGATGCCGCGCAGTTTATCAACAAAGCATACAAAGTGCTCAGTAACGACTATACTCGAAGTATTTACGAGTATTCACTTGACAATGCAAAAAATCTCGTTGAAAGAGAAATGCCGCACGGCATAACCACACACTTCTCAACTGTCATGGACCTAGAGAAGGAAAGAGTTGGATGCAATAAGGGCCTAGTCAGTGCAGAGTTTCTTGATAGCATACTTAGCCTGGAAGACCAAATTGACTCCGCAGACAGCAGCACACTAGACAGCCTCCAGCAGCATATTATGAAGGAAATCCAGACGTGCAAGGAAAACAAAAAAAAGGCCACGTGGCTTGCCAGGTGGAGATACTACAATAGACTGCTGGACATCATCCTGCACAAAAGAATGATTGAATAGAGAAGGATAGAAGGGTTCTTAAGGAAGACCCGTGCAGCTACCGCAGTGAAAGAAGCACACAACAGTAAATATTACCGCATACTGACTTTTTTATAAACAGCACATGCTGCCATCTTAAATAAGTATTGATTATTTTAGTCATCCAAATTTTTTATTTCTGAATTAATTGAGCCCTTTCTGCTTCTATGGAAAGGCAAAGATGCAGAGAGACAGAAAACTGCAAAATATACATACACTTTGAGAGTTAATATATAAAGGTACACAAATGGCATATAACCAAAATTAAAAATAACCTTGCTTCTAATGCACCTTACCACTGCATTTGCATAGTCTGTATTAAAGTGCATTAATTTAATATTGAAATTGCTAGTATTGTTAAGTTGCACTGGATCTATATGATTATGTGCATATAATTAATTCCTGCAGAAATGATTCTGTAGTCCTAGGCAGTATTATATGTACAGTGCTTCCACTGTAGAAGACAGCATATCTTTCCATGCATATTTCGCATTTTAATGTATATACATATAAATTACCATTTGCATGCCTTTTTAGTAGTACTTTAGAATATTTCCACTAGAAGAAATATTTATTTTTCAAGAAATTATTTAAACAGAAGCTTCTGTATGCATGATAAGAGGAATATTTATTTTGCGATTTTTCATTTTTTGTGTTCTTGGATTATTAGATGTATCAGATGAGATGCACCCAGTGCCTGCATACGCCTTACACGGCTCCTTGGAGGGCAGATTTGTGCGGTGGGTGCATGCACTCAAAGAAGACGCAGGCTGCTGGCTGGTTGGTCGTACAGGCCCTGTGCATGATTTATTTGTGGGTGTCCTTAGGACCTAGTTTCCATAGTAGTGGGAAAATAAGTCGACCACAGTTAGTAAGCACTGTGGCGCAATGGCAGCGCGCTGGGCTCATAACCCAGAGGTTGTAAGTTCGAGCCTTACCGGTGCTATTTTTTTTTGCGTTTATTTCAGCCCATGCACATATTTGTTTCGTTTCCAGTCGATGAGCATGCCAATGAAGAGTTTCTTCTGCTGAATGTCCGGAAGGGTCTTGGATCCTTGGGGAAAGACTGCGATCTGCTGACCTTCCCTAAGATGGAAAGTGACTCAATTGACTGTCTCTTTGACTCGGAGGAGAGGATTGTCGCAATTGAGAATCTCCTGGAGGACATAATTAGAAAGTATAGCGTGTCCTACCATGCGCTGACAGGAAGAATCCTTGTTGACAGCATTGTGCTTGGAAAGTCCTTTGACCACTTTCTTAAGTCCTTCCAGTGGGACTGCGTGAAATACCCTCTCACCCTCAAAACCCCAGAGCTTCTCTCTATAATAGAGAGTGAAATGATGGAGGCCATGGAGGCTCTGAAAGAGAAGGAAAAAATGTATGCAGAAGAAAAGAAGCAGCATGCCCAGAAGACAACGGCAAAACCAAGAATGCATGATGTAGACATAGATGAGCTAGAGCACATGAGCACCAGTGAGGAGGCATGTGCATCTTTCTTTAAGAAGTACTACATTGGCGTATACGATAGATTAAGAGACAGAGACATAGAAATACTGTCCAGCATAAACGGGCTGTTCATAGAGTCTGGGAAGCTTGTCCAAACATGCGAAGACGGCGAGATATACGAGTCACTCGGGCGGTGCGACTGCGAGGAGGAAATCACGCGCAGTTTGGAGGCCAATGGCTACATTTCCAGAAAGTCCAAGCTTACGAAAGAGCAGTACATGCACCAAAAAGAAGAAAGAAAGGAAAGCGCAGTTCATCTAAAAGAGACAGAGTGCGAGTATGAAAGGCTCATACTTGGCCGCCTTCCTTCTTTGTACACGCTGTTTATCCATATCAAGCACCTAAGCCTGTATATTGAGTCTGTGCTCAGATACGGCCTGCCCTGCACCTTCTGCTTTTTCACACTTGAGAGCAAGCACGGCGGCAAGATGATACAAAAATGGAAGAAGCTGGCGGCCACTTGGAAATATTCCAAAAGAATGGCCGTAGTGGAGAAAACATCTATTTCAGAAGGAAATGAGGCTTTGCATGACTTTGTTTACAAAATGATTGGAGACTTCAATCTAGAAGAGATTAAAGAATAAAGATTATTTCTAGCCCAATCTACCAGTATATTCAATGATAGCGCAGATTGATAGCCATCCAATGCGTCTTTGCGCTTACTGCATTATTCTAGATGCCTGCAATTGGCGCATCTCGTGTATTTTTAGTGGCTGTTTGGGAAGACGGACTGCAATGATTCGTCTGTTGTGAAACAATCTTAGCCCAATCCCTGCGGATTGAATAAATAGAAAATGAAACACTATTCAGGTAATGAATAAAACACTGTACGGCATATTAGTTCTGCAGTTGGGGAGATGCAAAACACTCACTGATATGGTGAGGAAAAGAAAGGTGCCAGCACCAGATCATTCTGAAACAGAGAACGCAAGCGGAAATAGGCAGAGTGCCCAGGTCGAAGAAAAAGAGGAGGATGCATTCTGCCGCATATGCTACTCGCATGAAAACCCGCTGGGCCTGCTGAATGACCTAATCAGCCCATGCGGCTGTAAGGGGACCATCAAGTATGTCCACAGGTACTGCCTGCGCGTATGGCGGTTTAAAGGGAAGCAGGTGAAAGACATCAAGATATGCGAGCAGTGCTTCTGTGAGTATTCAGTGGATGATGAGAAGCAAGTGGGCAGGGCAGTCGTGACTGTGTCAACAGTTGCAGTTATGATCTCTCTTCTCATTCTCACAAGCATGTTTATCACGTCGACTGCAGACACTGCTAGGTTCATTCTAAACGACATCTACACATACATGCATGGCAACTCAAGAATGATTTCTTTTGATAGGCCTATCATTATATGCAACATGGACTCAGTGGTTGCCATGAAAAACAACCAGAACCCGCTGCGCACCTCTTTTGTTCTCCAGAAAATAGAAAGCTCTGCAGATCCAAACATAGACCACTTCGCAAGCATCAAAAAGAAGTACATCTACAACCTAAAGAATATACACCTACTGGACATAGAAAAGGGAGACTCTTTTATGTCAGTGGCCATCATGAGCATGATTTACACAATTGCCTGCGAAGACAATCCTGTGCTGTTCATTAACTTCGCTCTTTCTTTCTGGAGAATCATCGCATTTGACACCTTTTTTGACTGGTTCCTATATGGGATGATCTGTCTGTATATATACTCCCAGATGTTTGAGAAAATTTATAAGCTCATCGATAATTACTGCATGTATGTTATCAACGTATGCTAATATGTGCTTGGCCCAGAAGTAAAATAAATACTGTGAGCTCTGCTTCTTGTAAACTATTTAAACAAAATTTAAATCTTTAAGCTCTTTCTACCAATATAAATAGAGGATGAATCTTTCCCTTGAAATATTAGGCTTAGTAGTAGTAGACTTTTTGTCAAATTTATTTTTTGTTCTCTATTTATAGACCTTCTACAAGATAATATTAAAATTATATAGAAAGCCTTCAGAAGAATATATTTATGGTCTTATATGGAGATGATTAATTATTAGCTTAAGAACGAATAAAAAATCAAAAGTGTTAAGCCATATTGACTAGTGCATAAGCAAGCATAGTTTCTTGTAGTAGTTGCTGTACAGCCAGAAACACTGGAAAGGAATAACTAATATCATTCTAGATTTCTAGCCTGGGAGGAGAGTTTTATCTCCTAATGAAAGATAAAACTAGCATTAAGAATGCATACTGCTCTATATACTTTCATCTGACTCTGTGCTTTAATGTAAACGGAAAATCACACAGGCCTGAGAACCACCTGTACCATATAATTAAATAAAATGTGCTTTGGATATATTTAGCTCTGTCTTTTTTTGGGAACATAATTAGAAGGGCATAGACTATTTATATTCTAAATATAATTTAAAGGAAATTATACGCAGACCCTTTGGTATACGCTGCAAAGAATCCCTTCTAGTGGGCTCCAGCTGCTGTGTTATTCCTTCAGAATGCTTTGCATATTTCGTTGCATAAGCACTTATTTTTTGCAGAGTAAAGTAAATAGAATGCATGGTAGAGAATTTTTGTTTATTTCAGAGCTTAGACAAGAATGTCTGTTGTAAAGTCGGCAGCAGAACATCTAGGGGAGTTCACTGATATGCCTCCAATCTTTGTCATTTCGCTGTGTGCTAACTCGTTAAGCTCAGATACCTTCTTGTCTGCATCTTCCCCCATGTACTTCTTAATCCACTCAATTGAATCCTTTTTACGGCGCAAGTCAATCTCTGCAGGATTTCTGTACCCAACAAATGCATCAGTCATTGAGTGGTTGTTGAACCTATACGTTGAGCACTCAACTATGATGGGTCCTTTTGTTAGTGCATGTTCCCTGGCATACTTCATTGCGCCTGCAACTGCAAACACATCCGTGCTGTCAAGGAGTATCCCTGGCACAAATGAGAATCGATTGTAGATGGTTGTTGATGCACTTGCCCTGGAGACAGGCGTGCCCATCCCGTACTCGTTGTTTTCGCAAAGGAAGATGATGGGCAGTTTCCACAGCGCAGCCATATTGAGGGACTCATATATCTGCCCTTGGTTTGATGCTCCGTCCCCGAATGCTGCAATTGTCACATTCTTGCACTTGAACACATTCCATATCTTATTTGTCCACTCACCAACCACACCCTCAGGCTCTGCAGGCTTTTTGGACAGAGAGTCATTCTGCACAGATCTATACTTTTCAGCAAAGGCAGCACCAAGCCCCAGGGGAACCTGTGCTCCTACAATCCCATGTCCACCCAGAAACCGGTCGCCATACAGATGCATGGACCCGCCCTTTCCTCTGGCACACCCGTCCACTGAACCTAACATCTCGCAGACTATCTCCTTTGCATCCATCCCTGAGATAAGTGCAAATGGATGGCATCGATAGCTTGTGATTAGAACATCCTTTGCCCCAAGCACAAGCTCAATTCCTGCTGATATTGCCTCCTGCCCAATTGCTAAATGGCAAAACCCGCGAATCTTCTTTTCCTTGTAGAGATCATGCAGAACCATTTCCATGTTTCTTATTCTAAGCATTGTCTGGCATGCACTTATTGCTAGCTCCTTTGTTGGGGTGTACATCTCTGGCTCTTCTGTCAGGAGATGCAGCTTGTACATACTCATAAACAAATACTCAGGCCATTTGCATATAAAATAATAATGCAATTTGCGAATATTGATTTTTGCTGTGCACGCATTTCCACAGGATCCAGATCCAGGGCTACACTGCACTTTCACCAAAATATGCATAAATCGCATGCACTAGACTTTCTTTAAATATCCAAAATAGATAAAAATGTGATATATTCCTACGAATAAATAACTGAAAAAATCAACGGTTATGCTCTGTTCATCTACAAGGTTATTAAGAAGTAGTGATTCCAGAAGGCTGTGCAGTCTATTTGACTCAGGATAAAAATACTCAAGAAAATATTCTTCTGATCCATGCAGATATATTTATGTAGGTGACTAGAATACAAAAATAATTTCCGTTTGCACTAATTAAACTTTCTTCTTAGAGTTAGGCTGTATTTAAGCTTAAGATCCTTTATTTAAAATGCTGAGAATTATAGCTTCCAACCCCAAGGCATCTTTGGCATCTTGGTTATTTAGCACCTCAGCACATAGGGTGCAGCAAGCTCAATTACTTCTCTGGATACCCAGAAACATTTCATGCATATTTGTCATCCTGTGCTAGAGCACACTAATTGAAAGCTAAACTACTTGAGGTGCACTACCCAAGTTCACATTGTACTGTTGTAGCCAGTTACTTTAACTGTTTTTATCGTATGCAAGTGCTCAAATCAAGCTAGCACACTATAAGTGCGGCATCTGTGCCATTATAAGCCTACATCTGTCTGAGCCATTAATGATCCTTCATGCATTCAGATTATTTGTTTTGTGCCTTTCCTGCTAGGCGATTGATCATATCATGGCATGCTGCATATCCTTTGCATATATACATGCCTTTCATGTCAATGGCAGGTGCAGTCTGCTTCTTCTTCATTTTCTTATTGGTCTTTGCTGCCAATGCCTCCTTTACCTTCATGCTCTGTGATATATATACTCGCAGTGCATCGAAAATAATTAGCGTAAATACAATGCTTACTGCCAGTGCACCAATAGAGGGCATTGATATGCGCACGTGCTGTCTTTTTTGTGTTTTCGCCTTGTAGTTCTCCATAAACTGTGGGTGCGCCTCATCCAGTATCCAGTTGTATGCCTTTCTTAGCTCTGGCTGCACCAATATTTGGTACCCATTCACAATTATGTTTTTCGCCTCATTCTCCGTCAGATTCTTTCCTATTGGCATTGGAAGCCCCTTCATCTTTGCCATGTAGCATGCCTTTATAAGCTTTGACTGCTTTTTAGCTATTTCCTGCCTGTCGGCCTGCCTGTCAATGTCAAACAGAGAGAATATTGTGGTGAGGCCTGCCTCCTGCAGTGTCCTGATGTATAGAGCGACCTGATCTATTTCTTTATACGACATGCACTTGCACATCCCTATAAACAAAACAACAAGAACTCCTAATCTCATATTTATTCTGTAATAAAAAATTGCAGGAATTTAAACAAATTCTGCTAATTAAATTAATGCACGTCCGCTTATGGTTTATTCAAACTCTGAAAAAATAATTTGCATGGATACTCTGCAAACACACAAAGTGGTAATTACCGAGGACAAGCTTGCCAACTCAATCGAGCTCAGCATAAGAGATGAAGATCATACGATTGGAAATGCGCTGGCTTCTGAGTTGCAAAAGAATGAAGATGTCGCCTTTGCAGCATACAAGATACCGCATCCTCTGCAGAACATCTTGAAGGTAAAGGTAGTTGTGGATAAGTCTGAAGACAGACCAATTGACTTTGTAAAGGCGTCCTTGGATAGTCTTATCAATGACTGCGAGTCAATGCTATCACAGATCTATAAATAACTACTCATCTATAATTGGTATGCTTGTTCCCTTTTCTATTTCTCCTGCTCCAATCAGCCTCCAGTGCCCGCTCATCTTTCTTGAAATGCTTAGGGTTGCTCCTATTTTCGCACAGATGGGCGTGGCAAGAATGAAAAATGCTGTGTTCTTTGTGGCGGCAGTGATCTGGATACGGCTTGAACTGCTTCCTATGTTTATTAAGAGCTGCTCTTTAACGGCAAGGGGCTTTCCTAGTGCGGGTATCTGGGCAGTTAACTTTTCAAATAAATGGTAGCTTATGCCCATCTCCCTGTATACTTCTGGAAGTGTTCCAGGCCTTCCCAGAACCTGCCCTACAAGCTTGTCTCCTCTGCAGAAGAAAGGATCTAGCTCAGTACCAATTCCAACAAGACCTCCTGGCACTGCAACCTTAAGAGTATTTGACTCTGCAAATAGAGAAACAATCTTTGTTCTAACAGGCTTGCAGACAAGCTTTCCTTTGACCTTTTCAAGGATGCCTGGGCGCACCTCAAGCTCCTCTCCTGCCTGCAGATATCCACTGGTCAGGCACCCACCAATCACACCTCCTTTATAGTCTGATGGCTTGCATCCTGGCTTATTTATGTCAAATGATCTGATAACCTGCACTTGTGGTGGAAGCGCATACTCTCTCTGCGGCACTGGTATGTAGTTGACAATGTAGTCCAGAATTGCATCAAGATTGCATCCTATCTGGGCGGATGTTGGGATAATTGGTGCATTGCATGCTGAAGAGTCCTTTATGAACTCTTCAATCTGGTCGTGGTTTTCTAAGGCCTGCTCTCTGGAAAGAAGATCTACTTTGTTCTGCAGAATTATCACTTTGTCTAGATCCACTACGTCTATTGCATTGAGATGCTCTATTGTCTGTGGCTGTGGGCACTGCTCGTTTGCAGCTATAATCAGAATGGCCGCATCCATAATTGCAGCTCCTGTAAGCATGGTGTCCATAAGAACCTCGTGTCCTGGGCAGTCCACAAAGGAAACATGTCGCTCCAACTGAATTGTTCCGTTGCAGTTCTTTGTTTTGCAAGCCTTTGGGGGCTTCTGTGTGCTGGAGGTTGACATGTAGCACTCTGGCCTTTTGCATATTCCTCCTGTGCATTTGTATATCTTTGCATTTGCATACCCGAGCTTGATAGTTATGTTTCTTTCCAGCTCACTTTTAAACCGCACTGTCTTTATCCCACTAATTGCCTTGACAATAGTGGATTTCCCGTGTGCTACGTGCCCTATCATTCCAATGTTAACAGTTGCTTGGTTTTTCATGATGTCCTGGCTAACTGGTCCTAGTTCTATTCCTTCAACAACTGTTGTTTGCATAAAATAAAAAAGCCGTATGGATAATTAATGCTCTCAAATATCCAAGCACAGGCAAAGAAAAAGAAATTATAGCCCACATATTTTAAAAAAACACATGCCGATCAGCAGTACTCCTAAATAAACTGTCTCTTACAGAGTGCCTGCCCTAATATTTGCCTCTTTGAAAATTCTATTTAAATCCACCCACTACCCTACTACAATGCCAAAGAAGCCTCTATATAAATTTACAGCAGCCCTAGAGTAAGTTTATTGTACAAAGCAAAGAATATATTCCGATATATTTCATGGTCTGTAAGCTGTTAATTATGGGTGTAATTGAAATTAATTAAGACTATTTATTTAACTGTCAATATATGATCACTTCTACTTTCTAATTAGCAGTCTACTATTTATCAATTATTGGTGCATTCTTTAGTATATAGACCACTTAGTATGCAGTATCACTTCATACGAATATTTCATGTGGTAAACCAATTGAGAGCTATTTATTTCTATAAAGAAGAACAGACACAAAAATTATAGCAGATTGGCATTTAAAATATGCATTTTGGTTTAAACGTATATACTAAAGAGATAGAGGCATGTAAACAGAATATAAATAGTCTATACTTATTTGAAATACATAGAATATTTTCGTATACTTAAACATAGATTTCTAATGGTTTTGTGCTTTCATAGTTATATACACTACTATATTCTGCATGGTACGCAGACTACATCCTTTAATTCATAATGTATTATAGGTACCATAAAGTCTTTCATAATCTATGGCCTTAGAATATGCTGTAAGCCATTTTCAAATGTAAATAGCGTGATAGAAAGTGCATCTAAAACAGGGAATTCCTGTGGGTCTTTTGACTGCAACTTCCCGATTACCAATAAATGTATTTTTTCTTTTTCTTTGCTTTCTCTTTTAACTATTTTTGCTACCACCTCGCTTGAAATTTTCTCTAGATTTAGAATGCCCTTTCCAGACACATCCTGCACTAAATACTTTGTGCGAGTGATTCTTCTCTCCACCATTACTCGGAAAATGCCCTCTTCTGTGCGCCTTCCATGAATAAACTCAATCTCTCTGCTGCAAAAGACCCCACTTTCGCTTGCCCTGCTTATACTCCCATATGTCTCTCCTTCCATTTATATTTGCACACGATGCAGTTAACTTTCATTTTCACTTTTAATTTAAATTATGCTTATTCTGGCGAATGTCTCCAAGGCAGTTGTAGAAACAATAAAGGAGTATCTGGCTTTTGCTGGGGCCATGCCAGTCACTGAGGCAATGAACATTTTAAATATCTCTGAAGGAACTCCTCTTTCTTCAGCACTGATAAATCGGCAAGCATCTAAAATATCAGCAAAGAACAAAAAGGCACTCCCAGCTTCTGCCTGCATACTAAAGAAAATAAGCAGTGCAGAGAAGGTTCTCTTAAGGGAGATTGAGTAGAATGAATCTTTTAGAATATATTTGCATATAGAGTGGGCTCACTATGGTATAGATATCATACGTAATTGGAATAGCTTGTCTTTTCCATTGCATGCTATTTATTTCAGCTTAATTTTTAAGCATCTCAGTTGGTTTCTGCATCAAAGCGTATGTGTGGTGTCTTCTGTTGTATAGTCAGTATTATTGAAAAGACATAAAATATCCTAAATAAAGAGATGCTCTTGCAACTTACAATACATTATACTTAAGTACTGTACATCTTAATTTAAGTCTGTGCTGTCTTTAATACGCTATGAAATGCATGCTCGCTTTAGCAGAAATCCTTCTGGATTAGCATGTATTTTTAGGCTGCACATATCCTTTTTGAAAAATACTTCCTGCCAATAGTATTCACGTCTTCATAGTGAACTCAGACAGATACTATAGCAGCAAGGGCCTAGTACATTTCTATTGAAATAACACTTTTGAAATTAATGACATCACACTGATGGTTTTCACGTGTGTATTATTCCTTTATGCTGCAGTTCTGCTTAAACTGCCTGCGCTCATTTTAGTATGTAGTCTTAGTCTGCTGTGTGTGTCAAAATAGACTTACCCCCTATATATGAAAATATAAAACCATTCAGTAAAAGAATATATGTGAAGACATTTTATTTCTGTGGGGTGTTTGCAGGAAAAAGTAGAATACTTAGATAATTTACATACATTGGATTGTTGATTTAGTTGGAAGCCTGCATAACACAGCAAATCTTATCTATGAGTGCACTTCACAGAAGCAGTGTTTTATGAGCAGTTCATATATAGAAGACTTTTCATATGCTTAACATGCAATTTACCAGCATAATTTCTGCAGTGCATAAATGCCGCTGTAAAAAGAAAGTTTAGTCTGCCTAAAGCCATTCAATACACAATATGCAGAAGTGAGTTTGTATTGAATTGGTATTCCTAGAGCACAAAACTCAATTTCTATTCGATCCGTATTGCCTATTTATAAACCAAACAGAGCTATGCTTTGCAGCCAAGTGGATACTAAGTGCTAGTATATATCAGACTCTTTTTACTGCCTGGTGTTACAATAATACGCAGGCTACTTCATATTAAGACACAGAGTAGGTCAGAGCCCACTTCCTAGACAAAGTCCTAATATTACTCATGGCGCAAGCTAACTAGTTCAACAGCAGATGCTTTGTATGGCCTGCTTCAAAGTCTTCCCGCGTGTTAACTTCTTTTATCTCAAAATAGTTTATCATTGTAGTTAGAACAGCCCCAACATATACAATATCAGAGTCCGGAAGGAGGTTGTGCGGCATGTACGAGGAGAAGTAGTTTGGGAAGGCAACTAGCTTATATCCTTCATCTGCAGAATCCTCCTGCGGTTCCTCTTCCGACTGAGAAATAAGACTTCTCTTGGATAGTTCTGTTAAAATCTTATCGACCAATGGCTTTGTGCCTTTAACGTAAATATTTGATGTGGTGCTCTTGTAGACAGACGAGTGCAGGGTCTTCAATATACGGTCCAGGGCATCCTCGTATGTTGATGTGCGGGTGATCGAGTGCGTGCAGTCCAGGCTGGACTTCCTTACAAGATCCACAGACCACAGAATGCTGCTGTTTGGTCCGTTTTCAACAGTGACCACACACAAATTCTGTACCCCTAACGCAAGAGAGGTTGAGACAGAGGAGTACATAACGGACATAGACTCAATCTTTGACTCTTTAAAGAAATATTTTGATATTTTGTGAATATTTATCTTATCAACATTACTGCTAACAAGAATAAACACATGTAGCTTCTTGTCGAGGTGACCTACCACCTCCTCTTTTGTGCACTCCTTAAATGCAATACCAGTAGAAAACACCTTGTATACACCAATCCCATTGATTTCAATTATAATAACCTCTGGCTCCATACTAATACAAATAAAAAGAAAAAAATTTAGGAGAACAAATATGCAAAGCAGCGTGTATAATAAAGAGGAAAAAAATAAAAGTGCTATGCCAAAGGCAGAAGTAGTCAGCAGGCCTTCAGTACTAGAAGACGTGGTGGATCTCTCAAGAATACCGCATGAAAATTATAAAAAGAAAGAAAATTCACTAATGAGTGATCAAACTGTAGACAATAGCAATAGTACTAAAGATAGCAATAATAAAAAAGAAAAAAAGCAAGAAGAGAAGAAGGCAGAGAAAAAGAGAAGTGAGGAAGCACGGCCTCCAAATAATCCGCCTGAACAGCCTGTATACAGACAAGTGCGAATGGCAGGCCAGCCGCCTGGGCCAGGAGGAAGGCCGCCTATGCAGCCTGCATCTTCACCACTGTCATTTCCTAAAAAGAGCCCAATTAGCCTGCAGACAATAGCAAGCATTACAATGATCTTGTTGATGGGAACCAGCTTAGTGTTTCTTGTAAAGAACCAGATGGAGGCGAGTGCATCCAAGAGTGACAAAGGAGACTCTTACTATAAGAGTAACTTTGAGACACTGGCAGCACAGTACAAACGGGTGACCCCCAAGCAGTGCAAGCAGAGCATGTACTACGGGCTGAACAGAGAGTTTAATGCGTACATTAATATTATTATGTCGTATATGGCCAAGGGCAAAGATTCATCTGATGATGAGGATAGCAGCGAAATCACTAGTGGAGGGACTCTAAGAGGAAGCATGCTGCAGAAGAACTTAATAGTGTATGGAATGCCTGGAACAGGAAAGTCCTTCTTTGCACGTAAGATTTTCCTGCAGGCGGCTCTCAACATAAGAGCAGAGCAGCTAAAAAAACAGTACAAAACAAAGTACCTTAACATTATAGGTGGAAAGGGTTCGCAGCAAGTTATTAAGGAGCTGTATGACTGTGACGGCACAATTGAGCTGTACCAAATTGACTCTGCCATGTTTTTGAACAAGCTCGTTGGAGAGACAGAGCAGACACTGCGGGGGTTTATGAATTTTATAGAGTGGCGGCAGAAAATAGTGCCTGTTATTGTATTTATAGACGAAGCAGAGGCTCTCTTTGCAGCCAGAAAAGGCTCAGACGGCGGAGGTGGAGTGCAGGTCTCAAATAACATGAAAAACATGTGGCTAACCTGGCTGGATGGGCTAGACACAGATGACAGCAAAAGAATATTTGTGATAGCCGCAACGAACTTCTTTGAATCAATTGATCAGGCTCTTGTTCGGCGATTTAAGTCACAGCTGGGTATTCCTACGTATATCTACGACGCTAGAGTAGAGCTCTTGGAAAAAGAGCTTTTTGCACCAAAAATAGTGCATGTAGAAAGCGAGGAGAAAAAAATAGCTATAGCAACAAAGACATCAAAAATACATGGAAATAACATGATGCAGATAGTTGAGGAGCTAACAAAATTAAGGTATGAGACTAAAAAGCCAGTTCCTTTTAGAAAACTAGAGAAGGAAGTTGCTGCAGCAAACAAAAGAGCGGAGGCAAGTGAAAAAGAACAGAAAGCACAGACTGAATTCAAAATGTCAAATCCAGAGGAAGTTATCACAACACTGGTATGGGGGAAAGCAGACACAATATCTATCACTAAGGAGTCCATGATGAAAATCGAAGAAGAGCTTGCGCCAAAGACAGATGAAGACCTTGAGGAGCAAGAGATTGGAGATAAAATTCTAGAGAATGCTGGTATCAAAAAGAATAGATTTGATTATAAGCAGGAGCAGGATGTAGAAATAGAAAATAAACATATCGTTGAATCGGTAGACACTGAAAGCAATGCAGGCTTCTTTGGCAATCGATTTGGAAACATTTTTGGCAATTTATGGGGAGCAAATAGAAATGAAGGTGATGAAGATTCAGGGTAAGCTTTTCTTGGAAAAAGAAGAGTATTTTTGCACAAAGCCCATTTGCTATTTATTCTGGTTATATTACCTTGTAGCTGACTACTTTATCATATATGAAACTATCCATATTAAGAATAGAATTTTGAAAGCTGTTTGTTAGCACAGTAAGCAGAAATCATAAAAGGATTTTATGTAAAGGAAAATGCATGGTGCAATAAGTTAGAAGCAAACCAAGAAAGTTTTACTTGTTTGCGTAAGGAATATAAAAATTAAAATATCATTGTTTTACATTTAAACACAATTTATACATGTTTCTTAAATTAATCTATTAAAATATCTACTATTTTCCTCTCCAAGCCTCTAGATTGTCTTTATAGTGCATTGCCTTAAGATGATCTGCTGTCATTTTTATTCCATACTGTAGGTTAGAATATATGAAATTTAGTCTCTGGTACATGCTGTCTATGCAATCTGCACCAAGGTAAACGCAGAGTATGAGATCATATCAGTACTTGCTGTAGAGATAAAGTGCATTAGTACGTCCTCTATGTAGGAATAGCGAAAAAATAAACAGGGTTTCTAAGATGTTTCAGAAACAGTGTGCCCATATTAATACTCTATGCATACGCATGTAAATGGAATTAGAAACAAAGCGAAAAGACCTGCAGCTATCATCGCGCAAGACACCCAAGTCATTTAAGGTTGAGATTCCCCAAGGATCCTCAAATAAATTATTAGATGAAAAGAGCAAAAAGCAAGATATAGAAGAAAGAAATGCAAGAAGAGAGTATATTTTCAAAATCCTACTGGGAGGCATGGCTGTTGTTATAAGCATCTCCATATATCTTTTACTCACCACAGTGTACACTACAGTGTTTCCCACCAAGGCAGCAGCTGCTTGCTGTGCACTTTCATTTTTAGCAAGTATTTTTTGGTCTATCCATATTCTTCCTCTTGAAATAACCTCAGTACTGCTTATTCCAGTGGTTATTTTATCAAATATAATGGTCCCGGAACAGGCAGGAATGAGTGGCTGGGTGGCTGGATGCATAAATATCATGCAGATACTTGCATCGCCTGTTGTGCTGCTTCTAATGGGCAGTTGTCTTCTATCCGTGTATTTCCAGTGCAATGGCGGGGAGCAACTTGTGCTGCCGTACCTAATTGATGGAAGCAACATATACTCCAGTCTATTTCGTAGTATGCTTTTGTCTGTTGTTCTTTCTTCTATGATGTCAAATATCACTGCCCCTATTATCATTATGTCAATTCTCCAGAATCGCTCAAAGCCACCCACTCCTGGAATTATCATGGGAGTAGCAATGGGCTCAAACATTGGGGGAATGCTTCTCCCGATAAGCAGCCCGCAGTCAATCCTTGGGTCAACCATCATGGGCGTATCCTGGAGCAAGTGGGTGTGGATATCTATACCTACTGCTTCAGTGTGCTTTGTGTTTGTGTACTCATTAATACTTGCATATTTCCCAAAGCCGCAGCAAGAAAAAGAGAGCACACTGGTTGTAGGTGAGCCAGAGAATTCTTTTATGCTGATGTTTGTCACGGCCCTTTGCATTGTCTGCTGGGCACTTCCATCTTTATATTCAGGACTTAAGTGGATATATGCACTGCCTGTGTGCGGGCTGCTGCTTACTAAAAGTGCTAAAACTGCGTTCAACCGAAAAACACTCGAAATTATTGCAATAGCTGTAGCAGGCACTGCAATTGGCCAGGGAATAAAAAGTACAAAAATGATAGAAGGGATGATCTCTGGGCTTATTATAAGCAGCAAAGAATATAGCTTTCTCTCCCTGCTTGTGGTCTCCTCTTTTGTTATGCTTACACTCTCATGCATAGTGTGTCATACGGTAAGTGCCATAGTTCTTCTGCCTATTTTTGAAAAAATAGGGATGCTTGTTGGCCGGCACAAGCTCATTGTGGGAATATCCACACTGGCATGTTCATGCGGAATGGCATTCCCAGCAAGTGGGTTTCCTAATATCCTGGCTAGTTCTTTTAAGCTGCCAAATGGTAAGAGACTCGTTGGCACAAAAGACTTTATTTTAATTGGGACAGTCTCTACACTTGCCTGCTGGGTGTTTATCTTAACGGTTTCTTTGCTGTTTATGACAATGGCAAACTTTTAAATTTTTACGATGGTTGCCGAACACAGCTCTGCACCAAAAGAGAATAAAAAAGAGAGAAGAGAAAAGAGAGATGTTCCAGAGGACATTTCAAACTACAAGCTAGAGCCATTCACAGAAAAGGGGCTAAAGCAGTTTTTGGAAACAAGCAGCTTTGAAATCATGTTTCCCAAGCATAGAGAAAAGTACATCCGGGATACTGAAGAGTATATCAGAAAGGCTCTTGCCCAGAAGAGACTCCTTCTGGCAGTGGACTACCACGAGCTGGTGCTCAAAGTAGAGACCACACCGCATACAAGAGACCCGTATGTAGTCCTGCAGGGAAGAGATATGCTGAAGCTGGTCAGTAGAGGTGTTCCACTAGAGAAGGCAATTCGGGTCTTTGAGGATGGAATAACCCACGATATTATTCCAATTAATGTGTTTACTCGAAACAAGGAGATATTTCTTAAAAGGAGAGAGAGACTTCTTGGTCCCCGGGGAAACACAATAAAGTCACTAGAGCTGCTGACAGACTGCTACATTCTTCCATTCGGAAACACAGTAAGCGCAATTGGAAACTATAAAAGTCTAAAGGAGGTGCGGACAGTCGTTACTAAGTGCATGGAAAACATCCACCCAATCTATGAGATCAAGCGGCTTATGATACGGCGGGAGCTAGAGAAAGACCCAGCTCTTAAAACAGAGAACTGGGAGAGATACCTTCCAAAGTACAAAAAGACACACAGTAAAAAGCGTAAGACCGTTATAGTGGAGAAAACAAACCGCACAACCTTCCCCGAGCAAGAGGAGAGAAAGCAGGACAAAGAGATCATGAGTGGCGCGTATGTACCGAAGGACCGGCCCACCAGAAGCGAAAAAAAGGCCAAGGCAGAAAAGGACTCAAGCGAGCAGTAATTGGTGCTGGCTGGACATTAGTAGACAAGATTAATAAAAACACAAATATAGGCGACTTTCCATGGTTTAAACCTTGAACACCATAGTAGAAGTATTCGTGTATTCTTCAGGTTTTTGGAATATTTTTTCTGCTTGCACTATGCTACTTACTCTGCCTGTGATATTAAAGTTTGTCTCCTGCAGAGTAATTCTAAGCAGGCTGCTAAGCACGAGATATATGCATATTTAGAGATATTTATTATAAGATAGACCATTTATAGTTGTGGATAATGTGAAATTGTTTATTATTACTTCTTTAAGCTGCTCAGGTCAAGCCTGATATCAACTAATTCGGGTTATTCGGGCATGCCTGAAGATTCACTGTGCTATGTTTTGGTATACAGCATAGTGTAATTCTGTCTTTCCTTGTAGATTAAGCACTTTTTCACAGTAAATATAACTGCATGCAGATAGCACCTTTTTCATACTTCTGGACTCTGAGTGTATCGCATGCATTTCCAGATGCTTTTGCAAATAGTTATTTTTGCTGAGTTTCATGCAAAGGAGAAAAATCCCAGAGAAAGGCAGACACTCCAACACATGGTTAAAAGAAGTATGAGGGTCTGGAAATGCTAATCCCGCACTCCTTTAGGGCATTCTCTACATCAGACAGAGTAAGAGTAAGCTTTTTCTCTTTAGGAGTCTTTTTCTCCTTCAGAGACGCTCTTTTTGCAATTTTGTGGTACTGGTACGCGCATGTTGCAACATCTGTGATGAGCTTCTGTGCAATAAGAGAGACAAGCTTCTTTATCTTTGGGTCTTCTGTAGTCAGGCCTGCCTTGGTGAAGCAGTGGTCCAAAACTACATCTGGGATTAGCGGTATAAAAGAGTCAAGTCCCTCGTTTATTTTGTTGAATGTGCTGTCGTCCATAAAAGAAAAAAACTATCCTATTCTTGTACCAATTGATGGAGCAAGTGCAGAGACCATATCTATTGTATCGCCCCACTTAAGAACGGACTCCTTTCTTTTCTGCTGCTTTTCTCCCTCTTCGTTTATTTTCTGGGTTAGCTCCTCTGTTGTCACTCTTTGCAATATAAACATGTGGGCTATAGTTTTTTTATGTCTTTAATGGAGAAAGAGAATGATATATTCGAAGAGCAATCCGGTGAGATGATGCAGTCATACCACACTCCAATTGAAATACTGAAAGAAGGAGGTATATCTGCTGCAGACATAGCCAAGCTCATTGAGTGCGGATTCAGGACAGTTGAAAGTGTGGCCTTCACTCCAAGAAAGAAGCTCTTGAATATAAGAGGGTTCGCAGAGACAAAAGTTGATCGAATAATAAAAGAGGCAACAAAGCATGTGGAGCTAGGGTTCCAGACAGCAGACATAATCCACCAGAAAAGGCTGCAGATGAAAATGATCACAACAGGATCATCTGAGCTGGACAAGCTGCTTGGTGGTGGAATTGAGACAGGCTCAATCACAGAACTCTTTGGGGAATTCCGTACAGGAAAAACCCAGATATGCCACATGCTTGCTGTTACCTGCCAGCTGCCCACAGAAATGGGTGGGTGCAATGGAAAGGCCATCTACATCGATACAGAGTCTACTTTCAGAGCTGAAAGGCTGATTGAGATTGCCAAGCGATACGAGCTGGACCCAACCGACGTACTTTCAAAGGTGTGTGTTGCCAGGGCATACAACGTGGACCACCAGCTGGAACTAGTGAAGATGGCAGGTGGCCTGATGGCATCTGGCGAGTACCGCCTTCTGATTGTTGACTCTATTATAGCCAACTACAGAACAGACTTCTCTGGGCGAGGAGAGCTGAGTGCAAGACAGATGCATCTAAGCACCTATCTGCGGTCACTCATGCAGCTGGCAGATGAGTACAATGTTGCAGTTGTGATCACCAACCAGGTGGTGGCCACAGTGGATGGAGCTGCTGCAATGTTTGGTGGAGACACTAAGAAGCCAACAGGAGGGCACGTGCTAGCACACGCCAGTGCCACTAGGCTGTACCTACGAAAGGGAAGAGGAGACCTGCGCATCTGCAAGGTCTACGACTCTCCTTCTCTTCCAGAGTCAGAAGCTACCTTCCGAATTATTAACGAGGGTATTGCAGATGGAGATGAATAAAAGCCAGGTGCATATTATTATTTTTATATTCAGGAATAAAACAAAACCATACAACTACTTAGGTAGTTTTAATGGCAAATGAAGATATTTATTTTTTTGATGAACGCATGCGAAATAAAAGTACTGGATATTTCTAGTACATAAGTGCTGTGTATTTAGCACACAGCAGCACCCAATACGACTTTAAAGGCAATAAAATATCAAGAACACAAGAATTACAGTCTCACTAGAAATAAAGTGGGATATATCCCACAGGAATTTGCTATTCTTGCTTTATATTTAGGCTTGGGGGCATACATTTCATATACTATGCCACATACTATTATTAACTGTACATTATTCTAAGAAAAGTCACTGTAACTTACACGGACAAAAATACTTTTTTGCAGGTAGTCTATTACACTACACAGAAAGGCCTGTTTTAATTGAGTGCAAGAAATAAGTAGAATAAAGGATGCAGAGGGCATAGAAGCAGAATACGCACAGAAGGCCAAATAGATATTGTTCTTTATGATTTATTTGATATTCTAGAATAAATGGTAGTCATAATCATCATGCCTTACACCAGGAGTATTCCATTCACACAGCCATCATTTTCTGGGTTGTTTGTGATTTGCGCATACTTACCCCAAATAATTCGGCCAGATTCTGAAACCATACCAATTGCACTTGTGTTGACTTCTATGATGGTTCCCTTGGTTAGAAGACCAAGAGTGGTCATCAGATGCGAGTTGGGGTTCTGCTTGACTCCCATGATAGGAAGAAGGAATGTTGACTTCATCTCTGGGTGTGTGATGTTTGCAGATTTCATTCGAAGACCAGTGGGTCTTATGAACCTCTCAAACTTTGGAGGTTTTCTTGTGTAGTTGTCCCCTACGAAGCATGGCTTGGTCACCACTCTCTTCCACTGGTTCTTCTGTCTCTTTCCTGTTTTCATTACTTTGAAGGCTTCTGCCTCAGATACTCCTCGCACTTGGGGAACTGGCACGTTGTACTTTCCAGCCTTGTTCTGTCTCTGCTCTTTCAGCTGTGTGGTTATGGCCTGGATGGCGGCCTGCTTTTCTCTGTCAAGCAGATATGCTGGAATAGCCCCGTCTGCAATTTCCTCAGTTGCCACCTTCTTCTGCTTTCTCTCTGTCTGCATCTTCTCCTTCTTCAGCTGTATCTTCTCCTTTCTTCGCTTCTCGTGGAATATTATGGCTTTTCTGCCGTACAGCTCCTTAGATATCTTTGAAAGCCTCTTGCCCGCTCTTGATTCGTACTTCTCCTTTCTCACAAGATAGTCTTCTCTTCTTCCGCATAATTTAATTGCTTCTTCAACGTAATTGTGCTGCGACATAAAAAATTTAACTATGGATTCTGCCAGACTATATTTTACAGAAGCTGAAGAAGATACTTCTTTACTTTCCGCATTTTACCAAGACATGAAAGAAAGACTTGACACACACGAGATTTCTGTGGCAGAAATAGAAGGTGACCTGGAGATAGACATATTTTATCTGGAGCAGAAACTAGGGGAAATAACTTCGTGGGGAATAAAGCACCTGCGTGCAGCATTGTCAAGGATACTTGAGGAAAGTGGAAGGGGAGTTCAAAAGACATACATTAAAATGATACCATTTATGGAACCTGTGCAATTCTCTGCACTAAGACACTCTTCGGTTGGAAAGGTATTTTCAATTGCAGGCGTTGTCTCGCGCATTGAAAGTTCAAAGCCAATTCCAACCGTAATGGTATTTGCATGCAATAAGTGCAAAAAAGAGATTTTGTTCATGCCTCATATGGGAGTGTATAACAAGCCAGATGCGTGTACAGAGCCTTGCAAGTCAAATAAATTCACGTTCATTAAGGACTCGGACAAAAATGAGTTCAGAGACTTCCAGAGGGTGAAGATACAGGAGTTATTTCTAACAGAAATAGAGAGACGCAAGGCAGGCTCCATCAACTGCATTGTTCACAGGAGCTTTGTAAATACACTGCTTCCAGGTGATGCAGTGCACATTCTTGGCACAGGAATTGCTGAGGACGTAGGGGAATCTGAGTATACGCTTGGAATAAAGGCAAATAATATCATGTTTCTAAAGCAGAAAGATGCACAAAACCAGTTTACATTCTTCCCAGATGACTTGCAAAAAATAAAGAAGCTCTCAGCAAAGGAGAACGTAGTTGATCTGGTAGGAGAGGCTCTTTTCTCAGAAATAGTAGGGAATAAAATTCTTAAGAAGGGGATTCTTCTCTCGCTAGTAGGCGGAACACACAAGAAGCATAAAAGAAAGGAAATACATTTGGTTGTTATAGGTGACCCAGGCATGGGAAAGAGCAAAATAATTCGAAAGGCATCTGAGATACTTCCAAGAAGTAACTATGTCTGCGGAACCACAACTACAGCAGGAGGCCTTGGTCTTTCAATGCAGTCGAGTACAGGCGGTGACTACGTTCTGTCAGCAGGTGCACTAGTTCTGAGTGATCTTGGGCACTGCTTCATTGACGAGCTTGACAAGCTGGAAACCCCCCAAATACTCTTTGAAGCAATGGAAAGCCAAGAAATAACTATTGCAAAAGCAGGAATGGTCTGTGCGATGCCTGCTAGAACTGCAGTTATTTCAGCAGCAAATCCTCTCTTTGGCCGGTATAGAAAAGACAAAACTGTTCAGGAAAATATCAATTTCCCAGGAGAATTTCTTTCTAGGTTTGATCTTATTTTTGTTATGATTGATGAGATAAATACTAAAGAGCATTGCTCAATTGCCCGGCACATTCTAGGGAGTGCAAGCATTGAAGATATGCAGCCAGGACATATTTCTGCAGAAACAGCCCAGAAGTACGTGCAGTATGCGAGAGAGCAGATCCATCCTGTTCTATCAACAGGCGCAAAGGAAAGGATTGTTGAGTTCTTTAAAGCAATCAGAACAGATAGGGTATATAACAATAGAATTCTGGCGCAACCAATAACACCAAGAATCGTGGATTCCTTGGAGCGGATTGCAGAGGCAGTGGCCAAGCTGCATCTGAGGGCCATAGCCACGCGGTCAGATGTAGACCAGGCCATAGAGATAATTACCCTGGAAAGAATCCCAGTGGAAGAAAAAAAGAAAAAAGGGTCACCGCATGTGGCCTTTCTGCGCATGCTAGAAGAAGCAGAGAACAAGGAAATGAGAGAGAAAGAGATAAGACAGCTAGGTCTATCAGCAGGACTAGACATAGATACTGTTATTAAGCTGATCTATAAATTCAACGACCAAGGGATTCTTATTAAAAAAGGAGGAAATATATACCAGGTAAAGCGGTAGTACAGTACTCCTTCATTTTTCTATGCTGGCGCGCAGTCTAAATATTTTTATGCTAGAAGCCTTTTTTAAGTATTAGACTAATTGGTTTACTCTCTACAATTTGCTTAGTTCAAATTTCCCAAGTATAAATCTAAGTGGACATCTTTTTGATCTAAGGACAAGACATAAGACATAAACATAATTAGTAAGATATAATTGTTTCCATTAGAAAACTAAGGATAAGAGTATAGACCACATAGTAGTATTGTATAGACAAAGTTCATCCAGGATATTTCAAGAGAAGGTGTATGGCTCTTGTGGCTACTAACAGAACAAATTTTAATAAAAACCAGTGTATTCTTCTATGAATAAAAATCCTGAATGTAGCTGCACAATGAACTTTCTTATATAAATATATACTATGTATTCTAGTAAAATTAGGCAGTTATATATTACAGGGCATGCTAGGCATAAAGAACACTACATAAAATACAAGAATAAGTGATAATTGGATTTCTTATAGATTGATCTACTGTATATTATGCTATTAGTAAAATGTGTGTGCATTGTATTTCTCTGCGTGTAGACAGCTTTAATTAAAATACAAAATTTAGCATGTCTTTGCATATAACCAAAATATTCTTTTATGAATTAATTAATGTCTGATTTACCATACTACTGCCATATATGCGATGTGGTTGTTTACATTGAAGACAGAGTGCAGTGTCCCCGGTGCAGAGAATCCTTCTTAGAGCTGCACACTGAGGATGTGGATGAAGAAACAGACGAGATAGTTAATTCTGGGGGCACGTGCATAGGAGGATTCCTGAGCCTAAGCTTCTTTAGATGCGCACCGCAGCAGCCCCTAAGGCCAGAAAAGAAAAGAACAATTACATCAGACAGAAGAAACTATGCAATAGGCCCTGAAATAGACGACATAATTACAAGGCTACGAGATGAAAGGGGCATAGACGAGTGCCCTGCTTCAGAAAATCAGAAGTCCTCGCTAGTGCTAGAATACCTTCCAACCTCAGATGTGTGCACAATATGCTTCTGTCCATTTGAGGAGAAGAAGAAGGGATGTAAGTATCCTTGCAGCCACTATTTCCACCAGGAGTGCTCTGATGCCTGGCTCAAGCTGCAGTCAGACTGCCCAGTTTGCAGAAAGTCTCTATGACTAAGCAACTGTGGATTAAGTTACTGGATTTCTCTGCCTTGAGTGCATAGTGCCTTTTACCTGACCAGCAATGTACATGAATATTAACTATTACCTCTCAGGCTTTGTTTATAAGACAAGAAACCGTGAGAGGCACTGCTTGTCTATATAGGGTACTATGTCTCTTAGACTCTTCTTATTCATTCATGCATGCATAATTAATCATCTTTGGGTAAGAGCACAGAGAATCCTTCTGGAAATTTATATAATTCTAATGTCTTGTTGAAGGAGGTTTATAAATAGAGAACACGAAATAAGCATTAGTAAGATTATATAACTAAGTCTAATATTTCAGAGAAAATTAAGATATCTTAAATAAATTCAAACACTCTGAAGCCATTTATATACACTTCTTTCTAAGTTATGCATGCCAAAAACTTATCTTATTTATAGATTAAATTTACAGAGTCATCTTCACTATTCTATTCATGCAGTAGAAAAGTAAAACCTTTCATATAATTATGCATTTTTATGACAGTAGTAGCATAAAGAAAAGTACTGTGCAAGCACAAAAATACATCTTCCATAGGACTGAAATATCTGGTCTTATGGTTACCATTTGGGTTTCTATTGCAGGCAGTGAAGAACTGCAAAATTACCTACTATTCTGCTAAGACATTCTATGTAGGAAATCGCACTTGAAGGAGTGCATAAGGCTCTTACTGCTCAGATTATTGCTGCATCAGCAGTGCATGATACGAAGCATGCCTGGTCTCTGCAAGTGGAATGCTATGTATTTCTAATGCAGCACAAGAAAATATTTAAGAATGGAAAAGAACAGTAGGGCAGGCCTGTTCAGCACGCAGATGTATGCGGACCTTCTAATTGGAAGGCTTGAAGAAGTAATGGGCCCAATAAAGCCAGAGGATATATGTAAAATAGATAAGTCTGTGAGCATAGTAATTGTTGATCCATATCTAAGGCTGCAAAGCATTCACGCAAAATTGGTTGGAGGCACTTTTACGCACATAATACTTCCGGATAGCAAAAAAGTAGATATCGACATGATAATGCCAAAAAGCAGACAGAAAAGAAATAGTATCCATCTAGACAGTAGAATACCATCACAAAAAACAGAAACCTGCATGATTAAAAGAGAAGAAGTTCAGAGCCTGGAGAAATTACTAGCATATGCATATAGACCAGAGAAGCACCTTTTAAGCGTATGCGAGATGGAAATAGAGAAAGCTCAGTGGATATTTGAAGAACTCCATAGGAATAGCCACCTGAGCAGCAAAGAGGGACCTACTTTGTATCTTGTGCTCATGCAGGATGACTCTCTTTTAATTCCCTTTCCACTGAGTAGATACTTATCAAAGCAGAAAGAAATTCTTAAATATTAATTTGTTTTATTTATTAATGGAAGAAGCCATACGGAGTGTAGAAGAAAAGGAAGGCATCCGCTTAACGTGGAATACCTTCTCAAACACAAAAGCCGAAACAGCAAAGAATATCATCCCTCTGGTGTGCCTGTATAAGCCAATGCACGGGTATCACAACAACTCACTGTTGCAGGTAGGGTATTCTGCGGTTAGGTGCTCAAAGCCAGAGTGCGGGAGTGTTCTGAGCCCATACTCCTCCTTGGACTTTGGGGCCAAGCATTGGGGATGCATCTTCTGCGGGCGCATGAACATGCTGCCACCGCACTACAGAGACATAACACCAGAGAACCTGCCATACGAGCTGTTTGGGGATAGCACAACTGTCTTCTACAAAGGAAACAAGACTGCTGGATACAAGAGAACATACTGGTTTGTTGTGGATGCATGCAGTTTTGATGAAGAGAGGCACCTGCTGCTGAAGGACGGTCTGTTGACTGCGCTTGCTGGGATGAGTGACGATGACCACATTGGGATAATTCGGTACAGCGCAAACATTGAGATAATTAGCTTGGAGAATTTGGACGTGCGGAAGGTGCATGTGTTCCCGGCTGTTGAGTATACAACAGCAGTGCTTCAGAAGGCCTTTTCCCCAGGGACGGGCACTTCTTCTCCTTTGTTTAAGTTCACGAGGCGAAAGGGAGACTGCTGCGCATACATTGAGCAGATCTTTAAAAACCTTCAGATAAACTCATTCCCAGTCCCTGCGGTTGAGAGAGCAAAGAGGTGCACAGGCAGTGCGATACAACTGGCAAGCACCATCATACAGAATACGTGCGCTGAAGGCACTGGGCACATGATAGTCTTTACACAAGGCCCGTGCACATATGGACCGGGAACCATTGCAGCTTTGAGTCTTAAGCAATCACTTCGAATTGCAGGAAAGGATCTTTCCAAGCTATTTGCAAAGGAGTCAATATACGAGACCATAGCTAGTAGCATGGGGGCCAAAGGGCATGTCATTGACATTATAGCTGCTGGAATTGATGACTTCGGGTTTGCAGAAATGAGAAGCCTAATTGAGAAAACAGCAGGTACATCTGTGTTTGCCAGAGACTTCAACCCATACATCTATAAAGAGTCAATAAAAAGAATGTTCATGAAGGATGATAAAGGACATGCCATGCAGCGGGTATTTGATGCACGCACAACAGCAAAGGTAACCAAGGGATACCGCATAAAGAATGCAATAGGACACGGGTTCGAACAAAACACAGACAAAAAGCAAAATTATGTCTGGAAGCAGGGAAGCTTGTTTGACCGGTCAACAAGTGCTTTGGTTTTTGAGCAGATAGAGGATGCGCCTGCAGGAGCATCTGTGCACATGCAAATATGCACGCGGTTTATAGATAGCACCGGAGAGGCATTTGAAAGAGTAACAACAATTGCCAGGGCATTTGGAAACTCGTCAAATATAAACCAGATAATTACTGGATTTGACCAGGAAGCAGCGTGCGTCTACAAGGCAAAGGAGCTCTCCATCAATGCAGACAACGGAGATGGAATCGATGTAATAAGGCAGGCAGACAGGTGTCTGATCAGGTTTATGCAAAGGTTCTGCACATTTGAGAAGGACAGTGCCAGCTCAATTCGAGTGCCAGGGACTGTTTCTTTCTTCCCGGAGTTTCTGTTCTTCCTGAGAAGGCTTCCTGCTCTGCACACAGACGGGCTGAGCTTGGATGAGGTGGCGTACCAGCGGGCAATTCTTCTGAACGAAGACTCTCCATCTACTATGTGTATTATAAGGCCGCCCCTGGTTGCCTTCCACTATACAGGAGAGAGGTACCCAGTTGAGCTGGACTCCAGGTCTCTCAAGTCTGATGTGGCTTTGCTTGTGGACACATTCCACGACGTAGCCATATGGTATGGAGAAAACATAGCAGCCTGGGTGAAGTCTGGCATAAAAGATGATCCTGAGTACTGGTTCTTCAAGGACATGCTTGAGTCTCTGGAGAAGGAGGCCAAGGCAATTGTTGACAAGCGCCTTCCAGTTCCTAAGCTCACAAAGTGCGACCAGTACAGCTCGCAGGAAAGAATTCTTCTGTGTAAAGTAAACCCTGCCTCGTCTGTGGCCAACAGCATGTCTGGAGAAGGCCAGACAATTGTAACAGAAGACATCGACTTTGCCAGATTCTATGAATACTTGATAAAACTTGTAGTGGCTTCATAATAAATGAAATAGTGACATCTCTTCTTTTTCAGCAGTATTCCACATCCATTCTTGCCGTGCAAACATTACTAGCACTGGGTGTTCACAAAAGCGTATGACCCGAATATTCTAGGGTGCTGCAAAGATATTCCTTCAGCATACATATTAGAGAGTTTAATGCAAGGCATATTTATTCAGTATCCCTGTAGGGCATATTGAGTGTTCTGAAAAGCCCCCAGCCAAGTACTTAGCCGTTTGTAGAAATAATTCACTTTTCTGTCATTGAATAGTAGAAAAGTACACAGAAGAACTAATTATATCACGGGTAGGTGAATTAGAAGTATCAGATGTACTTAGAGCAGGATGGCTCTAAATCAATACTAGTAGGCATGTATAGCACCATATGCACAATTGACTTTCATTAAAAAATCCTATATTATGGCGAATCACTGCTTCTTTTCCTATAAATTTGTAGATAATTTGTTATGTTTAAGAACCTGGTGGGCATATGTTTTTGAGCTCGCAAAGCCTTTGTGCAAGATTGTTGTAGGCTATGTACATATTCTGGTATTCTACTTGCTTTTGGAATAGAGTATTTCGAATTGCAATGAACTCATTGCTGATGACATAATTTTCCTGCTTCTCCTCACTCACTGGTATTTTTATTTTCGTTGCTTTAATTCCAAGCTCCTGCTTTAAAGCACTAATTATAAGTGAAATTGATTCTAGCGTATTTTGAATGTAGCTAATAGAATCTGTCTGAACAGCCATGTAGGCATTCTGTATTTCATCGGTTGAGTTATTTTTAAATAGTTGTGAGATGGTGATGTACCCACTTTCATTCTCTCCAATGCCATTAACCGCCTTAGTAGATGGGATCTTCAAGTTCACAAGTTTTCTGTGTGATTTGCCTTCTTCATTTGAGGATTCTACTGCAGAGACAATGCTTCCAGGAGAATTCTCAGAATTAGTTCCATTATTTGCAGTGGTAGACTCTGTGTGCTGGTTTAAATTATCCTGATCTCCTTCGGATAGTGGAATAGTGCTGATCTGCACTGTACTATTTAAAGCTGCTGGGGCCTTAAGGCTTAGATCAATAAGGTCATATGTATGCTCCTTCTCCTTGGCAGCTTCGATAAAGAGCGCATTAAGATCATCAAATTCTGACAGCATTTTATATATTAGCTCATACTCCATGAAAATCTGCGTGCTTGCTGCACCAAGAATCTTCTTGGTATTTTTTATATTCGGATTATTTGAAATCACAGACAGAAGGTGGTAGTACTTTGTATGCACCCATACCAGCCTATCAATCATTTGGTTTCTTAGAATGTCTCTTACAAGGCCCCCAATAATCGCATGGCATCTGATTCTTTTGCTTTTTGTATTCTCGTTTGCAAGAGAGTTTATGCAGTATGAGTCACTTAGGTCCTCAAGCAAGGCATAGAACCTAGACATTTCCAGATTGGAACTTGCTATTTTCAGAAGAGTAGATGAAATGTACTCTGGAGACATGTTATTTATGATCAGAGAGACCTCAGGAGTTGCTGTGCGGGCTAGCTTGGAGTCTTTAAGTGGATGCCTTGGGAGAATCGGCGAAAAAATATCTGTCACACCTTCGCTTTGCACTTGGCAGTATATGGCTGCCATCTGTGAATTCGGCATATGCATTTTTCTTAGATTTTCTGGGGGTGTAGCGCACTCATAGCCATCCAGGCCCTTCATCAAGTGTTTTCGTAAGTTGCCCCCATTTTTGACTCTGTATGTGTACGTGTTCATATCCAAATTTGCATCTTGCGTGATGGGTGGATTGCTTTTATAAATATTAATGAATACTTGGTCCATATTGTCTAATGTATTGTTGAAAATGCACAAGTCTGTGCCCCCATAAAGCCCTCCTTCCACCACCTGGTGGTTCACTCTTTCATAGCACCTGTATACAGTGTTTGCATTGTGCGATCCACTTATTACAAACGCACTTAGAATGTACAGAAGCGAAGTTATTTTTCCAAATATATCCATACGGCTTCTGCATGGAAGAACACATATATATCCATATAATCTGATGCATGATCCATTCATATTTGCAGAAGAAAGGTTAATAGAAGCAGGCAGCAGACAGGCCCTCCTAAAGTGCCTGCATTCAAAGGTCTAAGGGTGTTTTATCACTTATTTATTCATATTTCCTTTCCATTGCTGTCCTTTGCACTTAAACTGTGTAACAAGTATAAGATGGTCTGACGGATAATGGTGCGTAGGGAACCCCACTATTTTAGATACATATTCCTCATCAACCGGACCAAGCGAGCAGGCAGGCTTTAGTCTATCGTTATACCAGATATAATCAATCACTCCAGCAAACCCAGGCGTATAGTTAGTAAATCCCATATTCACAAAAGAGTAGCTCTCTGAGAGCGAAAGATTATGCGTGTATCCCTTGCTGCTATACGGCTCGTATGAGAGTCCCAGCAGGTCCTTGGCATTGGGCTTAAGTGTGCCGTTTGCGTACATTTCATAGAGTGATGAGTTTGGGAGAGAGTTGAAGTCTCCACAAATAACCAGTTCTGCATTCGGGTATCTCTGCATAATTGCATCAACCTCCCGAAGCAGCATGATGCCCTGGAGAGTCTTTACATCAGGGTACTCTGGATCCCAGTGCATGTGCGTGTTCACTACAACTGTATGCCGCCCTCCCTCTCTCTCAAGCACAATGGCTAGCCCTATGTTGTCCCGGCTTAAAAAGCGGTTTGCAATGTGCTCCTGCTCTGAAATGACCTTCTGCGGGAACAGCTGCGACAAATAGATGCACCTCTGCTCTATCATCTGAAAGAAAGAGCCCTTCCAGAAAATGGCGCACCCATCCACCAGGCGCTTCTCTCCCTCTACCATGGTCCGAGCCCGTGACTTCTGGTAGAACACCGAGTCATAGTCGCCTCTTATTTTAAACTGCTCCCTGAAGTAGTCTGAGTAGCTGCCTGTGTCCATTTCCTGGATGCACAGAATGTCTGCTCCATACAGCGTGGCCTCCTGCAGAATTGTTGCCTTTCTTGTCTCCCACTGCAGTGCCCAGGCAGGCACGTACGAAAAGCTCTGACTGTTCGCATATGTCGGGCAGAGAATATTATATGTTGCCACTGTGAGTGTCTCTGTGTACTCAGTGCTTTCTTCCTGGGGGGCGAATATCCACTCTCTCTCCCAGTACGGGAAGTTCATTGCCACATTGTCTCTGCAGTATCTAATTACTCCGCACCCGCCTGACGTGTTATACACAATTTGGATCTGCCCAATTAGCGGGTTGTCATCTAGGTCCAGCTTCTCCATCTGGTACAGCATCCCGAACTCCAAGGGAATTGACGACAAAAGGTTGCTTCCTAGCCTGAGCTCCTTTAGATTAAATAGTTTCCCCAGCTCCCTGGGCACTCGCTTAATGCGGTTATGGGACAGGTCTAGAACACTCAGGCCAGTCAGCCTGGATATCTCTGAAGGTATCTCGGATATGCTATTGTACGAAAGAGATAAAGTACTCAGTGCCTCCCAGCTCATTATTTTCGGTGATATAAGCTTGAGTCCCTGCATGGACATGTCAAGTCCGCATGTCTCGTCCACTGTTTTGTCCCCTAAGGCCTTCCTGTTTTGGTACGGCTTGTAGTGCCGAAAGGGCCTGGCCACTTGTATGCCGCCGCTCTTTTCCCTGTGCGCTGCGCCAAAATTGTCACCATCCATAGAAGAAAACAAAAAGAAAGAAAACAAAAACCCAGAGAAAAAGGTAGAAATCATAAATAGTCGTTGTTTTAATAGTAATTTGCCAGGAAAAGTGCCTTCTTTCCAAACATCTCCTCAAACACCACTCTCATTGGCTCAAATCTGTTTGATGCCTCTGCCTTGTGCTTTGCATCAATTATCATCTTCTCAAGCTTTGACCCATCCTCTCTTACAACGGTTCTTCTGTCTACGATGTGGGATGGTGCGACTAAATCATTAACTACTTTCTCCTGGTATGCAGTGTGTGTGATTGGGGACTGTATAACTGTTTTTCCTCCCTTGCCGATGGCTTCTTGCACTATTCTATCTCTAATTATGAACACAGTTCCATTCAGAATGCTTTCCATCTTCTCAATGAGTGCCATTTTCTGTTTCTTCATGGCAGTCATGATACTCTCGGAAACGGCAACTGTTGTGGTAAGGATGCCTTCCTTTTCAATTGCTGTTATTTTAATTGCAGAGTATTCTTCCTCTGGGATATCTGCTCCTTTTATGGCATTCTTGATTAAATTAGCTACTTGCTGGTTCTGGTTGCTATTTGAATCTTCTCTCTTAAGTGACATGACAGGGTGTAAAAAATAAAAGAAATAAAAATGGGGCAAAATTGGAGAGACTGCAGAGATGCAGGTGCAGGGGGATTTCAGAGTGTGCTATGGTGCTGTCTCGGTCTGGGCTAGTATTTCCCCGGGGAATCTTCCTGTTTGCCGCGATCTTGCACTCTTTGAATTTCTTACTTTAATTTAATTTTTCATCCCCTGGTAAGAAGAATGGCCAAGTCAAAGAACCACACAAATCAGAACCAAAACAGAAAGGCACACAGAAATGGAATCCACAAGCCAAAGGACTGGGAAAAACTACCAACCAGAGGAGTCCCTGCAGCAGCCCTCAAGAGCACAAGAGAGGAGCACAAGAGACTTCACCCAGTTGGAAAGAAGAGCTTAATGTCCTTTGAGGAGAGATTTGCCAAGGAAATGGAAAACCCACTCATTAACAGAAGAAGAATGATCAAGAAGATTGGAATTAGAAAGATGGCTCTTAACGGAATCTACCTATAAGAAGGCTAAATAAATAACTATATTGCCATATACAGCTGTTTTATTCAGGCGTACATTACGGCTCTGTTTTTGCTGTGCAGCACAAATAATTCTTGGTTATCCTAGACTGCAATTATTCAGCTGTTTTTTTCATTTCTTATGCTCTCTGCCATAGGAAGTAATTGCCTATAGGAAAGGTATATATTGGATTATATCCTAGTATATAATAGTATATCTAGCTGTAACTATGTATGGTTTCTTATACTTGCAGTTTGCTTGTACTTCTAGCTGTGCATTTTTCTTTGAAAATACTTTGTAATCTGTCTACAGCAATAACCTTCTTAGGCACACTATCCATCTAGTTTCAATCTCTATAGGATTACTCCATTTCTTAACTGTTCCCTACAGAAAGTCTAACTAGACTGCTATATCTGGCTTGCTAGATACACATACTATCTTCATAAAGAATTCACTTCTACTTAAATACTCTGTCTTAGTATACATAGTTTGAATAATTTTCTGTTTGCATACTGAGAACTCTCTGGTTGTATATATGAAAATATTCCTATAGCATACAACCAGGGAAGTGTGCTATGTCTGCAAATACATAGAATTCTTCCATTTCCTGAGTGCATAGAATATATCCTTCTTTGTGCTATGCGTGCACAGTGTGATTTTCGTGGTTCCTTCGGTTTGTGTTCATTTTTATTTTGGCGGGCATTATGCTTTATAATTCTTTGCAATTTGCTTCTTCATGGGTATTACAGGTTTACTGCCTATGCTTAAAAATCATATCGACTATGTGGAGGTGTCAGATTTAAAGGGGCTTAAGATAGGAGTAGATGGATACTCCTGGCTGTACAAAGCCATCACAGTGCATGCGTCTGATATATATCTGCGACCTAAGGACCCAGAGGTCATAAATAAGTACGTCTCTTTTTGCATTAGAAAGTGCCAGGCACTAATTGCACACGGAGTTGAGCTATTCTTTGTATTTGACGGGGAAGAACACCCCATGAAAAAGAGCACCAACCAGAAAAGAAGGGACCGAAAGGCACAGATGCAGAGCAAGGTAGAGCACCTTATTGCAAGAGGGAATATTAGAGATGCCAGGCCGCTGATGAGCCGGTGCATGAAGGTGGACGCAGATATGGTAAGCAACCTGGCTGCAGCTCTGAAGAAAATTAACGTGCCCCACATGATTGCACCCTACGAGGCAGACCCCCAGCTTGTATACCTAGAGAAAAAAGGAAGAATTGACTGCATCACCACAGAAGACAGTGACTTAATTGTCTATGGCGCAAAGAAGATACTGTTTAAGCTGAATGAAGCGCATGGTGGCGAACTGTATAATAGGGAAAAAATCCTAGCAAGCTGCTCTTTGCCAATAAAGTGCCTTCTTACACAGCTGAAGGAGATTGTGTCTCTGAGTGGATGCGATTACACTGACGGCATAAGCAAAGTGGGGCTAATCACTGCGCATAAGCTGATCATGATGCACAAGACAGTTGAAGGCTGCATTCAGTATCTTGCGCAGAAGCAGAACAGCGTTACAGATCATATAGATGTCTGCTCGAAAGTCATTTGCACATTCAACATGCACGTGGTAAAAGACCCAGTCACTGGCCGTAGAGTCCACCTGGCAGACTCAACAGAAAAAGCAGCAGCCGACATCTCCTCGTTTGATGATGTGTCTTTTCTGGGGCTTCTTGAGCCTGTATAACGTCTTGCCTGCATTAGCATCAGCACATTTTCTATGTGCAATTCAAACCAGTTAATCACGTAAAAATTAAATGTCTTATAAGATTATTTATTCTATTGCTAATTCTATTAAAAGTACTTGCTATGCCTAGTGCATAGGCTTCCATGCAGCAAGAAAAATAATCAAATTATTTCTGTATTTTAACTGGCATTTTTACTTCATACGTGCATATGCACAGCATAGAAGAATCAGACACTATATGTTTGATTTTTGTCACACATCAATTCAGACAGAATTCAATAATTTGTGAAACATCTGAAGTACTTCTAGATAGATAAGTAATAATGGTAAAAATATTCCATACGAAGAACCATTTCATCATAATATGGAGAGTGCTCTTTCTGCGCTGTGCATATGTATACTGAACAGATATTTAAATAAGATTTATTCTGGTGTATACTTATGCAGTACTTGTATTATGTGGCTGCCTCTAATAACAGCATATTTTGCTGGAGTCTATTTTAGACTTACTACGCTGTCTTCTTAAGAATATGCAGCACTACCTGAATTGAGATTTCAGCTAGTTTGATGGAATCTTGAAGATCTCTTTTATTCTTTTGCATAAAAGCTGGTTTTGGCTGTACATCTCTAGCAGTCCTGTCCCAAAGAGCTGGTCTTTCTTTTCTACATATGGAAGAATGTAGAAGACATGCACTGGCAAGTAGTTTCCATTGCTAAACACAGATGTGTCTTCTTTGCTTTCCAGGCACTGCTGCAAGCTGATAACTGCCTGCTTAAACGTAAATGTGTGCGAGAAGACTGAAAACCGCTCTATGTGGACCAAGAAGTAGGTAGTAATATACTCCAGAATAATAGACCGTGTTTTCTGCACAAGATATGTGTCTATTAGCAAAAAATGCTCAAGCTTTCTGTCAAGGACATCTGCCTTTGTAAGAAGCTGGTCTATAGTGGTTCCTACAAGAGAAAGCAAGTGCACCGTGAAACACCCAAACATCATTTGTGCTAGTTTTGTAAATCCAGCCTGAATCTGCTCCATTGGTCCTTGAGTGTGCTCTTCTGTCTTCTTCTCTTTTGTGCTTTTTTCTATAATAGACATAGACATATGCGTAATTAATGAAAGAATATCATTTGGCAGCTGAATAAACTCAGAGATTGCAATAAACTTCCTGCTTGTGCAGTGCATGAAAATAGACGGGCCTAATGCGCTTTCTTTCTCTTCTGGGTTATTCCACCTCTCTATCTCTCCCGAAATAGAATCTTCTGCATGGTACTTAATCTCTTCAAGCTCCTCCTCGCTTACACGTGATATTGCTTTAAAAACTGCTTGCATTGATGCAAGAACCCTTCCCAGCGCATCTGCTGCAGCCTCCTCTATTTTTATTTCAAGCCCTGCAATTCGCACCTTAGCAAACCTTCCAAGTGCCCCCAGAACCCTTTTTATCGCTCTCTGGTACTTTTGCAGAAATGGCATAGTGTGGTCTGCTGTTTTCTCCAATTCCTCCACTTTTTCAACTAAATCCATGAGCATTTGCTTTCTGTTTGCAAAGCAGCTGATGAGTTCTACGTCTTTGATCTTATCAGATATATCCACATGTGCAGGAAGGACATCAGCCAAAACATCCCGCATAGTTGCAGATATTTCCAATGCGCATCCGTGTATAATTAGTATTGCATCCTCTGACCTAACTAAGTGCACGTTCATTATAAAGAGGTCTGTCTCTACACTGTTTTCGTCTTTTGTAAGGTGCCCGTACTTGCTGTAGAACAGCTCATTATACATAAGACTTGCTGAGTCCAGCCTGTTTATCTTTTGTATTCCATAGGCAATGGTATCCTCGGCTGCACCCTCTGTGTCTTTTGTAAGTCTTTTAAAAAACACTGAAATCCACTCAACGATCTTTTTGAAAATATCCTCTTCCAGAACAGAAGAGTCGTAAAGTGGCAGGGAGACCTGAGCTGTTTTGTTAGATGCCTCTCTATTTAGCCAGATTTCTTCATAGAGCTCTGGGTTATACCGGTACTTTTTACTGCTTGTGCACTCTTCTTTTCTTTTATGCAGTATGGTTTGTATATTATGCAGCAAATTAGACACTTCTGATGCAAAGACAGCAAGCTCCCGCGAGAGTATCTGTGCCTCGTCTTCCCCAGTGACAACCTCTTTCTTGTGCATTTCTTTATGCATTTCCCTTGTGGCCCTATTGATTATTCGCACCATGCACTCATTTGTAGACTTGTATACTGGAACTAGCGCACAGCCTGCAATCTTCTCTAGCACCCGAATGTCCACAGGCGATATTCTAATGACTCCTTGCAGACTATCCTTTATCCTCCCCTCTATCTCTTTTTTGACCTTCCATAGCCCATTCTCTGTGCGACACTTCACTTCCATCCGCGCCTCTCTGTCTTCTACACACTGGATATTATTCATTATTTCGCTCAGTCTGCCTGCATGTATATCACCTATTGTCAGCATGTCCACTGCTAGCGCCTTTTTTATTTCAGATTCCTTTAAATCTCTTATGTACTTTTCCTGCTCCTGTTTTAGGTCCTCTATGTGCTTTCCTATACTGTCAGACTGCACACTTTTAATAAGCTCTGTCAAGCATGCTTCCACCTCTGTGATGTTATGAGATGCTGCTACTATTTCTTTGTGCACCTTATGGTATGTAATTGCAGAGTTTTTTAACGGTTTTGTGTTTTCTGCTATCAGTGCTTCAAGCCCAGCAGAGAGCATCTCGTATGTACTTTCAAACTCATCCTGCATCTTCTCTGAGTCAGATATTCTTTGCATGGCAGGCCCTGGAATATATTTCTCCTGCATTACCTCTGGAAAGTCTATTCTTATCTTTTTGAGCGCATTCTCCAGCTGCCTAAGATCCTGCCCCATTGCAAACAAAATATTTCATATGTTTAATTAAATCCTTGGTAAAAGCCTTCATAAATTTCCATAGAAAATGCAGCATTCTTTTTAGATTTTTCTGTAATTATTCCAGGACCTCTTAACTGCATCTCAGAAATTGCGCTAGTAAGCACACACTGCGGACTTAAATAGTTTCTACCACAGCAAGAATCCTTCTCAATGTACTTTCACTTGGTCTTTCTGTCCTGATTTCTCTGGAGAAACATTTCTTTCACTCGGTCAAAAATACTTTTATGCATGCTTTTGTGAAAGTACAGTCTTCTTATATCACTCTACTACAGCTAATACTTAATTTAAAGAAATAAGACTCTTATAAGAAATTCTTTTGTAAGAACACATATAGCCCGTTGTACTACACTATTTGATCTCTACGCCCAAGCATTACAAATGTATATAACCTGAATAACCTTTATTCTTTATCTGTCTTTCTATTGATTTGGTAGTATCTGATCCTGCACTGTCTATCTGTTCTATCTGTAAGCTCCTTTGAGATCTGCCTCCATACATGTTTTTCTGATTTTTCAACTGCTTTCAAAAGCTTTTCATCCTCCTCTGGTGACCAGGGCTGGCTGTTCTTTGCTGGGTCTAAATAGTATATATACCGCTCCCTGCATTGAAACTGCGTTCTAGTTGGGACATATTTGCACACTTCTCGCCAGTTGCCCTTCTTGCACTTGCTCACTCCTTTCAAAAGCGCACGATTCTCTTCCTCCGTCCACCTCCCATGCCGTATTTCTGGGTTCAGCACTCTTTTATATCTGTACATGCACTGCCGCGAGGTTTTATTCTTAAAATGCACTGCTATCTCGGTCCAGCTCTTTTTCCCCTCAGACTGGACGAGCTCTGCAAGATGCTGGTCCTCTTCCTCTGTCCACTGCGAAGTAGGCCTGCTCTTCTGCAGCTCAAGGTATCTGGAGTACACAGAAATAGGCGCTCTTCTTACTGTTTTGCATATTTCACTCCAGTCACCTCTATGCTTCCGTATTTCGTTGTCTTCCTCTGGTTGAAACTTATCCTGCCGGTATGCCGGGTTCTGTGGGTGGTACCACAGACGCATGCACTCTTGCACTGGTTTTTCTATCTCTTTTGAGAGCACACCCCATACTTTGCTTTTGACCTCTGGGAGAAATACTCTTTCTGCAATGAAAAACGCGTTGATCTGCGAGAGAACACGCTGTGCCTCGGCTGTTAGATCTACATTCTGCTCTGGATTATTCGCTGGAGCATACGAGCTGGACTTCTTTAAACTCTCTGTCTGCGTCTTCTTTTTTGTTTTCTTTTTGTATTCAAGCAATTGCTTTCGCATAATCCCCAGAACATCCAGTTTGCTCATTAAGTCCAAATACTCTTCATGCAGTCTGTTTTGTAGGTCTTTGTTTCTTTTTATTATGGCGACCTCCTGCACGCCGCTAGACATTTCATCGGAAAAACTTAACAGCAAATCTTCATCCATAGAAAAAATTTACAAATGGGGGCAAGGAGAAACATAGCTGGATTAATTTCCGCAGTAACAGGACAGAGCCAGAACTCACGCTTGCTCACCCGATCCTACGACATTTTGCAGTCTTTTTTTACTAGCCACGAAATATTCCGCGGCTACACAGAAAAGATTCTGGGTATTGACTTGGGGACAACGAACTCGTGCGCTGCTGTGCTAATGGAAGGAGACAAGCCGAAAATTATAGAAAATCTGAAGGGCAGCAGAACCACCCCTTCTGTAGTATCGCTCTCTGGCGGGAAAGTACTAGTAGGGGAGGACGCTAAGAAAGAAATACAGAATACACCAAGTGGAGTTGTCACCTCAGCAAAGAGGCTGATGGGCCGGAAGTACACTGATCCAGAGACTGTCGAGCACATGGAGACTGTTCCGTATAAAATTGTTCCGCATGTAAATGGAGATGCCTGGATTGAGGTGGATGGGAAAACATACTCACCACAGAAAATCGGGGCTGAGGTGCTTAGGTATCTAAAGGATTCTGTTGAGTATGTGCTGAAGGAAAAGATCACTAAAGCCGTTATAACAGTACCTGCTTACTTCACTGATGCGCAAAGGCAAGCCACAAAGGTTTCAGGTGAAATTGCAGGCCTAAATGTACTGCGTGTTATAAATGAGCCAACAGCAGCAGCTCTCTCATACGGCATTGACACCTCTAAAGACGGGATAGTTGCAGTTTATGACCTAGGGGGCGGCACCTTTGATGTCTCGATACTTGAAATAAAGGATGGTATATTTGAGGTCAAAGCAACCAACGGAAACAGCCATTTGGGCGGAGAGGACTTTGATGCTGCATTGACAAACCACATAATATCGCGAATAGAAAAAGAGCATGGAATAGCGATACGAAGCAACCTTGATGCGCTACAGCAGGTTCGGAAGATGGCAGAGCAGATAAAGTGTGTGCTGTCTGAGCAGGAGCACACAGTAGCAGACTTTTTATTCCCGCATACTTCAGATGCAAAATCTGAATCGAGCAGGAGCATATCACTGCACATTACTAGACAGGAATTTGAGAATCTAATTGCACCTTTAATTGAGAAAACGCTGTCTCCATGCAAGGAGGCCATGCTTGATGCAGACATAAAAAAGGGCTCAATTGATAATGTAATTGTTGTAGGCGGCATGACACGAATTCCTGCAATTAGAAGGGCGGTTGAAAAAGTATTTGGTAAAGCAATTACTCCCGGTGTAAACCCGGATGAAGCTGTCGCTGCTGGTGCTGCAGTGCAGGGAGGAATACTTGCAGGGAAAATGCAGGACTATCTGCTGATTGACGTGGCGCCGCTCAGCCTAGGAATAGAAACACTTGGCGGAATATTCAGTAAAATTGTAGAGAAAAATAGCTCAATTCCAATTAAAAAAACGCAGACTTTCACAACATCAGAGGACGGGCAGCCCTCAGTAACTGTAAAAATATACGAAGGAGAGCGGCCCCTGGTGTCCCATAATAAATATCTTGGAGAACTGGTCCTTTCTGGAATCCCTCCTCTTCCTAAAGGGGTGCCAAAGATAGAGGTTACCTTTGAGGCGGATGCAAATGGAATATTCACGGTCTCAGCAAAGGACAAAGAAACACAGATAGCACAGAATACAAAGATCGAGCCATCAGGTGGCCTCTCCAAGGATGAGATTGCTTCCTTGATAAAAGAGGCAGAAGACGCCCGCCTGCAGGATGAAAAAGAAAAACTTCTAATAGAAACAAAGCAGAAAGTAACCGACTATATTAAGCAGCACCATGAGATAAGAGCCAAGCTTAAGGGCAGCCTTAAGCCAGACACACTGCATAGACTGAACAGCAAAATTTCGGATCTTTTGGCTTATATGGAGAAATCATCGGCTACTAAGGATGAGCTAGAGTACTATTTGGCAGATTTAAGAAAAGATGCAGGAAGTGCCTGGAGAGACCATAAATAAATAAACTAATTTAAAAACAAAAAAATGCCATGCGCGAAAGAGACTATGAGTTTGAAGCAAATAATTGCAAGCACGGATGCAAATTCAAAGTGTATTGACTGCAATATGACCAGGCCGCAATGGGCATCCATTACGTACGGGGTATTTCTCTGCCTGAACTGTGCAGGCGTGCATAGATCATACGGTGTAAAAGTGAGCATGGTGAAAAGCCTGAGCATGGACATATGGAATGACTCAGAAAAGAAAAGAATGGAGCTTGGGGGCAACAAAAACTTTTTTGAGTATGTGCAGAAGAATGGGCTAGAAGGTCTGCCAAAAAAAGAGCTATACACATCAAGCAAAATGAAAACATATGTAGATGCTCTGCAGAAAAGTGTTGAGGAAATATTCCCGCAGGCAAAGACAGCAAGTCCATCATCCCCAAAAGAAAGGAGGAAGAAAGTAGAAACAACTCCCTCCCCATCCACAGTGAACGTGTGCTCTGGCTCTGGCAGCGGTATAGATGCTGAGGTCTCTCAGAGCAGCTACGTAAACATGTACAACCAGGCATCTACCATGGCTATGCCAGCACTGGGCAGCCTTCAGACAGGCATATCAGAGGTCTTTGGGAAGGCTGCCGAGTACTTCAGCTATGCATCTAGCACTATTTCCGAGCAAATCTCTGAGAAGGTCATTACGCCTGCCTCAAGCATGATTAAAGAAAGGGGTGAACAGCTTTCTGAGTACATTAAAGGAAAAGATAAGAATAGAAGGGCGCAGGAGAAAGAGTCTTCCAGGGAGGCAAAACCAAAGCCTACAGAGAAAAAACCGCACACAGGAAGCACAAAAGCTTCATATGACAAATGGGATTAGATTCAATAAAGGAATTGCATATAAATTTAGTATTTTCGAGTAATGAAGTTACAACAGCGCAGATACTGCTATTCTATCACGTAGTATTGCATGATTCTTGCTTCTAATTATCTAACGTATCTTCTAAATGGCTAGACATTAATATGTAAGATAATTATTGAATAACTACAGAAAGAAGGCACTAATTTGAAGATGTCTTGCTATGCAGAAGACCAGTCTTAATGGCATTTGATGCGTACTTCGCATATATAAATTTTCTATTCTCAATTAAAGAAACAAGAGAATAAGCTAACTCATAGCCAACAGAGAGGCACACCAGGCGAAGATAAGCTTATTACTCGTTTATTTGTTTAAAACAGTGCTTTTCCATTAAATTCCAGAAAAATAATTTTTAACTGTGTTTGTCTTTTTGATTTTTTACCCAACTGAAGATCTAATTGATTAAAATGCGACAAAAATCATGAAAAAATCACGGAATGCATCTCTTAAAGTACTGCAGAATAAATAAGAAAAAGGAATTCGGGTTGGATAGTTTTTTGTAAAGAGGATTTCCTTCTTTCTCTTTCATGCACTTATATGTGAGAAGTTTTAAGATCATTTTGATGCTTTCTATGGGACTCAATCTTCAGCGAACGAAATTATAATTTAACAAGCATTTTTTTTATAAGATAGACAAGCAATGGATAATGAAGAGCCTGGGCGAAAACAAAAAATAAGCATGCTTCTGACCTTAAAGAACATACAGGAACTAAAAGACTACCACGAGCGAGGACTTTTCCCCGTCTTTAATACAAGATTCCAAAAGCGAGATTTTAAGAAGAAAGCAAAAATGTTCATTACCACCAATAAGGGCATGCTTATGAGGGAGGTAAATGGGGTGTTCCTAATGGCAGTTGCAAACAACGATCTGGAGCGCATCCATAGTATATGCAGATACGCCCATGACAAATCCAACCACTGCAAAACTGAGGACAGCTGGAAGAAGATACGCACACACTGGATGGGCTTTCGGAAAAAGCACATAGCGGACTGGATTTCCAAGTGCACAACATGCCAGTCAGAAAGCCGCGCTGCAGTCGAGGCAAAGCCCGCCAAGAATGTCGTGCCGCAAATCCGCCCTGTCTCCACCACCTTCTCTATGGAGAGGCTGCAGGTTGACTGCATAAGCATGAATGAGTACGCAATGCACAACGACGGGTTCTATTATCTTGTCCACTGCATGGATGTCCACTCGCTCTACCACTTTGCCTTTCCCCTCCAAAGAAAAGATCCGCGCGAGTTTGCGCAGTGCCTTGTTGCCTTGCTTGGGAAGGAAGGATGGCCCCACATTATTCAAACAGACGCAGACATGATGTTTTTCTCCGATGAATTATCCAGCTTATTTGCCTTCAACCAAGTCCTTCACATATACCAAACAAATGAGTACTCCCACTCTCTGTCCATAATCCGAAGGACAAGATCTGCTTTAAAAAAGAAGCTTATCAAGAGAATGAAGGCCAAAGAGTGCCTTTACAGGTGGATTTCAGTTCTTTCAGACGTTCTTTCAGAGTGGAACAATGAATTCTCTCTAAGCATTATGGGCAAGCCAAGAAACTTCTTTAAAACCCTCCCTCCGGATATAGATCGGTATATGCATCTTCCAGTTGACTCTGCGCCTTCTCAGTGATACATGCGCTTTCTAGGTGATGTGTCTTTTTAGTAATAAATTGCTCCTCACTAAATTAGTTTGACTTGCCTGAACCATCCTTTTCTTAATAGCCATCAAGTGCTTTTCTTGTAAATATTCCTTCTGTTGTATTTTCTGTCTTTAGCGCATCTTTGCGAATAGCTTATTGCCATAGAAATACTTTTGTGCCCTGCCCCTTAGTCGTATACCCCTTATTTATATGTTCTAATGCTCTGTTTTTTCTGCGCTCAAATTTCTTGTAATTGAACTGCATTCAGAATACTCTCCACTGCACATAAAGATTTTAATGTTTTAAATTGCATTTCCCAATGCCTTCACAGTCTAAGGAACAAAAAGAACTAATGCTAAAAGAAAAGGCAGAAATAGGACGGTCTACGTGGCGTCTACTGCATGGAATTGCAAGAAGATATCCAGACAGCCCAACGCGACAAGAGAAGCAGGCAGTTCATGATCTTCTGGGGTCTTTGCATATTATCTACCCGTGTAAGCCCTGCGCATCAGCATTTTCTCTGTTTAAAAACAGTCCTATACTAGATACCACAAGTAGATCCTCCCTTATATTTTCAATGTGCACATTTCATAACTTTGTGAATATTAAACTTGGCAAGCCATTGACTGACTGCTCTGTATACACTGCTGCACAGCTGAGCCCACTTGCCAGAAGTTCGCCTCCTGGGATAATTAAAAGGCTACACGATGCAGCACTTTCAATCATACAAAATATTAAAATGTCTTATAGATAAGAGTGCGTGTGCATTCTTATATAGATAATTTGATCGGCTTCATTGTGAATGTGTCTTTACAACACGTATAAATAAAGAATATTCTTGCATAAATGTATCTTCTGCTCTTAAATACTTGGTCTCTTAAAAGGGAATATTTTCTACTTTAATATTTATTCGAAAACTCAATCCTTTAAATAGTTTTTTCTATAAGAATTATAAACTCTTTATATTATATATAGAGTTTTAAAACAAAGAGATTTATGTTTGGATGAATTAAAAATGGCTTTTGAATATCAATATTATCTTAGATGGAGAAGCATTTATTAATATGTATGTCTCTTCCTGACTGCTGCTTTTATGATGGGAGTGGCCTAGCACGCTTTTCAGATGGAAGTTGAGATAAAATTGCGCACTATTGAACAATAGGCCAGCATCTTGTATTCAGGTAATATTAGTACAGTCTGTTTATTCTAACTGCTTCTGCCAATACCAAGTGCACAAAAACTAACAGTTCCTCTATAACTGTATAATATAACTGTAATTAGATACTCTTAATAGGCTCTTATCTAAATACTCAAGCCATTCGGGTTTCTCTTCTCTTAACAAAATGATAAGCTGTACTCTTTTTATGCTGAGACTTTAATTATGCGCACCAGATCATAAATAATATTCTGAGGCTGTCCTAAGTTTAATATGCATGCTGGCCCTGTTCATATATGGGTAATGAGATGTAATTCATGCATTCGAATTATACTAGTGTGTTCTTAAAATCCCATATCCTTCAGCATATGGCAGCACATAAACAGTGTAAAAGTGCTAGTCACGCCATGAAATATCCACAGTATCGGTTCTGTATCGCTGTGTGACCTTGCATGACCTATCTGTGCACTTGTACCCACTACAAATCATTTTATATGCCGTATGTGCAATCATAAGACCGTTGTCTATGCAGTATCTCTCGTCTGCGCTGTAGCCTACGCCTCCTCTCTGTGTTGCCATTTTTGCTGCCATTTCCTGGAGCCTTCTATTGCACCCAACTCCGCCAACAACAAGTATTTCATTGGAGGAGGTGCATGACATTGCACGCTCGGACACCTCTACCAGCATAGCAAAAGCTGTTTCCTGGACTGAGTAGCAAATGTCTGCCTTTAGCTCTTCGGTTAGCTTCTTGCCAATAAGATACCTCTGCACATATGAAAGCATCCCAGAAAATGACACATCCATGCCTTTTATAACATATGGGAGTGCTATGTAGTTTTTTCCCTTTCTTGCCATTAGCTCAATGTTGTACCCAGGAGAGGGGTCGTTTGGAATATCCAGCAGGCGCGCCAGCCTATCCAGGCAGGAACCTATTGCAATGTCGAGTGTTTCTCCATACACTTTGTACCTCCTGTCATGGTATGATATGATCTGAGTGTTTCCTCCACTCACGTACAGAACTGTTGGGTTATTAGACTGCGTAATAAACCTCCCCATCTCTATGTGGGCAACACAGTGGTTGACAGGCACCACAGGAATGTTGTACATCTCAGCAAAGACTTTAACAAACGTAGCAACCGCGGACAGGCACGAACCAACCCCTGGCCCTGCCGTATATGCTAAGTAATTAATGTCCGATATTTTAATATTTGCTTTGCACATGGCCTTCTTAAATACAGTCATAGCATTCGTTTGGTGATGCTTTGCAGCATCTGTTATTTTAAAACCATGGCCCTGCGGTGGCACATACGTAGCCCTTTCATTTGCCAAAATCTTGTCGCCATTTACAATGCCTACGCCAAGTTTATTCGCGCTGCCTTCAAAGCCAACAATAAGCATAAAATCTTTATTAATTTTACATGTCCATTTATTCAAACTTACTTATCATGAGTCAATAGAATTACAGGGCAAGGGCTCCTGCCATGCACCCCAAAAGAACAAGAGGAGAAGCTGCGCTGTTCTTTCTTTCCACGCCAGTTCTTTCAGATCTGTCATCGCCTGATCCAGACGAGCCTCCAGGCCCGTTCATGTCCACGCCGGAAAGGCAGTCATCGATGTTTACAAAGGAGTACCCTGCTGCGCTTCCCATGCTGACTACATCAGGCACAATACAAAGCTCAGACTCTCTCTGGTCGTGCTGGAGAACAATGTAGGAAGAGGACTGTGGTCTAACAGACTTCAGCTTCAGCTTCCATCTGTTGATCATGTTGTCAGAGTCATCGTCTGTTCCGTACATGTCGTAGTTGTAGTTGATAAGAACTAGGTCTAAGTCATCAATTATTTCAAGAACTGTTTGGTTTGTGACATCTGGCTGGTTGATTGCAATGTACTTTGTCTTCTGCCCTGCTACTTCGTCAAGAACATTAAGCTCTCCCACAATGGCCTCCTTTATCTCATCGGCGCTCATTTCGCTGAAGTCGTAGATTGGGTTGGTTCTGAGACCCACGGTGTGGCCGTCATCTACTGCCTGTCTGATTACCTCAGCCACTCCGCCGTGGTCAATATTAACCGTGGAGAACATGAATGTGGCAGGGACTCCTTCATCGGTCAGAGTCTGGAGAAGTTCAGGGCTTGTCTGTACAGGCCCATCACTGAAGACCAAGGCTATTTGTCCTGGCTTGGCGCACTGGCTGGGGGCTCTTAAGCAATTTACAGCTCCTATCATCATTGATAACAAAGAAATCTTCATATTCTGGAGACACAACCATCTATTAATACTAGGCAATTATGCTTATATAAGAATTATTGTGTCAGGCATGCTTTTTTGAGGGTCTATTTGCAGTGTTTAAGAGCTATTAGTATATACATACGCATCCTAATTAAATGTTAAATTAAATGCAATTAAAACACTCAATATATTCATATTTAGAAATATACAAAGTAGCTTATGCCCATAGCTTAGTATACATGCATTAATCATCTGGCAAATCCATAGAAAATGGTCTGTCGCAGTCGTTTATGCCTACTTTTCTTTCCTTTCTAAATACATAAGCGTCTGGCTTTCTAAACATCCCTCTGCCGCCATTCTCGTCGAGCAAAAGCCCTTCGTACGCGTATATTTTCTTTTCTACTGAGTGCAGATCGCTCTCAAGCTTCTTCTTTTTTGCAATGTGCACTTCCAGCTGCCGGTGGAGGTCATCTGTTGTCTTTGAAGAGATGCTTTCCAAAGTCATTCAAATTTTTTTATGAGAGTCCGTCTTATGACCATTCGGGACGTATATTACGTTAAAGAGTGCAACAGGAAAAACCTGTCAGAGAATTACCATCTTCTCTTTCTTACGTACATGGTTACCATGTATTCAGAGTCCTGTTTTGTGGCAGAAAACAAAAAAGGCGAAATAGTAGGATATTCAATTGCAAAGCTAAAGGACTATCTGGAAAAAGACGAGGTTATCCCAACAGATGCCATCTCTGGATACATGCTCTCTGTTGCAGTTGACAAGGCATACCGAAACAGAGGTCTGGGAAAGATTCTCTTCGCAGCGGCTCTTCATGGCATAATAGGCGTGCTGCGCAGAAAGACCTCATCCTTTAAGGTGTACCTCAATGTGCGCCCAACCAACCTATCAGCAATAAACATGTACGAAAGCACCTTTCATTTTACTAAAGAAAATGAAGAAGAAAGCTACTATGCAGACAAAGAAAATGCTTTTCTTATGAGCAGAGTTTTTAGCATAGATGAAGGCAAATGAGCTTCAGAGGGGAAATGCTTTGATAAAATACATCAAGAAAACACCCATTGAGTATAAATACACTGTCTTTGACTATGAGCCTGGAGAGTATTTTGGCGTGCTCCACATTACGCTTCAGCTGCACATGAGCTCGCCGCAGTACATCTTTGGCCGAATAGAAAGAATAAAGTCATCAAATAGTAAAAGAGTGCCAATTATTATACTGCTACTTAGCGCCGACATAACAAGTGCGTCTGCCGCCTCTGCCTTTACAACGCTGCAAATTGACTGCATGGCAACAGGCGTTAGAATCATACCGGCATACTCCCCGGTGGAGTGCGCCAAGTATATAGAAACCATGCACTTCCAAAAGAGTGAGGCCAGCCATCTGCGAAATTACCGCGCAACGCTTGAAAAAACAAAGAAGGAGCTCTCTTCCAGACCCTCTGAGGTAGATGCGCAAAAACTGCTGTTTTTGGCCGCTATTCCAAAAGTGACGAAGAGAGACAGTGCAGCAATTCTAGCAGGGCGCAGCCTACGTGAAATAGCACAAAGCGCTGTAAACGAGTGCACTGCCAAGGAGAAGGGAATTGGTGTGACAAAAAAGAACGCAATGAAAGATTTCTTTATGCAGAAATTCAACTAGCCTCTTTTTTATTTTGATGGAGTGTGAGGGAAGAAGCCTTGAGCCAGAGCCAAAAATACCAAGAGCATCAGTTGAGAAGATAATCTCAGAAACACTAAAACCGCCCATGATGTGCAGCAAGGAGGTAAAGCAGCTGCTTCTGAATTGCTGTGCAGAGTTTGTGCACATAATTGCCACGGAGGCAAATGATGTCTGTGAGAAAGAGCAGAAAAAGACGCTTACACACGAGCACGTGTACCGGGCACTGAAACACCTAGGCTTTGAGGAGTACATTGATGAGTGCAATGAGTCTTACAAGGACCACATTGAGCAAGCAAAGCTGAGACCATCAAGGCAGAATAAGCTAAAGGAGTCAGGCCTGACCCAGGATGAATTAGAAAGGGAGCAAGAAGAGTTGTTTAGAAAGGCAAAGATGTTCGCACAGAACGAGGACAGATAGCAAAACGAACAGTAATAAATTCACTTATATTTAATTTTTTGCTTCCCCTGCATGCATTCAGAAAAAAACTATGACAAAGAGGTAGAGCTAAACAATGAGCAGGAAAACCAGACATTAAGAATAACAATGGTCAGCAGAAACAAGAGCGAGTTAGAGAGAGTAGCATACGCCATTTACCAGATGGCCAAGGCAGAGAACCCAGCAAACAAAGGGCCAGTCTCCTCCAAGAACAACAAGCTCCTTGTAACCACCAGAAAAGCACCCGGTGGCAATGGTACCAACACATATGACAAATTCTCTATGACAATTAGAAAGAAGTACATTGACATAACAGTAGCATTCGAGTCATTCAAAGCAATTACTTCAACCGTGCAGAGCCCAGAAGTATTTATTCAAGTGGTTATAAAGGCATAAGCAAAATAAATAACACGTTTTAATATGCATTCTACATAATAAGCAGGCCTTCCGCAGTCTTCTACCAAATTCTTTAGTTTTACTTGTATGTGCGTTCTATTCAAGGAAATCATCCATATTTATAGCGCTCTTTTGGTATATTAGTGAAGCGATCTTCTATCATCTGCAAAGTAGTTTGTCTGCTCTATAGAGACTTCCAGTGTAATTTATGTATCCGTAGTTCTTCTAAAAGCGGCTATATAGTGGGAAATGGGCAAAGGTTCTGCTGCCAATTAGACTAACTAATAGAAGAGAAAGATGTCCTCCAGCCTTTCTTATTTCTTGCAGAAGAGTAAAATAATGTTTTTATGTTTCGTGCAGAGAGAATAACCAAGACTATACTGGAAAAATATCCATCAGCAGTAGTGAATATAGTTGACCGAACAAAGGAGCATGCCGGGCACAGAGAAATGATTAACATTGATGATCCGCAAGAAACCCACCTGGATATAAATGTGTGCGATAGCTCCTTTGAGGGCTGCTCTCCTCTGAGCGCAATTAGAGAGATCAATCGACTAATAAAAGACGAGTTTACAAAGGGCCTCCATGCAGTATCAATTACATGCACGTCACCCAACACAAAATAAATCCGTTCAATGCGATTATGCTGTACTTTCCCATTTTCACCACATAGAGACTTCCTTCTGCTGTTTTCTTCCGGAGCAGCTCGAGATGTGCATGCATTGAATATACTTAGAGTGAACTGCCTGAAAGTATTTTTCTATATACACTATATTTGCAAGAATTTTATTATTCAGTTGCAATGTCTCAGTATATTATGTACTGAGAGTGCAATAAAGTATAAAGTAATAGCAATGCACGCATAAGTTTTAACTGTATCCTGGCACTAATATCTATATTGCAAGTGCACTTGCGCTAACCAAAAAGTATGTAAGAATACAAATGCTCTGCAAATGCTAGGATGGACCTTTTTTATTCGGGTTATATAAATATGCCATTCTATCCAGTACAGTGCCAAGTTCTTGCCTATATGCAAGATAGACGCCAAAGGTCTTCTCATCACATGCACCTCTACAGCTACTAGTACTTAGTCCAGATATTCTACTCTTCGCATTCACCTCACTGCTTACATACGTCTAGTCTATATCTTATATGCAAGTTATAACACTGAACCATCTATATAAACACTTTCCACAAAATTTCACTTATTTATACTCATATATTCGTAACTAATATCAGAGTGATTGACTTTATACAGGAGTTCTATAAAGAATACTTTTAGCAGACTGCTTTGCCTGTTTGCACATGTAACTGTTATCAGTGCTCAAAACGCTGCCCTTCCTATTGGTATTCTTTAGATTGCACTATGCATTACAATCTAAATCAAATTAGAGCATAAAGAGTAATATTTATATAAAAGTATTTAGGAATTAATTGTTTTACATGAGCATGAAGGAAAATGAGAATAGAGGGCCATTTATAGACCACACTGACATCTATATTAAAAAGATGGTGGAGCTGATTAAACACTGCATACTAATGTTGAATGAAGAGATAGGGCTAATCTCAAAGCTGTTGGAAGAAAAGCCTCTCATTGTTGGAAAGGTAAAAAATAATGAACGGGCGGAAGAAACCATTAAAAAAGTAAGCGTAGAGATTGAAAAGCTAGAGGTGTTTAGAACAACATTTGTTCCATATATAAAAGACGTTGTGCGGCAGAACAGAACAGAATATAGAATAGTAAAGCAAACAGAGATACAGATAAAGGACAAGCGGTCTGAGACAGTAGGAAACATGAATGTCCTATTTATAGAGATAATACAGCTGATAGAGTATATTGGAGAGAACGCCATTGAGCAGAATCCAGCAGACGAGAAGACTAACAGCATAATTAAAGAAATGTGCGATGCAGCAGTGCAAAAGACATTTCAAAATCTGGAGTCCATACAGAAATTCAACTATGTGGAGAAGCCCGAGATTCCATTGCTGAACACTGCTCCCAGGCCGAAAGTAAAGAAGGTCTCAGCAATTCGCACTATTTTTAGATACTATGTTAGAATAGGTGTGCTTTGCGTCATTACACTGCTTGGAATGCTGCTTGGAGTGATCCATATGGGCGTGCTAAGACAGGAGAGCAGAGCCCAGGCGATTCCTTTGGAGTTTATTCTTGGCCTACCCGTAGCCACTGCAGGGTGCATCTGCATGGTTATGCATTGCAGAAACAACAACAAAGCCTATTATAAAGACGCATCTCTCTCATCATGCATTGCTCTATGCGCATTCCAAGGCCTGCTTACTATATGCACCGGGCTGTATATATATTTCTTTCTTTGCAAGATCATGAACACATGCCTGTCCATGTGGAGCAATTTAAACATGTATCTTTTCATGTGGATGTACAGCATACTCTCTATGGCAATGTTCTATAACAGCATTAGACTTGAAAAACAGATGTCTGCCTGCAAGAATATCCGAAGAAGAATGCTTTTTATGGCGCTGTATGGCGCATATCTGTATTCAGGCATTCTTCACATAGGCCTTATTGTGCATCTGCTTGTGATTATTGGTACCAGTACCAAGGACAGTGACTCCCTCGCATTTATTTCTAAAATAATTTCACGCTTCATCATATACGTTCCATGGGTATCTTAATACGGGTGATGCCTTTTTCTGACAGCACTCTATATAAAGATATTTGTACAGCAAGAAAGAAGATTCTCTACTCTAAAAACCTCTAGCAGGAAATAGTGCTATATTATAGGAAAAGAACCCGTGCAATGCACAATTATTAGTTGCACTGAGGCAAAATGAGGGAGACATGCCTACGTATGGGTATATTGGATCGGTTTCAGGGTGCTGCAACTAAACTCACTATGCTACCCAAGTGGCTTTAGAAAATATATAGAGAAATGCAAGAAATCGAGTTACCAGCATCTATTTATTAAAATAAACAAGAAGTTCTTTTGTACTTCGTATGGTAATTATATATTCACCAATAGCTATTTTGGCTATTGCTCTTTGTCTACTCCTAGGCATGCCGACAGGAAGGCTATAAAGCAAGGCCTTGGGGCGTCTGGCTTGGAAAGGAACTCTGGATGGAACTGCACTCCGCAATAGAAAGGATGCTCTGGGATCTCAAGTGCATCTATATAGTTCTTGTGCCTTGCTGCAATCTTAAGGCCATTCTTTTCAAAGTCTGCAATGTACTTCACATTTACTCCATACCTGTGTCTAAATCTTTCAGATATAATAGAGCCGTTTGAGTTTCCATAGAAAGCTGCCATTCGGGATCCAGCAATTGTCTCTGTTTCGTGCCTTCCAATGCGCATATGGTTTGAGTGCTTAGAAATAATCAATGAATGAGGAACTGTTCTATCCTGGTTGGCACCAAACTCATTGATTCTGTCATCAATAATGGTATGTATGTCCTCTTCTTCAGCAACCAGCTCCTCGCTTGTTGCATTTTGAATATTCAGAATGCTTCTTGCATACTCAATTGCAATCACCTGCATTCCTAGGCATATGCCAAGAAGAGGGATTTTGTTGACTCTTGCATATCCTGCAACAAGTATCATCTGCTCCACACCTCTCTTTCCAAATCCTCCTGGTATTACTATTCCATCAAACTCTTTAAGAATAGAAAGATTTTCAGATTTCAAGAAGAATGAGGTATCAAAGTATGTTGTTTCAATGTCTGCACTCAGCTCATCAACCGAGCCTGCAAACTTCAGCGATTCTTTAATAGAAAGATACGCATCCTCGTGGTTGCTGTATTTCCCAACAATCGCGACCTTGCAGGTGTGCTTTTTTTCATCTGTTATTTTTTCGAAATACTTGCCTTTCTCTAGCATGTGATCAGAAACAACAGGCTTCATGTTCAGCCTCTTTTGAAGGTAGCTCAGAATTCCGGTCTGTTTTAAAAGTAACTCTGGAACAGAAAGCACATTGCAGTTTGGCATCAACACTAGCTTTTCAACACCTGTGAAAAGTGATATTTTCTCCAAAGCCTCTTTTGCCACAGCGGTTTCTGATCTGCACACTATCACATCGTATGGGATGCCCAGCTCTCTTGCTCTCTTTGCGGACCCCTGGATTGGCTTTGTCTTGTGCTCACCGTTCACCTCAAGCGCATAGTCCACGCCAATGACGACAAATTTCTCTCTTCCCTCTTCCACATACATCTGCCTTAGCGCCTCGATGAAAGTTGTGGACTCAATGTCCCCTACTATTCCTCCCAGCTCAATCACACAGACAGTTGGTGTTGTTGTGTTGTTCTCAATGGGAAGGCATGCTGCATTTCGGATGCTATTTTTAATGTGGTCTGTCACATGGGGCACTACCTGCACTGTTTTTCCAAGATACTCTCCTTCTCTTTCCCTCTTGATTACTTCGCTGTATATGCGCCCGCTTGTTATACTGTTGAACTTTGTGAGATTGGACCCCAGGAATCTTTCGTAGTTTCCTAAGTCTAGATCCGTTTCTGTTCCATCATCCAAAACAAACACCTCTCCATGGTCTCTTGGTCCTAGCGTTCCTGCGTTGAAGTTTAAATACGGGTCAATCTTTACAATTGTCACATGCTCTCCTTCCTCCTTCAATATTCTTCCTACACTACTTGCTATAACTCCTTTTCCTACTCCGGAAATAACTCCTCCGCATACCAAAATGTACTTCATAAATTTAAAATTTTTTTTCTATTTATAGATTGCCTATATCTTTATTTTGAATTTTGTAACGGCTCTTTGCATTTAAAACATGTTTTACTAAATATAGACGTGCTCTTTTTTACTCTTTTGATCTCATTCATATAGCCTCTAACTAGATAGGCCATTTCCTTTACTGTTGAGTTGGTTTTCTAGAAGGTGTCATTTATAAACTTTGTCTTTATTTAATTTTCTAATTGTTTAAATAGCTTTAAATGAAACATTTCTTCTCCTTGAGCTTATTTAGACCAATCAGATTATGGACCCTTTAATCTAATAATGGAAGGTTCTAATCACTTGTATCTTGTTTCATGGCGATACAAATAGACCAATATTACGTAATGCGCCTGTCTTTAGGCTAAGCATATAACATGTTGCAAAGGCTACTAGTAGTCTGCTTTGGGTGTATTTATTTTAATTAAAGTGCTTTATATTGCGTAATAAGTAAACATGTACCGCAGCCAAAAAATTATATATTAAAAAGAAACTACAAAGCTTCGTCTTTCTGTTTATTAGAAATTTGTGTGGAGAAATATAGACTGAAACTGCATTTGTGAGCATCTTCTAAAAAGTGTGAATGTGTTTATTTTCTTTTAATAAGTTCTTTTCGCTCTTCTATTACTTCTTTTTATCCACCACACAGTCATATAAAATGCTCTTGGGCTATATATTAAAATCTTGAACACACAAGCTCGATTATACACTGGTGTTCCCTTTAAACTTAGCTATAATGATGAATAGTTGATTATTCGTTGCCAATAGAATATGTCTAGGAGTCTAAGTTTCCAAGCAGCTTTGTGTTTATGCGCGCGCCCCCTTGTAGCATGTTTTCTTGTAGTCAACAACTGAGATGCAATATTTAGCATTCGTGTATATCTTTGGTGCAGAGAAAGAACTGTGCATTCTCCTGGAAAGAAAAGCCAACAAGCCATATTTAGACCTATTATACAACATTTAGAAGTTAGAATGGTTGGTTGTTTGCTTGTTAATATATGCATATTTATGAAAATTACGGTTAAACATAGACTGGCTCTTTCTAAAGAGCCTTTATAAACTGGTTCACTTTTTTTTTATTTTTCTGGCTTAGCCTATTTCTTCTCTATTTTCATACTGGTTTAAAACATATATTTTAAATTTATAAATATAACAATGTGTATTCTGAAGAGTTTTATACAAAAAAAGACAAAGACTTAGGAAAATCGAAAAAAGTGCAAAATCGAAAGAACCCCTGAGTCTGAACTATGAAAAAAATATAAAACACAGAAAGAACAAACTATATATATAGTATATAAGAAGAGCACCATCATCTGTGGGTTATCTAAAACACTATTCTTATTCATAGAAACCAAATATGACAATCCGGCTATATTTGTCTATTCACGCCCATCTTTAAGCTATATATATTCCTTAGGAGTTAATATCACTTGAGACCTATGAATAGAGGACAAGAAATTCCACCATGACTAAGCCTAATATATTAAGGAGAAACATCAGCTTAAACAACAACCACTCATAGAAGAGCACTTCACTTTAGATATCCGAAAAAGAAAAAACTGCCTCCATAGAACCCGTTAAGAAACAAGTGAAGAGTACTATAGCCATAATTTATTGGAAATATAAAGAAAGAAAATTTTATTAGAACGCATAGAAAATTCTACTTAAAAAGTCTATAACTTTGTAAAACCATGAGAAGATTCCAGAGCTTGGGCTATATAATCTAATAAGATTATTAAAAATGGCGATAGAGTCTTTGTCACTACATAGCTGTTCCTTCAGTTTTTGGAGCATTTGAATAAATTTCTGCTTATCATCGTATGTAAAGGCATGCATTATGGAGTTGTTTGGAGTGCCAATGGCATTAAAATTTGACTTAATCAACTCCATATTTAGACTTTCCTCCGAAGTAAGATACAAGAACCATATATAGTGGAGACTACTTATTATGTAATCTTTCTTTTCGGGATAGTCTCGTGCTAAAGCCTCATCAATCGCATAAGCATACTCCATGTTTTGGTCTCTAAATATATGTTCATAAACAGGTCTAGTTATTATCATGTTCAATACACTAATAATTTCATACTCAACACACGAATCAAATATGCTTATGTAGCGCTTAATCCAGGTTATAAAAATAGATATATCACAATCTAGTACGTATCTAGCAAGTTCATAGGATTCTTTAGAACCCATAACAACTATATATACACTCTCTGACAGTTGTATATTTGGGTAGTAGGGTTTACTGTTGGTTTGCAGGTCTGCAAATACAACTGATGGGAGTATTTGCATCTGAATATGAAAATTGCCTAGCTCAGTGCTTCCTATTATGTTA